CTTCTGTCCTTCTATTAACACAGATCTTACGATTAACCTTTGGGTGTCATAAGCCTTGGCAGATACACTTATCATTGAGCTTTGCTTGACATAAGCTACCCGATTTGGACATAGGTGTTAAACCTTGCTTGCTGAAACCTCGCCAAGCAAAACTCCTAACTTTGAGCTAGCCCAGAGATGTCCTCAACCATTGATGACACACGCTCTGTTCGAGCGTTGTCAACAGATACTATCCAAGTCTGTAACAGCAGGGTGATGGTAAGCAGAGCCTTGAATTGAGGCCAAGAACTGCCATGAGGAAGATCACAGTGTAACAATGGTCCTCGTGCTGAGCTCAGAACCAGCATTTTCAATACATACATCAAATGCTACTCATTCCAAGTCATCTGCAACATGTCTGAATCCTTCCTAAACATGTCCGACATATTTCCGCACATATCCGAGCCTTTCTGCATTGGATCTGACACACTTAGCTTCAGACTTTCACACTTTCCATTGGACATTGCATTGGACATTGCATTGGACATCATCGCACATCATCAGATATTGTCACACCTATGTCCAGTCACATCCCGCTAGCCCCTACTAGGCATGCACATAGTCTTATCTTCATTGCTAACAGTGTAGACAGTGTTATTACATGTTTTCCCATAGTCTGCAGTACCTCATGTCTTATTACATAGGACATCAGACCCGAAAATTATTGCTACTACCTTCGCCTACAGTATTCCGGTTTCCTACATAGATAGATAAATACTCTGTAGTGACTCTTACCTATCCATCCACCTGTAGCTGGGTCACTTACAGAATATCTTCATAGTTCTTGGTTTATTTGCGAAATATTACTGTTCTTTCACCATCACAAATTTGCCATTTGTTATACTCGTGATACCGCTCGCAACCCGACACTCATTACATAGTTTCCGACCTATACTTGTGAAGTCCAAAAGTCCAAAATCTCGGACATCGCACTTTGGCTTCAGACATCAGATAAGTACCCTTAGACATCTTCGGATTACCATTGGACATCATTTTGTAGCTTTGGACATTTGTTATTTGCATTACTGACACTTTTATACTACTAATACCAATTAGTAATCCCTTTATGATCGAATGCACTTGCTCTGCAAGTATAGCAGACTAGGTTGTGCTGAGATCTACCTAAATATTGTTGACTAGGTAGTACAATTTCTGCTGAGCCCAGCGGAGATTTACTCTTTACAATGGAGTAGCTGAAAAACTGCTTCAGCACTGGTGTATACAGCACCCATGTATAGGAGATGTTCCCACAAGACAGCATGCTGCCCAACATAGTTAGAGGCGTCAGCAGCATCTTTCATCTGCAGAGTATAAAGGCTTTGGTGAATAATGTGCTGGGAACCCATATTAGTGCATCCAAAGTGATCCTCCAAGGTCTTCCATGCATCACATGCGGAGACTTTATGACTTGTAGAGATGAGCTGTTGGACAGATATGGAGAGACAGCATGTGATAATTGCCTTGGCTTAAAGGTCGTCAATCAGCCATTCACAAAGAGCAAGTGTCTCATCAGCGATAGGCATAGCTGGATTCACAGGCATGGGTTTATATGATGCACTCCTGAGGACATCATCTGGATCGACAGCATCAGTAACATGAAACCAGAGATCTTTGATGCCTAACGAGTAGGTAACCTCCCTTTTCCATGCAAAGTACATGTTTGGACCTGTCAATTCCAGGATGTGATCCAGTTTCCCCATGTCAAAGGAAAGAGATGTAGAAGATAAAACATGTGTGTGATTTTAGCTGATAAGATTTCACAAAGAGAAATCTTCACGGCTCATAACCTGTTAGAAGCTAACACACGAAACACGCTCAGTGTTGGAAGACAATGACTAATATTATAAGTACCTAACACACGAAACATGCTAAGGAGAATATAGTAAGAGACAGCAGGATGAACAGAGACTAACGAACATACCTCAGTGTTGGAAGACAATGACTGAGGTATGATAAAACAAAACAAAACATATGATGTATGTGAGTGCACGTGATGATATGGAAAAAGGAAAATGCTAAGGACAATGACGACTATGACGATTCAACAGTTTAAACACATAATGGTTCAAAGAAAGTCAAATTGTTGGTCATGGTGTGTATCAAAGGAATGAAGTAGACAAGTTGGTAGTGAGTTTTGCAGAGAGAGGACACTATGAAGCAAAGTAGTAAGTCCTGTGCAACAGTTGTGAAAATTTTCTCTACTTACATAATCAGTGGCAGCTCTTCTTGGTAGGTTACTGGTTGGGATCAAAGAATTGTGACACAGTGCATTTAGAGGGTGTCCCAGGAGTATAGATGGGTGGAGAAATGACACAGATCATTACAATGTCTCCTGTATAAGTGTCAACACACATGCTTACTGGCTGGTCAGCCTTTGCAGAGAATGACCAGTGTGTGAGAGTGAAATGTAACTCTACAGTTGCACCTTCAAGAGCATGGTGGTATTGGTGTGGATCAATCAGATTTCCCTTCATGTTGTATGCTGGAATGGGCACTACATGATGAGTTTTCTTGATGTTCTCAAGGCCACCCTTGGTAGTGTCATTGAAGGTTAGCCAATTTCCAATCAAAAATATGCCATCAAGATCTAAATTCACCAATGGCCATGGCATCAATCAAATAAATAAATCAGCAAAGAGAATAACATACCATCAACCTTGTCAGAGCTCTCTCTATCCTCAGCATTGTCAGTGCTTGCCTCACTGCATTGAAGTGGCTGCGAATTCTAACAATGAGAAGAGCTTCACCCAGCAGTAGATTTTACTTACTTTGAAAAGGACATGATACACTTTGAAGCGAAAGTTATCGGTGTATGGAGGAACCAGGCCACATTTAAGGACAAAACCGTCAGTTATAGCCACATCCTGCAACCACTTGATGTTGTCCTTGACAACATTGAAGTCGGTCTTGAATGGTGCAATGTCCGGCTGTTCATTAGTACATGAAGGCTTGACAGTGGCAAACTCTGGTGAGAAGGAAGAGGCTCCCCTATAGCCACCATCTGCAGTCAGATAGTAATCACTTGAAGATATCTGCACAACAGAACTGAGGACCACCATCTCTGGCCCAGATTCTGGTGATGGAGAAGCATGGTCTAATGCATATAAATCGGGCTTGACAATGAGCCAGTTGGCTTTACCGATGCGAGACCACTGAACATTATCTCAAACTGCATGATCACCTTCATCAAATCACAGAGTGATCAACAAGACCGTCCAAATTTTACAAACATGAATTAACCACCTATGTAAAGGCCAGAGCCTAGAAGGCGCTCCCAAATCTGAAGGAGCCACGTAGGTATTGTGGGGATTCTTGTAGGGGGAGCTGATGACTGTGGCATATTTACAAGTAAAGTTGAGTAGTTTGAACTTGAATACTGATATGTAATAAATAGCAGGAAATGACAAATGTCAGGAGGGACAGGAGCAAAGTGAGCAGATTGCTCACCTTTATATGTCAGGAAGTTTGAATCACCTGTGCACAGTGAAAAAAAAATTCATGCTGGTGCAGAACTGTGTTTGTTGATCCCTGCCAAATAAAGTAGTCCTATCATCCAATCTTCTGCTGCTCATGGAGCCTGCAAAAGCAGATGATGAAATATGTCATCTCAGTGTCAAAGAAATATTTGCACGATTAAAAGGAGTCATCACCTTCTCCTGTGAGGAATGTCAGAATAAAGACATGATTCTGACCCAAATACTTGCAGATGCTCCCAAAGAACAGATCATGTTCCTTCTGCAGGCGGGACAGAAGAAGCATGGAGAGAAAATAGGTAAACAGGAAAACCAGAAAGCAACAAGAAAATGCAAACGAGCAGATTATTCTGCTGCACGTCGAATTGCCCAGAGGCTTGAGAACTTGGACGAGGAGGATGACACTGATGAAGTATCAGTGAAGGACACATACAACTCTAAAAAGTTCTTGGAAATTTCTTCAGTAATGGACATAAAAAGCTGTTACCGACAGTTCTATGATGCAACTTCAAATGCAGTGCTGGTCACCAGTATATGTGGTGTTTGTGCATGGGAGGTTGGAGTCATGGACGACTCAGAGAAGATGTCCAAACTTGATTTTAATGATATCCCCAATCTACACTGACTTCATCCTTCAACTCCCCATCCTGCTCATAATCTCTACAATAGACAACTTCTAGAACCTGCTGGTGTCACATCCAAAGGCAATGATACCTTTGTTGACATCTGTCATTCATGTTTACAAGATCTCAACAGCGAGCATTATTGATGGTGTGGGAATGCACATGATGTGCCACTTCGGCAGTGATATGGGACACACAGCTCTCCACTGTGAAGGCCGAGATGGTGCCTGGTAGTACTGTCATTACCTCGTCATGCATGTGTTGCTCTAACATGGATTGAAATTGTTGCCAAACAGGTGTGTGAGGAAGGCCTATGAGCAGGCTGTAAATGGCATCACCTGAGTCCCAGAGGCATTCTTGAAGTACTGCATGTTGACCAACATAGTTGGTGGCATCAGCAGAGTCCTTCATTTATAGAGCATCCAAACGCTGGTGTAGCTGATATTGGGTGCTGGTGTCAGTCCAATTGAAGTGTTTAGCGAGAGTTCTCCACACATCATGGCTGAAACACTGTGCAAGTGTGATACCAACGCTCCAACAGAGGCACTTAGGTGACGGGTGTTACAAGAACATCTAGACGCTTGGGCCCCTACTATTTTCCTCCTGATCCTCCTCGTATCAGCCCTCACATCATACCCTTACCCCAACCTTACCCTTGTCATCCTCGTCATCCTCGCATTCCCTTTCGCCCTCTACCTGTCGCTTCAGCAAAGCCAGTACATTTGGCCGGATCCTTTCGCTGACGAAGCATACCCATGCTCCGTTTCACCACCTGACTGATCCTGCGGACAGTCCCCTTGCCCTTACCGTCTGGACGGTAACCTATGACACGATGCATGACGCATCCCCTTTGACCTATTTTCCTTTCTTGATCTCTGACTCGGTGCGCAGTCGCACATGCGACTTATACTTAGATCCGCAGTTGCACAATCGTGCCCCTGCGTGTTTCACTTCTCATTCTGATCTTTGACTCACTTTCTTATCCAGCAAGTTCTACCTAGATCGAACGTGCCTTCCTATTATGATCTTACCCTTTACCGATTGCCTCTCCCGGTAGTACGAGTTATCATCCACTAATACATCCCCTGTCCTCTATATAAACTCGCTACCATGTACCATATTCCTTAACTTGAATCTACTTGGTTCTTGACCTCCTACTCTCACCAGAGTGATCCTTCTGCCTCGCCAGCAGTCTATATTCTATCTTCTTATCTGCTCTTCGCGGATAAGCCTATAGTCTTGACCTTTACCCATCGACTTCATCGACGAGCAAAGCCCCTGTTAACTAGTCGGACTTCTGTCCTTCTAATTAACGACGATCCTTACGATTAACCTTCGGGTGTCGTAAGCCTAGGCCGATTTAGCTTATCGTCTCGCACCCGCGTGACATAAGCTACCCGATTTGGACATAGGCGTTAAATCGTACTTGCAGAAGACACGCCAAGTACGACCCCTAACCTTGGGCTAGCCCAAGGACGTCCACAGACCGTTGACGACACAAGCTCTGTTTGAGCGTCACCAACAGATACCATCCAAGTCGTAACAACGGGTAATAAGATCCTTAGCCTTAATATCACTCAACAACCACTCTCACATCTCTGTCCTCTTGGCAGGCATGATGTTGTTGGGATCAGCGGGGACAGGAATGAAAGATGGCGCTCTGAGCAGGTCTGTTGGGTCGGGATTTGTGTTGATGTGGCACCAGAGATCTTCACATGTGAGAGCATATTGCATCTTTGTGGACCAACCGACATAGTTTTCCATACCCAGTAACTCAAGAATGTGATCATATTTGCCCATGGTGATGCCACCATGAGGATAGATAAAAATGAGACGGAAGTGTGAGCAGCGAGCAGTCACGAGTGAGATTCTTGTCTTGTAGCCTTGTCTGATGGTTTAATAAGAACCAGGGCTCATAACCTGTTGAAAGGTGAAGCTAAGGACAAGTCTCAGTGTTTGGTAAGAGAACCACTATCATTCATAATACCTAAGGACAAGTCTATAAACAGGACATAGTGAGAGAGAGTTGGTGTGCAGACAATAAGATACATACCTCAGTGTTTGGTAAGAGAACAGTTGAGGTATGAATGATGAGAACAAACAAGTTTATAAACTACTGTACAGAGTCTGGAATATCAATGACAAAAAAGGAAAGACAACAAGAGAGATGACAATGTTGAACTCTCAACAGACGGGCTCTCAAATGCTGGGCAAATGCTCTCGAATTATGACATATGTTCTTGAATAGCTAATGATTATGAAAAATTCTGTCTAATTTTTTTGGGGGTAACATAATCTGTCACATTTTGAAAAAATCATCAATGATTACCTATAATTAGCCCAGGAGGCTTTTCCTGATATTGAAAGTGCTCATGACAAGCTCTGTGATAGAATGGGAACCAGATTTATCTTAAGCCCTAGATTGGGTTGATCAAAATCTAGTTGACTTCATACCAGAAATCTGTGTGGACTGCTTAGATGCCAAATTCCCTGGCTTTCACCATTGACCAAGGATGCACACCAAAAATGATGCTAAAATATCATTGTACACAAATCATCAGTCGTGGACTGGCTAAATGACATCACAAGTCTCCCGTATGTATACAACTGGCAGCTGATTATTCGTTATTCAAACGGCATAGGATCATCAATGTAGTAATTGGTGATGGGCTCAATAGCAAATCACAATGTGCCCATCCACAATAGCCGATGTGACAACTCACTGATCGTTTTTTAAATGGAGCATGATCCTGGGTTCGTGAGCAGCCTGGCTTTAAGAGTTCGAGACAGACTTTGGTGATACGATCAGCATTTCGCTATTTCGCTTGCATCTGAATCAGACAGAGATCGAATGATCAAGGCGTCGCAATCCGCACTGGTCGGCTGGTGAGGCACTCACATTATGCAATGAAGAATTTAACTTGTCATCTACGTAATGCAGAGTGGTGCAGCTCGAAGCTGCGCAAACACACCTGTCTATCCTCTGCTGCAGAGAGAAAGGCCTTGCAGGATGCTCAGCATCTGCTTATTAGAGGGTTTGCCGTGGACAGCTGAGGGGCCAGTGAGTGCAAATTTTCAAGAGCTTGGAGTCCCTGGACATGTAGAACAATGGGCTGAATCGATCAGGAACAGTGAATGGCCTGGTATAAAGATGGTTGGTATAAATCTCCCTCGATGAGCTATGTAGGTAACCCGGAGACGAAATACAAATAGACATTAGAACGCCTACATAGCTCAGCGCGATAAACATTTACCAGGAGTAAACTCAAATTGACTGGCAAGAAATAAATAATTAGCCTAGGATTGAATCTTGTTACGGTGATACTGTACATGCGGATGAAATACAAATGTCGTATGCTGGCGATGACGAGTCTGCGTATGAGCGGCAGGGAAGTACTGTCTGAGGCTTATCAGTCTGAAGGCTCACCTAGAGTCGCTCGTAATAGCATGACAGTCCAGAAGGATTTCAAGCGAAGCCTGGGAGTGCAGGAGTAAGGGCTAGCTCAACTAGTACCCGTAATCCTGTTGGCTGGTTACGACAGTTCTTATCGCCGACTTGTATGGTCAACTGCCAGAGCAGTGCGTGTCTCGGGCATGGCTTGCTGTGTCTTCTTGAGGTTGTGTAAATGACGTTTATAAAAAAAAACTCGTGTTGTAAGAACGTGTTTTGAGCTCACTGCCGTCGGTTCCAAGTCAAGACAATAAAAAAAGTGGATTGCCGACTGAGTGAACGGGGACCAAATGGGGTTTCTGGGGTCCACTGTAGGGGTTGTTTTTTTGGCTCGAGTCCCACGCACTTGTTGTACTCCGTCGTTTCCCTACAGCCTCAGGCTATAGCAGGAAGACATCATCCTTTTAACCTGCCGAGATCGCAACTGACAGCGACGGGCTTTCGTTTTCCATAGACAGAACCAAGGTTCATACAACTGATCTTTTGTTTTCGCCTGCTGGCAGGTCATACTTGACGACCACCACGCGCGACAAAATCATCGACTGTTTGCTAAAATATCTGTCACATCGAAAATTCGTGAGTTCAATTTGTTATGTGTTCGTTATTGCTGACGGCTAAACTCAAACTACCCTCTGCGCGTCTTATGCGTGTTTTTTTCTGTGTTATAGAATGAACAAAGTTTCCACTACATCTGGAAAGACTCCGTTGCCGCTCCCTTCGCAGTCAGCTTGGGCAAAGGGCCCGCCGCAGAGTAGTTCATCTGCAGCTCCTTCGCCGCGATCGCAGTCTCCCGCTCCTACTCATGTCGCATCTCCGATAGCTACTTCTCACTCGAGACGTCCAAGTGCGTTAGGCCAGGGCGTGTCTGTAAAAGATGGCGTATCAGTCCCTCGAAATAATGTGGGATCAGTAGTACGACCAGGTCTGATTTTATTTTCACACTAAAACCATTTCCATCTAACTGTCACTCTTAGCATCCGTTGTGTTTGGATCAATAGATGATGCCTCGGCCCCGTTATCTTCATCGCCGGCCGCCATTCCCGCCGTCAAAACCGAAGTCGTAAAGTCTTTCGGATCCGTACCTGCTACGTCCTCCAACCATGTAAATGGTAAAATCTCAGCTTCCGCATCGGCCACAGGGTCGTCGAAGCAATCTCCACGACCAACGCCCTCCAACTCTAGTACGCTATCCTCAACAGCCGCAACATCAGCCGCATCTACGTCTAAACCGTCCAAAGCAGACATTATGAAGCTTTTCCAGAATCCCTCGTCGTCATCTTCCCAGCCGTCGTCTGACACATCCTCTCCTTCCACCCGGCCTTCTAATTTACCTTCACATCACCAGTCATCGTCATCTTCCTCACAACAGCCACAGCAACCTTCGCAACTCGGCACACATTCATATCCGCAATTTGTGCCCAATAGCATGCGCCCACCGCAGCAGCCTTCTGGCACTCCACGTTCTCCTGCATTCCCCCGTGCTGTGCCAAATGTGCAAGGTCAAGCTCGACAAGGAGCTGGCCCAGGGGGTCCCGGTGGCCCACCTATCCCTGCCAGTCCCCGAATGGCTCCGCACCCACATCAAGCACCTCCTGGGGGTATAGCACCGCAGGTACCCATGCAGCCCATGTCATGGGGCGGATACTATGTTAGTACTTTATTTTTCTAAAAACCTTCATCAATTGTGTTCTCAACGTAATGCAAGTATATGGATCCATATCAACCACAACCTCCTTGGGGGTATTATGCTGTGCCCTCCCCACATATGCATCAGCAGCCCCCCCAACATGTCCCTCATGTCCCTCCTCCCCATCAACCTGGACCTCTTCCTATGTCACCTCGTCCCGTAGCTCCCCAACTCCCTGGCACACCCACTATGGCACACGCTATCCCGCACCCCCCTCACACGCCTCAACCGCCTCCCTCCATATCTTCACCACCGCCCACACCTTCCACCACCAATGCACCTCGCCTTAACACGAACGCCCGCGACTTTGTTCCTGGCGGACGTTCTACATCCAAGGTCACTATCAAGAGCCAGGATGGCATGGAGGTGACGCTTGATGCTCTCAAAAAGCACAGTCCCCAACCACCGACCGTTCCTATCCCACCCGCATCGCCTGTTGTGACCAACCGACGGCATCCTTCGGTCTCAGTACGGATTGAGAGCGAGGAATCGAAGCGCGCGCGAGAGGAGAATGCACGGAAAGAGCAGGAGAAGAAAGAGGAGGAGGAGCGTGCGAAGAGGGATGCTATAGAGAAGCAGAAGCGCGAAGCAGAGGAAGAGGCTAAGCGGATAGAGGAGGAAGAGGCTGCACGCAAGAGGAAGTGCGAGGAGGACCGTATACGCATGGATGAGGAAGAAAAGGAACGGAAACGACAAGCAGATGATGCTGAGAAGGAGCGCCTACGCCAGGAGGAGGATGACCGTCTTGAAGCAGAGCGGCAGGAGGCGGAGCAAGCACGTATCGCACTGGAGGAGGAGGAACAGAAACAGCAAGATGCTCTTGAGGCAGAGGAAGCTCAGCTTGAAGCTGAAGAAGCTGACGACATCGTTCAGACTTCATCACCCACCAGCGAGTCTCAAGAGCCCGAGGACGGCGAAGTCTCTGAACATGACGAAGCTCCAGTGCCTCAGCTTAACGGCGATAGCGGAAAGAAATTGAAGGAGTCACTTCGGATAGATACGAATGCTATGCCCCCTCCCACTGAGATTCCACGAAGACGTCCTGGCCCTCTCGACCTTGCTTCAGCGAAGAAAGATGTTTCTGCGCCTCCCCCTTCCGCACTTCTCACCGCACGTGTCATCGAGAATCTTAGCGAGGTTGCATATCCCGAAGGCATCAAGAGCCCCAAAGTTGAACTCAATGCAAATGTCAAGGATGGCCGATTCAGGTGTGTTTTACCTCTTTCACTTCGAGCGTGTCGTTCATTGCTTCATGTAGATATGACCGTGACTTCCTTATGCAGTTCATGCACATTTGCAAGGAGAAGCCGCCTACCCTTCCTGCTCTCGACGTCCTCGGCATTGAACCCGTCGATCAAGCTTTTCCCATGGCCCGCGGAGGCTCCGGACGTCATCGCAACGCCTCTGGTGCGATGCCTATTTCTGCCGGCCGCCAGGCTTCTGTAGGTCTGGGCATCGGTGGCTTCCAGAAACCCTCCGTTCCAAGCGGTTTCCAGATGGGCAATTTCCAGTCCCCAGGAAGCAAACTTACCAGCGAGGAGCGGTTTGCCATGTCTAACTCTCGTTCTGCTTCAACTAGCAGTGCTACTTCCCAATTCCGTTCCCCGATGGTGCGCACACCTAGCACAGGTGGACCTGGTCATCCCATGCATGGCAGCAACCGCATACGTAGTAAACGCGGTGAGAAGCGTGGCGATGCTAACAAGGCACCGATGTCCCAGCAAGATCATGGTTCTGGCTTCGGCGCTGCACCTATCCTGGGCGCTGGCTTCGAGCCCGTTGTACCTCTCGAATTATCTGCCAACCGTTGGGTTCCTACGAGTACGACTCGCAAGACTCAACCTGATGTTGATTCACCTGAGCTGGTTGACCGTAAGGTTAAGGCACTGCTCAACAAGCTTACGATGGAGAAATTCGAGGCGATTTCAGACCAGATCATCCACTGGGCCAACAAGAGTGTGAATGAGAAAGATGGGCGAACGCTCATCCAAGTCATCCGGCTGGTGTTCGAGAAGGCGACTGACGAGGCTGCTTGGAGCGAGATGTATGCACGGCTGTGTCGGAAGATGATGGAGCAGATCAGTCCCGAGGTGCAGGATGACGGGATTAAGAATACGGAGGGCAAGCCCATTGCTGGCGGACAACTGTTCCGTAAGTATCTCCTCAACCGGTGTCAAGAAGACTTTGAGCGCGGGTGGTTCGCCAAGGAAGCTACCGCTGCCGCCGCCGCCGCGAAGGCTTCCGACGATCATGCAACCAAGGCTGCTAATGACAAGAAGGGCACGGAGGAAGCTGAACTCTATTCGGATGAGTACTACGCTGCACAGAAGGCGAAGCGTCAGGGTCTTGGTCTCATCAAGTTCATCGGCGAGCTGTTCAAGCTGCAGATGCTCACAGAGCGTATTATGCACGAGTGTGTGAAGAAGCTGTTGGGCAACGTCGAGAACCCAGAGGAAGAGGAGATTGAGAGCTTGTGTCAACTATTAAAGACAGTCGGCCAGTTGCTTGATACGCCGAAAGCCCGCGCGCATATGGACGTTTATTTCACGCGCATGAAGGAGCTCGGCAAGAGTCTCAACGTCAGCTCTCGTATGCAGTTCATGCTTCAGGTGCGTGGTATTTCGGGGTATCTTTTGTCAGTTGTACTGATTGTAATCTCAGGACGTTATTGAGTTGCGTGACCGTAAATGGGTCAGCCGGAATGCTGTTGCTGCGCCTACGACGATCGCCGCTGTTCACGAGCTGGTAAGATAAACCAGTGTCGCGGAAATATTTGCACTGACACTTGACTTGTGTTACAGGCCGCCAAGGAGAAAGCAGCTGCAGAGAAGGAGTCTTTCAACCGTCAGATAAGCATGTCCCGCGGTGGTTCTCGACGCGGCGACAACCGCAACCAAGAGCATGGCCCTGACGGCTGGGCTGTTGCAGGTGGCAGCTCTGTTCCGCGGGCACCTCCCAAGGCTGGTGATCTGTCGCAGTTCGGCAAAATATCCAAAGGCCCAGCCATGGGAATGGTAATGGGTCCAAGCGGCGTCTTCGCGGCCGGCAAGAAGGATAGCAAGCGAGAGACACTTTCCCGGACGAATTCAAGTTCGAATATGTTCCACATGCTCAGTCAGAATCCTGAACTTGCCGCTGAGGCATCTACGAAACCCAGTCGTTCGTCGAGTCGGAAACCAAGCGTTGACCTTGGTCACACCGGTGTTCCCGAGCCTGCCGTACAGCGCAGGAAGCTCCAGCTTCTTCCACGGTCCATTCATACTGAAGAGAACGCCACGACTCCTTCAGAAGAAGAACCCGAAAACGCACCTACCGCCATGTCAGAAGCAGACGCGAAGAAGAAGGTTGATGAAGACGTGAAGGAGTTCTTTGCTGTTCGCAATCTTGAAGAGGCGGAGGTCTACTTTACCAATCTTCCTGACGAGCACCGTTTCCGGCTCGTGGACAAGCTGGTTGCGTCCGCGCTTGAAAGCAAGGAGGCGGATGCGAGATTGGTTGGTGAATTCTTCGCACAGGCTACGAGTAGTGGGCAGTGTACGCTTGAGGTTATTGAGGAGGGGTTCATGCCTATGGCGGAGTTTTTGGACGATATTGCCATCGATGCTCCAAAGGCGTTTGACTACATGGCTATTATGCTCAAGGGCGCTGGAATCGAGAATGAGCCTGAGAGACTCCGGCGAATCGCTTCGAAGCTAGAGGATAGCGACAAGCTAGTCTCTCTCGTTGCATGATCTGTCCTACTCACATCGCACATTTTCGATTCCACACCTGCATTTTTATCGCATTTTCGTTTTCGTTTCATTTTTCTGATCGTATTGCACACGTTCTTGGTGTTCTGCAAACTAATATATACATCGCATGGCACTTTTGCGTTTGTCCTTTTTTTTGTTATCGTTCACTACAGTATTACAGCGGCATAGGCTATAGCTAGCAGTACATCAGGTACCAGCAATATCATTTCAGATTCCGACCGTGGGCTTGACGCAAGCCTCATTGCAATCGACACGGCCCGTTGGCTGCATCAGGCTTTTTATCATGCAGATTGGGCGCCAATCTCCAGCTCCTCGACATGTCTGCCACCATTCACGTCGACTACCAGAAACCCTCCGTTCCAAACAGTTTCCAGGTGAGCATCTTCCGATCCCCAGGAAGTGAGCTAACCAGCGAACAGTGTTTTGCTATGCCATCATCCAACCACCGTTCTGCAAAGAGCCCTGCTATTACCGCTCCGATGGTGCACACGCATAGCCAGGTTAAGACGCGTAGTAGTGCTAACAAGGCGCCGATGTCCCAGCAAGGACAAAATACTGGCTTCAAGCCTGTTGTGCCTATCAAATCGTCTGCCAACCGCTGGGTTCCTACGAGCACAACTCGCAAGGGTCCGAGTCAACTTGATGTTGATTCACCTGAGTTGGTCGACCGTAAGGTTAATGCACTGCTCAACAAGCTTACGATGGAGAAATTCGGGACGATTTCAGACCAGATCATCTACTGGGCCAACAAGAGTGTGAATGAGAAAGACGGGCGAACGCTCATTCGAGTCATCCGGCTGGTGTTCGAGAAGGCAATCGATGAAGACGTTTGGAGCGAGATGTACGCGAGGCTGTGTCGGAAGATGATGGAGGAGATCAGTCCTGAGGTACAGGATGACGGGATCAAGGATATGGAGGGCAAGCCTATTAGAGGTGGCCATCTCTTTCGGAAGTATCTCCTCAGCCGATGCCAAGAAGACTTCGAGCGTGGATGGTTTGCCAAGGAAGCTGCTGCATCCGCCACGACGAAGCTATCTAACGATCAAGCAACTGAGGCTACTCGCGAGAAGAAGAGCACGTTGAATACTGGGTTTGATTTTGAGAAGGCAAAGCGCCATGGTCTCAATCTCATCACGTTTATCGGAGAGTTGTTCAAAGTGCGGATGCTCACACAGCGTATCATGCACGAATGTGTGAAGAAGCTGTTGGGCAACGTCGATAACCCAGGGGAAGAGAAAATCGAGAGCTTGTGTCGGCTGTTGAAGACGGTTGGCCAGTTGCTTGACACGCCAAAAGCCCGCGCGCATATGGACGTTTATTTCACGCGCATGAAGGAGCTCGGCAAGAGTCACAATGTCAGCACTCGTATGCAGTTCATGCTTCAGGTGTGTGGTATCTTCTGGGCATCTCTGTCGATTGTGCTCATCATCGTGATCTTAGGATGTCATCGAGTTGCGTGAACGTGCATGGTTGAATCGCAATGCTGCTCTTGTGACGATTGCTGCCGTTCGCGCGTTGGTAAGATAGATTGGTATCGTTCGAAATTTTCATACTGACACTCGTGTTACAGGCCGCCAAGGAGATAGCAGCTGCAGAGGAGGGTCGAAGGGAGACTGACCGCAACCAAGAGGATGGTCCTGATGACTGGGCAGGTGAATACGTTCTGCGCAAGGCTAGTAATCTGTCACCGTTTGGCGACATCACCAATGGTCCACCCAGTCCAAGCGACATCTTCGGGGCTGACACGAAGGATAGCAAGCGGATGGCACTTTTGCAGACACACTCGAGCTCAAATGTGTTCCTCATGCTTGACGAGAATCCTGAAACCGCCTCTGAGGCGTCCACAAATCCCAGTCATTCGCCGAGCCAGATACCAAGCATTTATCTTGGTCATGATGGTATTCCTGAGCCTGCTATACAGCACAGGAAGCCTCAGCTTCTTCCGCGGTCCGTTGACGCTGCTGACGAGAGCATGGTAACTCCGTTGGCAGATGAACGCGAGGGCGCGCCTATTACTATGTCAGAAGCCAAAATTCAGGAAGAAATTGGTAGATACGTGAGGGCTTTCTTCGCGGTTCGCAATCTCAAGGAAGCGGACATCTCCTTCACGAATTTTCCGAATGAGCTCTGCTTCCGACTCGCGGACCACCGTTAGATACGCATGTCTCGCGGTCGTCCTCGAGGCGGCAGCGAGCACAACCAAGAATAGCTTTTCTGGTAGCTTGATCCTCCCCCTCTCACTCGCACGCATGTGACGTTTTCGATGCATTTTTATTCTTACATTCTCATGGTATTTGTTTTCGTTCGCTTTTGGATTGTATCCCGCACTTTCTTGGTCTTTTTGCAAACTGGAGTATGTACACCACGACACTCTTGCATTCGTCCTCTTTGTAGTATCGTTGATCGATATCATATACAAAGGCAAAGGCTTTAGCCACTAGCCTTTGATGTCAGACATTGCAGGATAGTACGAGCTACAGGCCTCCTTTATGGGCCTATCGATCCTTTAGTCCCTCGGAATTTGAGGGTCGACATTACAGATGCACACTCAGGCTGAACAACTTGAAGGAGCGCAGACAAGGCTTCAAACTTTTGTGATGCGTTGTATTGGGGAGAGAGTAAGACGCAGGCGTGGTCAAAACTTAAAAGGCGGCCCAGGGAATGGCATTCAAAAGTTCCTTTTAGAGTGGAGTTGTCGGAAAATCCGAGTCTGGCCGAAGTTACTATCGGATCGGTGTATTTCGGCTGTGTTTTTCTTGAAGTTCTATACTTATTCTCCAGTAAGTCAGAATTTAAAAGGAGGACAAACGTTTCTTTTTTTCACAGCTATCTGATAATCAGCCTTCATGTTCATGTTCATCAAACGTCCAACATATGTCTACATACGGTGATCATGGAGAAGATAATCAACATTCATCTGTGGCTCGCGAACTTTTGATTCTCTACGCTACGGAAACAGGTACAGCTCAAGAAACTGCTGATCGCATTGCAAGGGAATGTCGAAGAGTCCGTTTTCACTGTCGTGTGCAGAGCATGGATGTGTATCCACCAGTAGGCAGCTTCCCAATCCTTGTAACATGGTGTTCAAGTACTGTACAGGAAACATTGATTTCAGAGCACTTGGTCATCTTTGTCGTTTCGACCACTGGCTGGGGAGCTGAACCCAGAGCCATGACTTCGTTATGGAACATGTTGCTGAGGTCTGATCTCCCAGATGACCTATTCGAAGATATGGATTTCTGCGTGTTCGGCCTTGGCGATACGGCCTATGAGAAATTCTGTTGGCCGGCAAAGAAACTATCGAGAAGAATGCAGAGTTTGGGAGGTTATGAAATTTGCTCACGAGGAGAAGGAGACGAGCAACATCGCATGGGGTGGGTATCCTTCGTTTCCCCCGTCTCATGAGGCTGATTAAAGTGCAGGGTAGATGGTGCATTAGATCCTTGGATTGAACGTCTCCTAGAAGTCCTCATACAGCTCTACCCACTATCGCACGAGCAAGATTACATTCCGGCTGGTCGACCACCACCTCGCGTATCCTTGAGCAATGTAGCATCCGATACCTCGCTGGATCCAGATCCTCTAGATGAGGACACGAAATTTCATATAGCTTCGGTGAAATGCAACAGACGGATCACTGCGGAGGATTGGTTTCAGGACGTACGCCATTTTGAGTTCTCTTTCGAAGACGATATAAAGTACAGGTCTTTTTATCTTGAATTTTTTACCGCTACTGATGGAAAATTTTAGATATAATCCTGGAGATGTTGCTGTGATTCATCCGTCTGCAGCTGCATCAGAAGTTGACTCTTTCCTTGTCACCATGGGCTGGGCAGATGTTGCCGACGATTTTTTCACAATAGAACATACAATGTTAGGTAGGACGAAACAGGACCCAGTAAGACCTGTCTAATGTCTTATAGATCAAACGTTGCCCGACCATCTACCGAACATCGTTTCCCTTCGAATCCTATTCACACGCTATGTCGATTTCAATGCTGTACCCCGCCGATCTTTTTTCCAACTGCTGCGACATTTTGCTATCGATGAGCTCGAACGCGAAAAACTTGATGAATTTGTATCAATAGAAGGAGCGGTACGTCAGGTTTTTGCATCTTTCTTTCATTTATTGAGGATGTGCAGGACGACATGTATGATTATTGTCAACGCGTGAAACGCACGGCCTGGGAAGTATTGTCCGAGTTTCGATCAGCAAGGATACCGAGAGAGTATGTCTTTGACTTGTTCCCTCCACTTAGACCAAGAGAGTTCTCGATTGCTAGTTCCATCGAGGTGAGCTCGAGTCGAAACATGCTCACTGTAGCCCAATTTACCTGTGTTTTGTCAGCTCCATCCCCGTGAAATCCATCTCTGTGTTGCTATAGTGCGCTATCGCACAAAGTTGAAAATCCATCGAAAAGGTGTCTGTACTAGTTATCTATCGGGGCTTAAATTAAGTCAGTGCGGCGTTCTAGCACAGTCCCTGAACTTATATCATCTCCAGGAGATACTCTTCGTATCGGTCTCAGAAAGGGTTTCATCTCACTTCCTACGGATCCAAACACACCAGTGGTGTGCGTGGGTCCCGGAACAGGTATTGCACCTATGCGTGCCGTCATTGAGCAACGCATGCACGAGGGATACATCAGTATGTTTTGCTATCTTTGTATATCAGCTGATCCTTGATGATCCCAGATACTACCTTATACTTTGGTTGCCGTTCTGCACACAAGGATCAGCATTATCACACGGAATGGGAATCTCACGCGGAAGAACAAAAACTCCGTTACCGCGTTGCATGTTCTCGTGATGGACCAGAGGGTGTCAAACGGACGTATGTGCAAGATTTGATGAAGGAAGATGCACAAGATCTTTGGACAATGCTAGGGCAGCAACGAGGCATCATTATCATCTCAGGGTGGGTCTAGATTATATGTAACGTGCGATGAAATTCAAGCTCTTATTATAGTTCTTCGAACAAAATGCCTACTGCCGTCCGCGAAGCTGTGCGAGGCGCAGTGGAAAGGTTCGGAGGAAGGTCGAATGCTGAGGCTGTGGAGTATGTTGCTGCGATGGAGAGGGAGGGAAGGTTGATTGAGGAATGTTGGAGCTGAGAACATTCGAAACCAGTGAGCATCCCAGCAAGGACGGGTTTCTGGTCTAGGATCATCTGGCGTTGCACCTGTACTGGGTGCCAACTCCGAGCTTGTCGCACCCCTCAATTTGTCAACCAAGGTTCCTGTCAGTACAACTCGTAAGATCCAACATGACATCAACCACCTGAGCTGGTTGCCTGCAAGGTCAAGGTGCTGCTCGACAAGCTTACGATAGAGAGATTCAACTTGATTTCATATCATATCATCCACTGGGTGAAAGAGAAGACGGGCGGACCCTCATCCGAGTCATTCGACTGGCAATCGAGCACGCGACGAATGGAGCAAGATGTATGCACGGCTCTGTTGGAAGAGAACAGATCAGTCCGGAGGGAACGATGTGGAAGGAAAACCTATCACCGGTAGTCAGCTCTTCCGGAGGTATTTGCTCAGCCTGTGTCAAGAGGATATTGACCACGTGCGGCTCTGAAGGGAAGTTGCCCCCTGCTCTAAAGGCCTCAGATGACAAAGCTGTTGGTGAACAGAAGGCAGATATTTCTACGCTGAACAAAAGGCAAAGCGCCTGGGTCTCGGTCTCATGATGTTCCTCAGCGAGCTGTTAAAGCGACAGGTAATCACGGAATGTGTTATATACGAGTGTGTCAAGAAGCCGTTGTGCAACCTCGAGCATCCTAAGGAAGAGGAGCTTGAGAGCTATGTGCACATGGTCGTTTACTTCACGAGCTGGGCAAGGCCTAAATACCAGCTCTCGTGTGTAGTTCATATTTCAAGTGAGCAAAATTTCTGTGACTCGATCGGTTGAACTCATTATCGTGATATTAGGACGTCAAATTGAGTTGTGTGACCGTATAAAACAGATCAGATGCAATGCTATTGCTACACGATTGTTACCCTTTGCGAGGTCATCCCACGTTCCCCTGTATTTCCTCGTGCAATGCTCAACATACGATCTCGATCGGGAGTTAACACACGTTTGTTCATGCCCAATAAACGCCCAACCTACTGGCACCACAAGTTCTACCAAGTCCCAGACTCCGCTCCCTTCGTAGTCAGTTTGGGCAGAGGGCCTGCCGTAGAGCAGATCATCGTAGCTCTTTCACCGCAATCGCAGTCTCCCACTCCTATTGATATTGGATCTCCAAAAGCTAGTTCTCAATTGAGACGTCGAAGGGCGTGTCCTTAAGGGATATCTGGCGTCTCAGCCCCTATCATGTGGATTCAGTACGACCTGATCTTATTCTATCCTCATGCTAACGTTACGCCATGTCCAGTGCTAATTGTTACGTGTAGAATCCATCGGTTTTAGATCACTAGCGCAGATGATGCCTCAGTCCCATTATCACCAGCCGCCAAAGTCGTACGGTCTTTCGGATCCGTGCCCGTTACGTTTTCGGTAGATGGCAAAACCCTCTTCATCATTAACTCCGTCCAACTCAAGTACTCCCTCCTCAAAAACTCCGACGTCGGCGGCGTATGCGCCCGAACTGTCCGGAGCAGGTATCTCAAAACTCTTTTTCACTAGGTCACTGTAGAATCGCGACTTGATATAACCGGCTTCCTCATTTCTAACGGCTCTACCACAATCCATTTTTGACATTTAATTCTTTGCATAGCATTCTCATATCGCGCAAGTGCTACTCTACTTAATACGCGTAACTCACACGGTATTCTTTGGCCGCACTTTTCTTGTCTTTCGTTCACTAGATACAGCGACTTCTTGCTTACATCAGCATGTCAATCTCCGACTAATGTCATTATAATGGCCAGTTGGAAGGGTTGTTCTCGTTCTCACCAAGTTCGCCCATCATCGCGGTGACGCCGAAATGTCGGCGCAAGTCTCAGCATCATCTTCAGAACACAGCCCATGGACAACCATCAGGACGCATCTCAACTTTTTCCGCATACATGTCATCTTCTTGTGAGCTCGCCATATCATTTAGCTTCATCGCAGAATTTGTTGACATGTGTTTTTAGCACTTTGACTCCCCTGATATTCTCCGGAATCCTTTATGCTAGCAATGGCAAATATCCAATATCATACATCGATGCGCTATACAATTCAGTCAGCGCGATAACTATGTGCGGTCTCGCGACAGTGAACTTGAGCCAGCTTACTGCTTGGCAGCAAGTGTTGTTGTTCATCCAGATGTGTATTGGAAACATAGTGCGTTCCTTGGCTTCAGGGACACTGTGGCATGATGGCTCTCTAACCTTGGCTCCAGGTTATTGTGTCATGGGTGATGGTGTACATCAGGAGGTTGTTATTTATACCATGCGCGTCAATGATATTCACTCATAATGTTACAGGTACTACTTTGCTACGACATTCGATCATATCATTGGAGCAGAGGCTGCCAGAAAGGCTGCGATCAAGGTAGAACAGCAGCTTGCCACTGCATCTGCACAGAATTCTGTCGGCAGCAAAAGCAACTGGCCCCGCCGTATCTTCCGAAGGAAAAACATCCTTAGTACAGTACTGGAGGGTTCTGCTAGTGACGATCCTCGAACGACACCGAAGGACGGCACAAAGATATTGAGACCCGATATGATCAGGCGCGTGGATAGTCAACCCAAACTGGTCAACCCGAGCGGACGGATTACAGAAAGCGGTACGGTCCCTATGAAGCATTTTTCGTTGAAATCTGCAACGAGCTTGAATATGCAAGAAGAAGAACAAGGGCAAGGGCCCTCTCCCCGTCATATTGAGTTGGAAAATGATGTCGAGATCAAGAACCTCCATGTAGAAAGTACCAACGTAGGGCCCGCAGATCTAAAAAGAACCCTCCCGTAAGCATCTACAACCCTATATTTGGTACCGGCGAGCTTGACATCTATCTTACATCAGTGGGCACGTAGGTCGTCTTTCCGGTTCAGAAAGTCGTGGGGAACTCTCAAATTGCATGCCCGAAGCGGGTAAAGGTGCTGTAATGTCCGCTGTATCGACTGAAATGCCACAGACAGCAACTATCGAGTTCGCACCCAACGTTTCTCGTTCCCATCCCCCACTATTTCCTGTCGGTAGCCAAATCGGACGCTCAGGTTCCCCTGAAATTTCATCAAATATTTCAGGGTTCTCTGCTCCCCGCCGCCGCCGCCGCCGTTCTTCCGTAGTCCCTCAACAACCGCACGTGCCATTAGCACAGCACCCGACCATTCAAACACATCGATCTAGTGATGCTAGGCGCGCATCGAATCTGTATCATGTCGACCAACCGCAGGAGCAGATGCTACGAGGGTTCGGGGGCTTTCCTATGCCCCACGAACTGCTGGGTATGCTGTTTGGCTGGCTGTTTCCTAATACCATGAATAGACTGAAGAGAACTGTGACGATTCCTATCACTACTACACTGACGGGCGGTGGGCTTGGACGGACTACGAGTGGCGCTTCGAGTATCCCTGGGAGGCCAACACACAGCGGAAGCATCAGTGCTAAGGAGGGTACGAAGCCTGTAACGTATATTTCGTTCGACGCCGTCGTTGGGCGGAATTCTGCGTTTCATCTTTCGACTAACGAACAGCTTGAGGAATTGGGTGGGGTTGAATATCGGGCACTGAACGCGCTGCTATGGTTAGTTGCATCTGTGAGTGATCTTGTTTTCAGTCGTCCTCGCCGAGTTAAAATGTCTTCGTAGTATCACATAGTCGTACAACTGGTTTCCTTTGTGGTGATCGCTCCTTACATGACATTGCCAAAGTGGGCGAGCGATTTCGTACCTCCTGCGCAATTTAGAGTAATTACAGTTCCTTGGTGAGCAGCGCGTCTTACAGCGCTAAATGAAACACGTCGACTAATAGAAGAATGCAGGTTTTCATTGTTCCAAGTCGTATCAGCATACACAAACACCGGAACTTCTCTTGTTGACCAGAATATGGTACCCTTCCAGACAGCTTATCCAAGTGAGTATTATATATCATGTATACTGAATAATGTTGACGTTTTTTCTTGGTTAAGTGATCTTTTTTATGATATTTTGTATTTTGGCTGGCAACACTGCATTTGTAAGTGCCACTGCGCTCAGTTTAACAACATAATAACCATTCGTCATCGTTAGCCTATACTGTGAGTTTGAAATCCGGAGTGCATAACAGTTCTTACTCAACAATCTGAAGGCTCCGGTTTCTCATGTAAGTATGCTCTCTCTGTGATAAACTTGCTTGTTGTTCATTATAGAAAGCTGGATCATCACGAAACTTGTAACGAAGGACTCTCGACTGGATGAAACACTGCATTTTCTCCTGGACCATCCCCGCCGATGCTTTGTTTATCTTTTCCCTTCGTACCAAACTTGGTTTCTTCTTACGATTCTGCTCATGATGAAGTATGCACATCTCACGACTATTTCTGTTATCGTAATACTGAACTCGGTAATATAGCCTTACAGACTGGTTCTGCTTTTTGGTCCTTGATATTGGTAACCCTGACATCGATTCCATACCTTTGGGAACGAGGGTTGTTGCCGGACTGTATCAGGCTATCGCTGTTCGTGCTGCGGGGTTTGGAATAGTTCCGCTTGCCAGAATAGCTCCTGCTGTCAAGTTAGGTTGAGCAATTGTTGTATGGAAAAGGCATTGACTTCAGGGAACAGAGTCATATATGTGATCATGATGTATGTTAGCGTATGTAAGTGCCTTGATTATCTTGACGATACACGTAAAACTGACTGCCTGTCAAGACCCTATTGCACTAAGGTGCGTTCGCCACTAGCAACCATGCAGATAGGTAATTATGATGCTTATTAATCCAGTGTCCGTTCGACAAACGTCTATGAAGAGCAATCCCTGGGTATATACAAGGATGATGATTCAGAGGTTGAAAATGCCTTTTCAACCACAGGTCCAAGGATGACGGTATGGTCTCGATACTTGGCCATGCATGCACGTCGACAATTGGCGTTTGGTATGTCTTATCTTCTTGTCTAATGACTTGTCTCATCCAGATATCAAGATATGTGGTGGTTGTGTCTCGTAAGCTTGCACGCAGTCACGTGGGGGACTAGACTGAAATTGTCTGACGTAGGCGCTGGTGTTGGTTTGTATCATAGAGGTGAGTGACGTAACGACGGAGGATTCGCAATGGTTCTAATGGGTCAACTAATGGTAGCGCGGAAACTTGGAAAACACGGAGATACAAGGCTGGTTCAATATTTTTACTATTAGTATGTCCTCGTCGTATCGAATTGCGGTCTCGGCTCAATTCCGACAAGTTTTCGAATTAGTCTCTGCATACGGCACTGTTGGTCTCAGTCTTGGTATACCTACCGTAAGTGACGGAGATGCTGTGTTATAATCACTGTATTCTTATGCTGTGGTAGGAAAATTACTCGTTTTCCGGTGCCTGGAAGCCTCTTTCAAAGCTCATAATATGCCTCGTCATGCTTCGCGGGCGACATCGTGGTCTCCCAGAGGCCATCGACCGCGCTATCATGCTCCCCTCCGAATTTGAAAAAACGAATGACGAGCCGCCCGTCCCTGTCACGCATGATGATAGGCAATCAAGCGCCCATGGCGGGTCGCTACACACGCGCGACGCCCCTTCGAAAGAGGACGGTCTCACTTCCAGCAACGAGATCTAGATTAGTTTGAGGGACGACTGAAGGAAGAAGATGAGAAGCGAAGTGGCAGATACGATGCTCTTGTTGAGCCTGGAAGACAACGGGATCTTCAGGAGCGGCTCTGACTCAATGGTTTGTCGGGCCCGTGTTACTGAGTCTGGTTGCGCGATGATCTGGCAAGCAAGAAAGGCTAGCGTGGCAGGCTAGTAGTAGAATAATCACCTGGCCCGTTATGATAAATAAAGCTAAAGAGTGCGTAACATCGAACAAGAATAGATATTGAAGCGTTCGCCGGGCAGAAATCAGTTTGATCATCCAGTGCCGGACTTCGTCCCGAACTCGACGGCGCCGAGGCACAATTGCTCGGCCACCATAAGAAGTTTGAGTCGGCCATCAGAAATTAGTTATAAACCCGGTAGTATTGCCAGAGAGGTACCAGATTGGTTTTCAATATGTCGAGGGATAATTTGGCCTCCTAAGTATTAGCACAGTGCCACTACTAGATCCGACATTCAATGTGGTTTTATGTAGCTACCATCAAATATTGGGTCTATATGGTACTTACTCGCCTCACGAACAAACTGCGGCCCTCAGGTCGAACTCTAAATTTACAGCATAAAAACACGTTCACTCCTTGTTGGACCAACCTATTTATATCTGTGCCTACAATATTCTCATTGAACTACACACTTCACGGAACTGCGGGATAGGAATATTAACATTACCTGGCGTTTTCAGCAACAGAAGACAGTTGCTGAAATAGCTCAACTTGTTGGGTGCATTCAGCGAAAATCTTGAAACTTCAAGTTCACCGAGATTTCGGACAGAAAACGAAATTCTTTTGCTCTTGTCGTGGCAGGTCTCGTATTCTCAAGAACAATGCGGACGGCAAGAAAGATTTCTTCGAGCCCATACTGTTGAGAAAATGGTAAGATTGGCCTTGTCAGCTGGTTGGACATCAATTATACTATACCTTGTAGAGACAAAGTTCACGTTTTGTAAAAAAACCCTCGTGTACGGCATAGTTCACCTGAATACAGCAAAACACTTGCAGGGAAAGCGGAGAATTCATGCAGTGAGTCTAACATGAAACCGGAGCTACATTCCGATTGGGAGACTCTGCAGTGGGAAGTCACAATATCTAAGAATGAAGACTATCAGCTCAAAGGGGGACAAACGGAATACATACAGTATTGTTGCTTGATGATCCATGAGGCATAGTGTACGCGCATTGCTTCGGCAAGATATTAAAATCAAAGTTTCCGTGATCCTCGAGGCTGAAATCAATGACATTGACGTCGCTAAAAACAAAAGACTTGACTGTCGGATCGCTGGAAATCTCCGCGACCCGTGATAATCAATTGATTTACATGGGAGCTCAGCGCTCAGCGATAAGCGAGGCGTGGGCAGGGATCCGAGGAGTGTGTATGATTTAAGAGGAATGAGCTCTTATCATATGATAACCAATCATTTGGTACAAAGTTGAAAACAGTTGTTGGCGGCGTGTGCAATAGTGAGAACGAGAAAAAATGTCTGCTTGCATGCAAGCAAATAGCTTTGTGGGTGGAAGCCCCGAAGGGGCAACCTGGCCCTGGCCCGACCTGTGCAAAAGTTAGCCGATGTGAGCTGCGAGGGCGGTTGAGCAACCTCGCAGCCTCAGACCCAGCCGCAGGTTCGGGCGCCAGCCACCCGGACCCACTGACAGTAGCTTGGATGTGACTATATAGCTAAGGAATTGAGTATTGGTATAGTAGAAAATTATAATGTAGGCTGCGAAGGAAAGGGAGTGGTGTGGGGAAAAGAAAATCCCAAAGGCGGGAGGCTGCAGAGCATCTGCAGGGTGCCAGAGCTAGCCTGGGCGCTGTGTGGTAGGACGGAGAAGAGAAGTCACGCGATGCACAGCCACTACTCGAAGTCCTTACATATTCTAACCTTACACTCATACCTCACTTCGGGGTAGAATTCCAAAACAGTACTTTCGCCCTAATCATTCACGAAATGTACCCGCCCGCACCCCATCGAGGCGAAGATGTCGATGCTGCTATTCGTCAGACAGATTCAGATGCAGCGTTGGCACGACTATCTGCAGTTAGGAAAGGCTATCTGAACGACCGCTTCATCAGTTCCCTGGTGCCTCGGGCACAGCTACAGCCTCTGCGACCACCATTGATCAATATCGGCACCCATGTGCGATCCGAAGCTATCGACAGACTTGTGGAACAGTGGCTTGACCTCTGCAAGTCGGAGGGGAAACCTTGTCAGATTGTTAGTCTCGGAGCAGGGAGTGATACACGGTTTTGGCGTTTAATGGTAATCAATGGCTTCCTATCCCCAACGACGGGCTGACGATGAACGACCAGTAGGATGGACCCTGGAAAGAACAGATCGGAGCCTATTTCGAACTCGACTTCCCAGACGTGACCCTGAAGAAAGCAATGGCCATTCGCAATCCGAGAAGTGGGCTCAGCACTACTCTTGGTCATTCGGAGTTAGGTCAGTGAGATCGCCGAACGATGCGCGAATGATCACTTCAATGATCCTTGTCACAGATCTTGGCGGGCAGGCTCTGCACTCGTCTACATATCATCTTTTGCCATGTGATCTTCGCAGACCCCCCGTAGATATTTTTCCAGGCCTCTTCAAAGAGCATCTGTCACCTGCTCTTCCAACACTTCTATTGTTTGAATGCGTGTTGGTTTACATGTCTCCGGAGGCCTCATCCACTTTGATCCAATGGTTTGTTGACTTCTTCAGTCCAAGTACCCACACTCCATCGCCAGGCACTTTGGGATGTACGGTGTATGAAATGTTCGGGCTGGAAGATTCCTTTGGGCAGGTCATGATGAACAATCTCCGAGTAAGTCGTCCGCTTTGACGTTGACTGTCTAATCTTAGTGCAATGTATCACAAAAGGCGAGAAATGTTTCTCTTCCTGGGGCGAAGCCATATCCTTCGGTAGACTCTCTCCCCGCCCGTTTCCTAAGGCATGGATTCACTTCTGCGAAGGCGCTGACTCTTCGGAACATCAGAAGCAATTACATAGAGCCGTCAGAATTAGAAAGGTCAGTCTTCTTCTTATGATATACTTAATATGATTATGATTCAGTAAATCTCGTTTATCTGTATCTTACACAGAATATCTAGCCTTGAAATGCTTGATGAGGTCGAAGAGCTCAATCTTGTTTTGGAACACTATGCAATCACATGGGGTATGAAGGCCTTATCGGCCGCGACAATATCCCCATGGATTGAATGGGGCTTGCGTCCGGTCAAACAACAACATATCATATAGTATGACGCCACTTTTTGTCGTCATAATCCCTTTGAGGCGTGCGCAGTAATGTATGTGTCAAATGTTCCAGTGAATGTGGTCATATTGAACTCGCCAAGCAGTACACTAATACGAGCGGAGCATAACTGTTCTCACCAAACAAAGAGAAGGACAAGAGAAAGAAGAGAGATTCCGCAGTCAGTGCCGTAATAATAATAAAAAGAATGAGCGCAACTCCGCGCGCCCAACGTCATTCGAAGTCTATTTCAAATCGACCAATCACCTAAATCCTGCAAGTAATCTACATACAGCGGTATGATGGAGGTCCCAGAGCCTAGTTCTAGTCCGGCACACGCCAAGTAGATGTCTACAGCTTGTTCTTGATCTCTCTGAGACGGGCACCTTGAAGTCGTTCGTCTACAAGGGAATCGTATTAGAATATCAAAGAGAAGATACAGGACTTACAGTTGCTCTCATAGAGGTTATCATTAGGCACAGAAACTATGTGCAGGTGGATGTTTGAGGAGTCAACCATCTCTGGTATGACCTCCTTTATGTTGCGTGCCCCCAGCAAACGCATGTTCATTTCAAACTCATCCTATCAGCGTAATCAGAAGACGTATATCTTTGGGGAGAAGAAACACACATGCAAAATTTGAAGGGCCTGGTTGACACCCTCAGGTCCGTAAGATGAGTAGGCATACAAGAATGGTCGACCAACACCAACTGTGCAGGATCAGCACACAGAAGCATGATTTCATATATGGTTTCTCGACTTACCAGCTGTAGCACCCAATGCAACGGCTTTCAACACGTCAGTCGCACGGCGGACACCACCATCGATGAATAGCTGGAATTTCTCATTAGGAAACGACAATCCACGTTTCTCCTTGAGTTTGGTGGTGACTTCAACGAGTACTTCAAGACCTGACCGTGCGAATTCGAGCTGACGTCCGCCATGATTTGATAGAACGACGCCACTAAGTCCGATGTCGTATGCTTCCAGTGCATCCTAGCATAAAAATGTATGTAAGGCTCGATACCAGGAAAGGATACTCAAAGTACCTCCCAACATTGAACACCTTTCAGGATGAGGGGCACTTCAAATCATGAGACCAGATAGTTTTTGGACAAGTGCTTCTGCCCCTTACTGTTAGTGATATTCCTAAACCATGCCATATCAGACCAATTCAATCCAGGGTCGATGAAAGACTGTCAGTCAATGAGCCATGCACGACCATGGAACCCTGCATATCACTCACGCTGATAGCTCGCGCGGCTCCCTGGGAGCGATCGACTCCCCCTTGGTCCGCCCTCCTAACCTCCGAGGGGTCATCAGCTTCAAACTTTTGTCGCATGTCTTTTTCTCTGCGGCCGAGCTGTGGGGCATCGACGGTAATGAATAGACCTTTGATGCCGCGTTTCTCAGCATGCTGAACTATACGTTTCGTAATTGCGCGATCTTTATTGACATAAAGTTGGAAGAACTGGACTTGGCCAGGGGCTGCATTGTCCACGATTTCATCGAAGGAGCACGAAGCAAGGGTTGGGATCTAAAACGAACATGGTAACGGCAACTCAATGATATGGATCCATCAGAAATACGAACCATCTGGATAATACCATGTTTCGCCGCTGCCCGTGTCAAATTTAACTCGCCGTCGGGATGACCCAACTTTCCCAACGCTGTGGCACTCTGTAGAATAGACCATTTAGAATATTAAACATTCGATTGGAAAAAATAGAGTGTACGATGTACACCGGCATGCTTGACTTCTGCCCTAGTATTGTTGTTGACCAATCGACTTTAGTCACATCTCTAAGAATCCGTGGACGAAACCATATCCTGGAGTACGTAACGTTGATCAGAATTCCATACGTTGGTTTGTGATTAGATATACCTATGAAAGGCAGCATGATTCTCCCTGTTCGTGATTTCATCATCAGCTGCTGAAGAGTAATATGCCCATGCTTTCTCTGGTATAGTATATTTCGCAATGGCCTGTAGAACAGTGAATGAATATATGAATTGTCCAGATAGCGAAAGCAAACCTCAAAGTCATGAAGGCTCAACATCTCAGAAAGGGGTGGGCGAGCAGCAATACGTTCTTGACGTGCATGTTCTTCGTCAGTAATCTTCACCTCAGCCTTCTCCACAGTCGTGAGATCAACACTCCCCAATCTGACATGAGTGAGTTTTGGCCATGATCATGTCAATGGAAAACGCTGACTGTTTCTCAGGTTTGAGGTTAGTCGTAATGGCATCCGGTGGATGAATTGGGTCATATTCTGCACTGTCAGAATGACATAAGAAACAAACAAGCGGAAGGCATTGAGAATGACGTACGTCGCGTCCTTTCCAGCATACTTCAAGATTATCTTGCTTCCACCTGTTGTTATCAATCAGTCGATATGCATTGTTGCACAAGAGGTTGTGTTTCACCAGGGTGGTCTGTGCAGGTACAGTCAGTCTAGAGTTGGTCACATTGTAAGGTGCTTACCGTCCAGGAAGTCTGTGACATCGTAGACCTTGCCTACATACAAAGGTGCAAGTCAGCTATTCACTTTTGTTGACCCCGAGGTAGACGAATACAAGGCTGGGATCATATGAGAAATATGCACTCACCATGTACAATAATCCAGCAGCTCTCGCGGCTGTTGTGCACAGCGACTTCCTTGCCAGAGTACGTTCTGCCTGAGCTTGCCATGGTGGTTGTTGCGTTGTAAGAGAACCTGAACACGATGGTCTTGAAGAAGGTTGCTTTACAAGCTTATTCAAATGGTCAAACTCTTGAGGTCATAAGAACCGACGGAGCGCCGTGGCCGACTGGATGCCGGATGGAGTATTTCTGGAGTCGGCGACCCATTCCGGGAACCTGTGATCGTCATGAACAGCCTCGCTTAGTTTGCGTTATTATTATAAGAATTTCAGATGTATTGCATGCATGCTGCTTGTAGAGAGGTAAAGAAAAATCTAATGATAACAGCGTAATGATAGTTGGGTGCCGATGCCTGCGTTAATTGAAACAGTCGGAAAAGCGAATTAGAATGGCACAGTAACGAGAGTGATGCATTGATGTCCGAGCCAATTTGGCACTAAATGACGTCAAACGCACTACCTCCTGCCCTTGCATCTAAGTCGACAACTTCTTGAAGACCCATGACTTCAAAGAAGGCCTTGGGATCCATGCCCTTGGCCGATGAAAAGTCAGTGCCAGTCTTCTTCAGGGATTTCATAGCGGCACGAATGCCGTGCACGGCAGCGACACAGGAAACGAGTGAGAAAACTAAAAACATGTTCAATCATCCCCTCTCATGTAGATAGTGTGCTCAACTTACTTATCATCTTGGCGCCGAGCGCCTCGGCCTCTTTGGTAGTAAAGGAGGGTGTTAGGCCACCAGAAATAACATTTACAAGAACGGGTTTAGGTTTCAAGGCTTCGACTGTAGAGGTTAGAAGCTGAGCGGTTTTGACGCCTTCGATGAAGCAGACATCGGCACCGGCATCTGCCGCCAGCTTCAACCGAAATACAGCTTCTTCCATGCCAAGGACCTGAGCGGAGTCAGTACGTCCAATAATGACCTATCAAGATAGATGAGATCAGAAATTAAGAATCACAAATTACCCCTTACGAAGTTAGAACCTCCGGGGAAAGAGTCACGAGCAATGACAGCAGCTCGAATACGGGTGACAAATTCCTCTCTGGAGACAACCTGCTTGCCAGTCAAGTGACCGCAACGTTTAGTTTGCACTTGGTCCTCGATATGCATGGCAGCAACACCAGCACGGATGTATTGATAGACTGTGCGAGCAACCATGGCAGTACCGCCGAATCTGAATTATGCAAAGGCGTTAACTGAGATGTCTGCACGTATACAAGATACGCTTACCCAGTATCAGCATCAGCAATGACAGGAGTGGTTGGGCTCAAGCCGCACACCATCTGCGCACTTTGGACGAAGTCGTTCAGTGTAGCAATGGCAAGGTCTGGCATGCCCAAACGCGAAGCGGTTGTTGCTGCGCCACTTTGGTACAAACAATCGAAACCAGCCTCGAGCGCGCAACGGGCACTGATACCATCGCAGATACCAGGGGCAATCTGGTAGGACACGGCTCAGAATAGCCAATCCACAGAAAAGACATTGTACTTACAACGATACCTGGCCTGGCAAGCATTTGACGAAGACGGGTAGCAGCGTCAAGAGAGAGTTCACCCTCCAGGAAGTTGTTCGGGTCAAGGCGGGGGTTGTAGTAGACACCAGACTTAGGCGTCACTTGTGGGGGAATAGATTTGGAGGCACCGATATCTTCAGGCTCTGCATCTGGGGAGATTTGGACGACTGGAGCTTCGCTAGAGTCGGAGCTTTTGAAAAAACCAAGTCCAGGTGCCATTGAAAAGAAAAATTTGGATGTATAGAAACGGAGTGTGCGAGTGAGCAACAGCTTGAAAAGCTTTGAAAGGTTGGGCTTTAATGTGGTGTACAGGCAGCCAGTGTTGAAGGAAGGGAAGGGGATGATAGCAATTGTAAGTAATGTGTACGGCCTTATAACCTTCGGGTAGGAATATTCCGCGGCAGCAAAAACCGTAAACCGGCAGAAAATGGTAACGTATACGTTAAGGATATCATAGCTGATAGCTTCAGCCACATCATGATTTCAGTGAGAGGAAGTTCGATTTGGACATAGAAAAAAAGAAAAGGTGCTGCGGAGACAAGCGGAGGAGAGAAGATTATGAAAGGGGTAAAGCACGGGACACCTATCAGATCATTTGACGCGGAGCAAGGAGAAAACGGGAAGAGTGTGAAGGGTCTTGGCAGTGCACTAGTAGTAGTACTCCGAGACACATTGCCGGCAGCCAATAGAAGTCCGAAGCGAAATTCCCTAGGCGGCGCTAACTCAGGGTTGAGTTAAATTCGCCCGCACGCACAGCTCACAGTTTCTAAACCAGCACACCGGCGCCGATCAGGATATGAAACCAGAATCAGCACATGAAACAAAGTTTAGGACCGACTACCGGTTGTAGGGAGATGGTTTGACTCAGTGGAGGCATCTAACTCGTTGTTATATATTTCCTTTTATGGCAGGATCTCACGAGCGGAAGGCCACGTGGCTTGATACGTACTGGGACGTATCGACGGCCACCTCGAGGAATATGATATTTATTCAACCTGTATACAACTATTTATTTTTTGACACAAATGGAAAATCCAAACTCGGGTACTCTCTGGTTTCTGGAAATACAATGACAGCCTGAGCCTGCTCGTTTCCGTGGGCCAAGCTTTGAACAATACTGTATACTCGAGCTCCGCCCAGATCTCATCTGCCACAAAATGAAATGTACATTCCACTGACACGGTTCACCGCTTCGCGATCCCCTCTCAGGCCTAGACGGTGCTAAGGGAGTTAGACATTTATGGACATCCTATCATGATCATGACTATTGCGTGCAGGCAATTGGTTCAGCGTTACAGGAAGGTCAGCGATAATCCAGAAATACACGAGAATGAATCCCGCTAATTCAGAAGGTGTCGAGTGAACACGTTCATGGCATGATGTACTTTCGCCCAAAGTCCCTATGCATACGCCCATTGTCCGGTCTATCTCCGATCCGCTTGTACGCTCATGATCTCATCCATTGTGGAAGGCAGTTTACTCCTAACGGCATATTCTATGAGGAACGACATAAATCGTGCGTGCGGTCTCCGCTTGGCATCACTCAAGACAAGCTCACCGTGACGGAGTAGATAAGATGATGTCGCGAAACTCAAACACAATACCCCCATTAAAATTTAAAATGCTGATCTGAATCTACTCGGATAGAAAGCGTACGATGTTTCCACCGGTACGTCACTGGTGGTAGTAAAGTTTCTCATCGTCCACCACGCTGGTTTTTCCAGAATATCCTGGTGCTAGCAAGATTATCCTGAAGCTATGCGTGCAACGTAAAGATCGTACACAGTCTAGCCTATTGAGGAACTTGGCCTATCCGCCCTTTGGATGTCATTGTGACCCACATATACAAGGATGGTAAGTAGGACTACCAGTAGGGGTTTCGGGAACACATCGATGGCCGAGTCGTGTGATTTGCGCAGCCTCGGAGTTGGCGATCCGAGTACTGTACAGTGCAGTCAAACGAGAGAAAAATGACCGATCGCCAAGAGTTGATGCGGCTGAGCCCTCTTTGGGTGAAATCGCTGATCTGCGTGATTTGGGAGGTTAGTCAACAATCTCTGACAGGCAAGCTATTCGGTGGCCTACTATACAGCGTCTAATGATGAAATCATCGCCCGCGAGACCCATACCAAAGTTTCGTCTAGGGTTATCCATAATAATCAAGGCATGTTCCGTCCTCACATTATTAATCAGTAATACCTCGGTTGTTGATTGGTCAATAACTCTCTTCTCAGTATACTGTAATGGACAAATTCTATTAAATTGATAGTGGTTGAGTAGCGATGCGTAGATCCTTGCGGTCGCATCTTACAACGTTCTCGGTGAGATCGGCAATGCCCGCGGGCAGCTCCGATTGAATAAGAGGTTCCCAGAGCCCGGGCCCATCAGTAGATTAAATCATATCGATGCTTTCAGTACTCAATCGCTACACCCGAGGACTGCGACTCTCATGGCCTACAACTACGGTCTTATTGGAATTGACCTGGTGTCGTCAACTAGATACGGCTTGATCCGATTTCAAGAACTGATTGAGGTTGTTGCCGCACTCGAGACCCGTGGTTCTTGGTCCAACCCTACATCCGAAGTCTTCGTTGATGGTGGCGTCCAGAGAGCCTCACTTGAGTCCTCAAGACTGTCGGCCTCGGGGGCACCTGCCGTCAGTGTCGGTTGTACTCCTTTTGTGCCTCGGCGTTGAAAAGGCTTCCGAAATGTTCTGGGTATCCTCCTTGGCATTCGCACCATAGATGAAGTTTTGTACTATCACCTGAAATGGTGTAAGTCAATGCCCACCACTGGCACATAGGTCTCACCACCCGCCGTTTGATCGCTTGATCTTACCTCTAACCATGTGTATCAACACTTTTACAGTTCAAGAACAAGCTTCGAGACTCACGACATTTATATTGGGGTCCTGTCAATCTGCATAACCATCAAATCTTTGGTCTTGGGCTCCGTTTACTGCGCATGACATAAATGATGCCATATGTACCGCACCAGTCGAGCGTGATTTCAAGCTGGTTTATGGTTGAAGCTTGAAGCTTGAAGGCAGTGCCAGTACTAGTTGCGGCGTATGACAGTTGACAGTTGAGATTAAGGATATCCGAGCCTCGAGGACACAAGATTAGTGCCGGCCCCAGCCATGACAAACGATCCTATAATTAAGGTCCACCGGCGCAAGATGCCCGGAGTTCCGAATTAGTATAGTGATAAGAGTTCGTAATGCCAAGCCAAAGTCAGATCTGCGGAGGGCCGTTAGCAGGTGTGGTCTATGTAACATCCATCAAAGAGCGCCAGGATACTCGGCGGAGTGCCATCTTGCCCGTCATTCCTACCCTAATTAGACATGTCATATGGCAGCTTCACAATTCAACTGCAGGCACGCAATAAAGTCTTTTGCGGCAGTCAAAGATGCTGGGTAAGTACATAGTGCAACGCACCGCGGAGATTCCCGGTAATTCTGTCTCGGAAATGACAGTCAAGTCGTGGAATAAAACAATACATATTCGGCGGAGCTTTCAGCGCGCATCGCGAATATATTGGCGCAATGGAAGCTCTCGAAAAAAACTTCGCTCAGCGCGCAAGCTGCAGAACGCTCCAATCACAAAACATGCTCAGCACAGCATGCATAAGGTTTGACGCTGCACAGGTAAGTATAGAGGTTGACAGAACGTGTCATCGTATGAGGTTGCTTAAATGAGACCTGATAGGTACAAAGGCAAGGTAGATTTGAAATTTGCATCTAAAAACCAACATTAGAGACAACACAAGATACACAATCCCACTGATCCTTACATTTCCGAGCAGTACTCCAGGGATAGACATTCATACCATGTTGATAATCACAGGCAAGACCACCGAGAGCTGATTAGATCGATATCACTGTAGAATAACCGTATCGCCTGCTAGGCAGTGAGATGGCCCGGGTATTGGGCGAGACCGAGCGCCAATGGCACGTTCACGTCCGCCGGTCGATACAACCGTGCGGTCACCATGCCATTTAATGCGAGCCATAAGCAGTAAAATGGTCCCCTAAATGATAATTGAACCGGCAAGCTGTCATCTTCAGTCCCCATCTACCCCGTAAAAGCTGTAGACCGCCAAGACTCAACTATTTGTCTCTAGAATGTGTCATATGATATCGCAGTCATCGACTGGCCGCTCCACACGGTGAGATATGGTTGCATCGCCAAGCCTTCAAATTTTATGGGGTTCAAAACTACCCGGGGTGTGAAAGCCACCCGAGAAGCTGGCGTGTGCGTGGATAAATCACCGGTTTGCTTCAACGGTCACTGTATAATCTGTTGTTCAGCAAGTCGTCATGTCGTCCGTGCCTTTCATATGTGTGACTACCTTTTCATAATGGATGTCCCCCCATTTTTCCTTTTTGTTTTGCCTTTGGTATTATACCACGGTCCAGCAAAACGTTCAACTATCACTTGGCGAAGGCATCCGACGTCACTGTGGTAGCGCCAAGCATCACAGGCGTTACTAAGCTTGATTTGGACGTCAAATGTGGCCAAGTGTTGCACTGAGAGAATAATGGAGCCGCCAAACGGTTACACGGCGTGATCAGCAATTTATACAGAGCAGGTATTACTCGAGCACACTCCACGCCAATATCTGAGCATGTGCGTAATTTTTGTGGTCACCGTAAAAATAATGGTGGGTCACTAGAGTAACGATAAAAATCTTGCTCACTCGAAGTAATGACCTAGATGCACAACTGTCACAGCAGCTCTTCGTGCACATTAAAGTATCTGGACATGTAATGTTAGCTCTCTACATGCGCAACTGATAAGGATTGCGTACCGCACGACCTTTCCCACTCCACGACATGTTCCTGCACCATCATTTCCCCATTTTACAATCCATCGTCCCACAATCTCGCCCCTAGAATTAAAGGTTTCCGCTATTGTTTCTTCCTCGCCTGGTGCACCACCTTTCACCGCCATGAGTGCATCCTCATTTGAGGGTGGCAGTAAGAAATCTTGCGCGAGCGTCCACTTTGCAAATGGTCGCTTCGTGTCCACTAGGAAGTCTGCGTCGTACACACGCGTGACGAGGGTGTTTAGCGTGAGCGTAAGCGTGGTCATCTCGATGCCTTCGATACCGCCATTGTCGGCTGGCGAAAGCCTTTGCAGGTCGACGACGTAGGATGCGCCGGACCACCCGACGAGGGCGGTCGAGATGGAACTCGTGGAAAGTGCGGTTGCTGCCAAAATAATTCGAGCAGATAGAGGGAGCGATGATTCGACAATAAAGATGAATGGGGTCATAATACATGACAGACCCAAGGATGACAACGAGAAAATTTTGAGACGACGGAATGTCTGTGTAAGTGGACCATGGTAAGTAACTGCCCCAGCTTGGCTATCTCCCGAAGAGGATGCTTTTGTCGACAACGCAGCATCGTCTGCTATTAAAGGGGATGTTGAAAGACGCCGACTCCGATTTGGAGCAGTGAGTTGTGACCGCTGCTTCTGCGGACAACAGGATGTGGTCCAACTTGAAAACTTCAAAGTTCGTGCAGGTCTGTAACAAACCACGGAGCTATTGAATGAAGCAAGCCGATGGGCTTGATAGCTGGCTAACCTAAAAGTAGTGAGCTGGAACATGTCAGTAGCAACTTGTAATAAAGGTTATGTTGTATTTGTTTATGTGCACTAACTCGGGGTTTTGCGATAGCCTCGATGGACGCGCCAGTATATTATTCCAAGGCCGAATTCATCGAAACTGTAAGCGACGAACCCAGTGGGGTCAATCAGTTGTTGAAACTGATCTAGGACACAGGAAACAAAGTCTCTCGAAGAGCCACCATAGCTGGACCTCAGAATATCATTCTCGGAGGAAAGACTATCATTTCCAGCGGCGCAATCATCCGGGGAGATCTTCGCAGAACAGGTCCTGGTCATGCCGTCGTCATTTCCCTTGGGAGGTACTGCCTCGTTGGCGAGGGTTGCGTGATGAGGTACAGCTTACTTGGAGATAGCATATGCGTCTAACTCTAACGTTCTACGGCACTCCAGGCCACCATACAAGACGTATCGCGGAAATTTCAATTACTACCCAATGAAAATTGGGGACTATGTTCATATTGGTGCCAACAGCGTGGTCGAAGCAGCGACGATTGGGAATCATGTTGTCATTGGGAAGAATTGTGTTATTGTAAGTCTTCCTGGCCATCACTACGTTGTCTTCAAAGCTTATTGGGTATGTCTTGCAGGGAAAGTTTACGATTATCAAAGATTGCGCGCAGGTCGCAGACAATACTGTCATTCCTCCCAACACTGTTATTCCAGCTCTGGCACTGTTTGCTGGCTCGCCAGGCTAGTGATTTTAATGTTGCTTGTCTCGTAATAATGATCCCGACTGTATTGTCATAGGTCGCTTTGTCGAAGACCTACCAGAGTCGACACAAGAAATGGTTGAATCCCAGACAAAACAGTACTACAGTCGTTTCCAACCTTTAGATCGATGATTAGACATCGTGTTCGCCTAGCCTTAGCCCACTTACCATCACTTTGTACCATCAGATCGTCACATTTATCACATGTCACCTCCAGGCGGCCGCGGTATTTTGCATTATACTGTCCGTCTGCTTGATCTATAATAACATGGCATTTCAGTCATGCTACGCGATTCGTTCTTTCCCATGGCTTCCGTCGACACTGTATCTTGGGCCAAGCTCGAATTTTTTCCTGCCCGCTCCCATCAATTGAAATAATATCAGCGTGCACCTCGGCGATCTCGTGATTAATTGTCGGGTCGCTTCTGGAGAACTTCTCTTTTTCTTTCCTGTTATCTTTGCCAAGAGCTGAGTGGTACTCATGTAGTAACTTTCCCTGGCTTTCTTGGGGATAGTCTCGTTTTCTAACTTCTTATAGATTTTCCTTGCAGAAAGGTTTTGCGCGGGAATCGCGGCGCGGGGTATGTTTGTCCCGGGTTGTCGAGCTCGCTTTACTTCCGACACGAACGCCACGGCATGCCTTGGTTCCGACGTTTATCGCTTCTGAATCTTCGTCGGATAGGCTTGTACATCCATCAGATTATTTTTTTTCTGTTTAGAAAACATTGTGGCCAATATGCCATCCCATTGGCTTCTTTACCGATGCGGCCCCCACATCCATGCAAACACAGGGTCGGCCACCGTGCTCCTTTCAGTTGCATGTCTGAGTCACTATGCATGCGAACTCGCCTCCATGCATCTGAAATTACAAATAATTGGTACTGCAAGAGACCTCAACACACTCGGGGCGTTCTGCTACGTCGTAGTCTTCTTATCGAGCACGGTATGAGCTTAACATTCTCGTTTTATTCTGCGGGATCCAACACGAAATATGTAAGTGATTTAAAGACGTTAGATTGTGTGGGAGACAAACTACGTTGAAGTTCATCACAGGTTTGACAGATCTCAAACTTAACCCTAGTACTAATGATTTCGTGCGGTATGCTCAACTTAGACTTGGTGGGACCCGACCAGCATCACTGTAGTGTGATTCATACATTCCAGAGTTATGGAAGCACTTTTCTTTTCACTAAGTCCAAAGTAGTAAGATGGGCTAATGGATCACGCAATCTTTATGAGGTATAATATAACGCTCGATGTCTCTGAGCATCACGAGACTCATCAGTACGGGTGCCGCAGGAATATGGTGCAAAATCCTCCGCGGCATAGCCTGAAGGAAGATACAGATCTTGAGTCGTTCTGATACTACCGGTACTTATATTTTAGTAGCTCCAATTAGATCGCAACTACACGGAAGCCACAGATCGCGAGAATCGTTCTGAAACTACTGGTACTTGTGCATCAGATATTTTAGTAGTTCCAATTAGATTGCAACTATATGGAATGCTCTGATCGCGAGAAGCTCACCTTTTATGAAGACTCCACACTTCGGTTCGCGTTTGGCCCTGCAGATCTGATAGAACAAACATGCCATTCCATAATTGTATGCTTTGAAAAAATATATATTCCTGGTTGTGAATAATAATATATTATCGTGTGGGTGGTATTGTCGACTCCTGTGCTACAGAACTACAAAATTTAAACAAATTGGGATTTAGGTCAGAGTCGAAACTCACTATATGTACATCATCTGCCGGGTTCAGACTGTTTCACCCCTTGTGTTCGAGGTCGCAGTGAGGCAAACAATGGCTTGCGTTTCTGTAATGGGGATGCTGGTTTGTTGCCACTATCGTTGATGTCGGAGTCGGCATGTTTGTGGTCGCGTTCGGGAGCGATGGTTAAGAAATTGACGGCAACAGCCCATAAGCTGTTGGCGCTCATATGACTGTGCTCTTGTAGGACGGCTTGATCAGCGATGCGCGCGAGCCGTCGAGCTTCATTTGTATCTCGCCGCGATACAATGCTACTCGGTGGTGGACGCTCGTCCACATCCAAAGCCCAAGCCCAACTCCAGCTGGCAGAGGCAGCTTCTAGACCTTCTTTGATACCTTTCAAAGTATCGTGTGCCTTCCCCTTGCCATTTTTGGTCTGTGAACCATACGACTCTTGAAGTTGTGCAATGTTCTTCATGACGTCTTTTCTCGAACGCTCGAGGTTACGATGACGTTGTTTCTGGATGGCGTGTCGCTCTTTTGCAAATTTTTTGTCGAATTTGGCCTTCCCTTCCATATAGCGTCGCATAGCGAGCTCCGAAAGAACTCCTATGATTTCCGGGGGAATACGAAATGCGTCCAGGTCTGCCTCTGGTTCCAGTGGTCGAAGTACGCCGGAGGTTGACACCCTTTCGCGAATTATGCCTTCTTTCCAGGAGGGGAGTCCCTGAGGAAGAAGCAGGACCGTCAGCTGGGTTTTTAATAATACGCTTTGTAAAACAAACATCATTGCAATATATCCTACTCTCTCCTGCAAATCGCTGTACTGTATCAACGGAATCAGACGCACTGCCCTTGATCTCATTGCCTCCCAAATCTACGTTATTCGAAGACTGATCTCGCAATGCGGATTCGAAAAGAGCGTTGTCAGACGCAGACTTTGGCATACGAGGTCGAGGCGATGGGGGGAGAAGAGATTTGGATGAGAGCGGCGAAAGACAAGCGGAATCAGGAACATTGGACGACGACAGGCTATTTGGTTTGCCCTGGATGCGATTTAGGAATTCAGGCGTAGACAGCGCACGGGAGATGAGAGAAAACCTCCCGACGGCGGTGTGAGAGGGTAAGGCACTAGTAGTAGGAGAGACCATCGGACTGGACGAAGATCTAGACAGTGCGTTCATGCCTGTAACGTGCTTTGTAAAAGATGCAATTGCGCGGTAACAAAATTTTCCTGGGGTTGTAAAAGAAAACAGGACCGGTAAAATATGAGCAGCATCTAGGGCAAAAGATTTAGTTTTAAGCCGCAATGTAAACGATGTTCTCACCATCGTAGACCTGTAGGTGAACTGCAGTTGGACTAAAACGGTCTTCTATCCCTTCGAGTGGTGGGTAAAGTGAGCGTACTTCCTCCTTGAGAGGATAAAGAGAAGGGTGTGCAGCCTTGTGGGCACTTCATAGGCGTTTTAGATGATGAACAGGCTAGAATGCTAATGACTGACGAATAAATGGCTTCATCTCTCAAAACCTCCTTGTCACTCGCAATGAAGAGCAAAGGCGGCAAGCCGCCCAGGTACGAGAGGGCCGGACTAACAAGTGGGTGTCCGAGCAAGCTATTCTGGGTATACATATGCACCTGCTCTTCTATCAATAATATTTCACCTGAATTGGTCAGAAGGCGTAGGGCCTGATCTTCTTTCTTGTCGACTGACGGTAACGGAGCAGTGGCGCCCACGTCAACGGGCATTTGACTGCAAACCGATCTTTCGTCCCCCTCAGTTAGATTAATCAACGATGCACCCCTTGAATCCTGATGTACGCTGACATTTGAGGAAGCTTCAGTGTCATGCTTATCTTTTTTCGATTCAAGCCGGACCATCTGACGTATCCGCTTGCGCAGTCCAGAATGGACGGTGCTGGTCATTTCATCTGACGGCGGAGGCCACAAGGGACTAGGCTTCTGGAATGAAAGTCCGTATGTAGGAATGACGTCCTGAGTAATATGATGTTAGCATAGTGCAGCACACTTCCACCAATAGCCTACCGTGGCGGTGTTGGTATGAATACTTGGGAAAGAATGTGTTAAATCGCACCAAGGAGAAATCAAGATCCCTCCTGCAGGCAATGGGAGTCCAGTGTCGCGCAAAATTTGTAACAATGCGAGGGTTAGACCGCCCCCTGCAGAATCTCCTGCAACAACAATATGTGCTGGGTGTACTGGCTGGTGGGACGCATCAGAAGGAGGTTTGATCAAGTAAAGATCTACAAGGGAGGGCCTCTTAAGACGTTGTGCTCAGAAATTTTGAAATGACGGTACTGACAAGCAGCAAGAAGATCTTGTAAGGCGCAGGGAAAAGGATACTGCGGAGCCAGGCGGTAGTTGATAGCTAGCCTCTGCTAAGCAACAGCCAATAAGTGGTAGCGAGGATGACTAACCAAAAACACGGCCGTTGATCTTCCTTGCATGGCGCTGGAGACTGTGTCTGAACAACCCCTGAGTTAACCGATGAAGTTGCTAATCGGAAAAGAAGAAAAGTTAACCTTTCCTGATCAATGCTCCCAAAATAGTAACCCCCTGAAAACTGACATCGTATGCTTTTGATTTAAGCAAAGACACAACATACCTCCATGAGCATATAGTATGCAGCGCATTTCGTCCATTTCTTCCTTGTAAATATTACTCTCGTTTGAGCTGGAGGCTAGCAGTCCACTTGGGTTCGGGGTATTCCTGTCACTGGTGGGTATTTCCGTTTTTGGGCTTTCTTTATGTTTCGCTTTGCTCCGTTTCTTCGCCTCTTGATAGTCCTTGCGAGCCGTGATCCACTCTGCATCGATACTAATAAACAGAATTGAGTAAAAAGTGCCTGATTCACAGGCATAGATGTTATTACCCTTTGACTCCACGCACTTGCCACCACTTTGTACCACCCACTAAGCGCTTGGCAATTTCTTGTCCACCAAGCGCTTGAATGACGTAGCTGGCAGCTTCATCGCAGCAGGATAATGGGACTAGCAAACGAACAACATGGGACGAGGGAAGAGACAGTGTCCGGTTGTTCGAAAACGCTTGGACTTCCTCCACAGTGTGACTGGGTCACTGTCAGACACAAGTGTTCGCGGTCGGGTTTGTGCACGCACTATGTCGAGGCCTCGAGGAAACTCTGCATTCCGCCCTAAGCTTGACGGGTACTCGGATGATTAACGCCGAAACGTACCTTCACGATATTGAATGCTTCATGGTAGAGAAGTTCATCCTGGTGCAGCTGTGTTGCAAAGTTGGACTGTTGTGCGTTCTCCCTCTTGATACGATCGAAGTAATGTTTGACCAACGTTTCCAGTACTAGCGGCCCTAGTCGCAGTCCCGCATTGCGCGTCAGAGAGTTTGACATCTTCCTAGAGGCTCGCCAAGGTGGAATGATGCGATAAAACGACCTTGCCAAGTGACGACGGGCCACGCGGAACTAAGAGCCGACAGGTTGGTCTCCAAAGAATCGCGAGCTGGAACGTGGAGAAGTCGAGGCGACCTTGTCAGCGCGGTGCCGATGGCACTGTCAATAAATTAATAATAATTCAGATTAGAGAATACAGAATTTGCATTAGCTAATCACAAGCAAATGCTTTCCTAATCGGGCCCGACGCAGGCGGTGCTGCGCCTGGCTCAACGATTTTGTATACACACTGACTACGTTGTACTATGTATCCATCAACGATCATCAACTGGCCCCACGGTACCTCAAAAATCGTCCAAATCTTTACTCATTTCTTGAAACCTCATTGTACAATGTAAGCGCTTTGGCAACTAAGCCAAATGTGGTGAGCCTCAAAGTGAGCTTTGACGTACATGCGTTGTTCTTGTCTACCATGCACAATAACTTGCATGACATACTTCGTCGCCATAGTCATGTTCCCACTCAACGATCAGCGTTAGTGGGTCCTATCTCAGGTCATGAGGACTCTCGCCTTGTCTGGGAAACATATTTAAGCTGGGCTTACCCAGGCAGCATAACAATCATCATCTACTTCCTGCCTCGATCCATTTCAACTTGAAATCCATCAACCACTCCTCATTTTTGTAGTCACCGATACTATTCACCAATGAGCTTTAATCTCGCAAATATCCATGTAGCTGATCTGACGGGAATGGTCGTGACGACCGGCAATCGCGCAATCGGCAGCGGGAGCTTCGCAGACGTTTGGAAGGGAATCTACTACGCACAGCCAGGTCATAATTATACCGTACGTGCTGCTCAGTCACTGGTGTCATGTAACACATCCATATTCACTCATCGATGTAGGTAGCGGTGAAGATCTTGAGACCATGGCTTTTGTCAGACATGCGGCTCGCGAGGAAAACCATACGGGTATGTAGATCGTATACTCATCGGTCATCCTTTTTACCTAGTCTGCCTTTTTCAGAAAATTTTGCGAGAGGCGAAAGTTTGGAGCACGCTGAATCATCCCAACGTGGCTCGATTTATCGGTGTGTGTTATCAGGAAGGTATGGGGGGGAATCGTATCCCCCGCCTGGTATCAGTGTTCTATGAGGGGAGAACACTGAAAGAAAATCTGGCACATATCCACGGCGACCACCAGAGATTGAAGCTTGTATGTATCTATTTCATCCATAGTCGCGCATATTCAACGATGTCTGGACAGCTCCGTCAGTTTTTTTCTGGATTAGCATATTTGCACCGCAAGAAAGTCATTCATGGAGACCTTAAACCTGTCAGCGCATCCTTTCTGTTTGCGGCAACAATAACTTATACTCATTGTAGGCAAACATCCTTCTGGACAACTCTTTCAATGCAGTCTTAACGGATTTCGGCCTTTCCCGCGTCCTTGAAGCTTCTGGCTTCACAACGAGCAATATAAAGGCGGTCGGCACGTTACGTTACATGGCGCGCGAGTTGATGAATCCCACATACCCTACAATAACAGCACCGCTACCCACTGTGCAATCAGACATCTGGTCGGCAGGTATGACAGGTCTAGAGGTATGTTAGAGAATCATCGTCACCAATAATTGCAGATACTGAGTATGTTACTAGATTTTATCTGGCACTATGCCGTACGCCGATAAGAATGGGGATGCGGAGCTAATCTATTGCATTGGTCGAGGGGAAATACCCAACTGGAGTCTTTACCGTCGAGTATCAAGTGGGACATGGTCAATGCTGACGGCCTGCTGGGCAAATGATGGGATGAGACCTGCTATATCCGAATTGATCAGGTACTTGGATAACAACTATCCTGGTTTGCAGTAAACCACAACTAGGTAAACTGTCATATAGGTAGATACATAATGTTTCTCACTACATAGGTTACAACACGGACTTGATGAATAATACTATAATTTTGGTTTTACGTCAATGATGAACCCATCGTCTTCCAGGATCGACTTTGCCAACCGACCAACCAAAGGAAAGAACTGTGGGTGAATGAAAGCTCTTTCCGAGCTCGCCTGCCGCCGCGCATATCTGGCGGCAATGCCTTGTGATATTATGGCAAGCTTGAAAACAACCAGGTCAATATATACATACTGTCCTATATCAGGGTATAGTACGTACCCTGAAGAGCATCCAACTACGAACAAAGACCAACTCTTTAATGGGATATGGCTGGTTGGTCAGCCTGCAGTACTCGCGCTCAAGGTCTTCCAATGCTATAGGGACATCTTTCGTAGCATTCTTGAACGGTTTGAGGAGTGGAAATTTAGTAAGTAGGGAATCCTTAGGTATATGACGAGCGTCGATTGCCCATGGTTGGGTAAAATTTGCGAGGTCAGCAAGCTATGTAGTGAACTCAGATCAAGATACAGAAAGTGGTGACAAGTGAACGTACTGGACTCCCTAGAGTACACAACTCCCAGTCCAGTATGCCGATTACCCGATTTTCTGTTGGATGAAATATCACGTTGTCAAGCTTGTAGTCTCCGTGGACAATCCGCAGCCCAGTTTTCCTCTCGTCCGGGAGGTGCTTCTGGTACCAATCGACCATTTCTTCAAAATACGGAATATTACCTGTCACTTTTCCTGTCTCGATATCTACAGCCTGCGATTGAGCAGCTGATATGCGTGTAAGAGATTTGATTTGACGGGGGAAGTAATCAGTCGTGGGACCAAAGTTCTCGAGGCCTAATTGGAATGGGTCGAGGGAGGCTAATGCTGCCAACGAGCGAACAGCTGAGAGCCAGCTTTAGGTAATTAGAATTAGCATCTTAATGCAACGAAGAAATGGCAAAGTGTACCATTCTCTTCGATCCTGCTGTGGCAGTTCCAGCACCCTGCTGTCCGTGAATATTCGCCCATCAAGGTACTCCATGATATAGAAAGGAGTGCCAATAACGCTATTGTCTTCGCACAAGGCAAAAGGTTGTGGGACAGGGACTATCTGCTCTGGCCTCGTAGTTGGGCTTGTGTTGTATCGATGCAATGCACTCAACATGCGATATTCGCGCTCAATTTGATGAGCAGTTGAGGACAACAACTGACCCGCCGGCTTTTTGCGCAACACAAATCGTTTCGCACTGAAGAGGTATAGTTTAAATGGGACCTAATACTACCTGACGATGGACAAGCTTACCTTGCGTCGGTCAAGAAGTACGTGGGATTGGACTGAATAGTCTGATGTCATGCAAGTCTGCGGCAGCACATTGGATGAGCGTACCTGTCCAAACTAACCTGCCAGTCAACCTACAATTTCTCCTCAATTAATTGTAGCCTTACCTTGAACTGTTGCACCTGTACTGGAGCAACGATAACAGGGACATGTGAGTTCAGGTATGCATTGAGCTTCTGGATGTCGACATTGGCGCGCATTGTACCATACTCGCCTCCAACACTTTTTGGCGCGCTACCGGTCATGATGTTGAAAGCTTTGAGGTAGAAGTTGAACCCAAGATCGCTCTACAGACTATGATGCGTCAACGACTTTCACACGAAGAGAGAGGTTATTTTGAACTTCCAACCAGCTAAATAATCACTTACAATGATGACCGTGCTGAAGAAAGTAATAGGTTTTGTCAAACGCAAACAAGACGCAAAGGACATTTCTTCTGTAAAACTGTCTATGGGAAAATGTTTGACATGCGAGATTCATCCCGTCAACTGGGCATGACACACAAAATTACCCTCTCTATTATGATGCCTTACTCTGTGGATGACAATGTCCTCTCTTTTGCGCACGCTCAATTCGAATCAAAGTCATATTCTCATTTCCCTGTCCTTTCTCGAATTCCTACTTCTCCCATTGCATCCTATATAGATTTGAGACAGCACGACAACCTTGTATGGTTTCATTGTGACAATCAATACTATCATGACAGCTTGCAAACTCTGCCTGCATCTCGACTGACCCTTATGGCACGCCGCTTTGTTCAGAGGAGAGCAGATATTCGTACGACGACTGCCGTCATTCTGTTATCCCCTTGAAGGTTTCAGGTGGACCATCTCGCCAGGAGGAACGTGCCTGTGGAAGAGACGTCTGATGAAGATTTCCAAGGTCAAGCATATTGACGGCTGATGTTGCTGGTATTGACTGTTAACAAGCTTGACAGTAATATATGTTAGGTGAAATAAAATTTGCGAGATAATTTTGCTGAGCGTAAAAACATGATGAAGAAGGTGAAGATATGACTTGGCCAGTGCGAGCTCCACCTACCGATCGCCACCAAGCCATACCAAAGGCATGCATGCTTCAAGCTTCGTCGGAAGGTACGATGAAGTTGAACCGAAAAGCGTTTTGTTGGCATATATTTGCATTCAGGAGTTATCACAATATTGCACGTATTTATTTTGGCGAATGAATGGGAACTTGAACTCCTGTGACTCGTGAAGTTTAAGAAGCTTTCAGAAGAAGGAGAAATCTGCGAGATAGTGGAGGTGGGGATTGGTGTTCACTGGCACAGCCGCTATAGCTACAATCCAGAGTAAGTACTTTGCTTGCTGAATCCCGAATGTTCCACGTTTCGCGGACTCTTTTGGCTGATGTAAGCGTTACGCGGACTCCCTAAAATTTTGCATCACCGTGTCCAATTCGTTAGTCACTTCTTCGACCTCTTCCTCCATGTTCACTGTAGCTCGCGCTTTCCGTAGTGTTGCCCGTACCGGCAACTATGCCGTGCGTATTTAAGTTATTTTACTGTCCAATGCATTGAACACCTACTTCCAACAGGCCCTCTCGCGGTCTTCGATCGCGAGGAATATGAACACCAAAGTTTCCGGTGAGCTTCATATCTTTACCGCCAGGCTCAAGTTTCTCATTTCCCATACAGGACCTGTCGTCGGCATTGACTTGGGTACGACGAACTCATGTGTTTCCGTCATGGAAGGGAAGACGGCACGTGTGATTGAAAATTCCGAGGGTGCCCGAACAACACCCTCCGTTGTTGCATTCACGAAACACGGCGAACGTTTGGTTGGCTTACCCGCAAAACGCCAGGCCGTCGTCAACCCCGCCAACACAGTCTTTGCATTCAAGCGGTTGATTGGCCGGCGATACAAAGACAAGGAGGTACAGGAAGACGTAAAACATTGGTGAGTCCAGCGTCAGACATACTATGTAAAGGTCATTCATGATAGGCAGGCCTTTCCATGTTGTGGAAAAAGCCGACGGTCGGCCGGCTGTAGAAGTCGATGTTGGTTCAAAGAAGCAACAATACGTATGTCTCTTCCTCTCCTCCATCCATGGTTATTTCCTCAAATTATGTCTTCTAGTCTCCTGAGGAGCTGTCTTCCATGGTCCTTGTAAAGATGCGTGAGACTTGCGAGCAGTTTTTCAACAAGAAAGTCAAGTAAGTCATCCGCGCATGTAATGCGAATCTCAGCTCATTATTTTTAGCCACGCTGTCATTACCGTCCCCGCCTACTTTAATGATGCACAACGACAGGCAACAAAGGATGCTGGTCAAATTGCAGGTCTCGAAGTGCTGCGTGTGATCAATGAACCTACCGCTGCTGCTCTTGCGTATGGTTTGGATCGTTCTGATTCGTCAGTCATTGCCGTATATGACCTTGGAGGCGGTACCTTTGATATCTCAATCTTGGAGATGCAGAAGGGTGTTTTCGAAGTCAAGTCAACCAACGGTGATACTCACCTTGGTGGTGAGGACTTCGATATCATTTTGCTCAACCACATCTTGGCCGAGTTCAAGAAGGAATCTGGCATTGACCTCAGCCAGGACCGCATAGCTATTCAGCGCATCCGTGAAACTGCTGAGAAGGCCAAGATCGAGCTTTCATCAACAACACAGACAGAGATCAATCTTCCTTACATCACTGCCGATGCATCTGGTCCCTAAGCACATCAACATGAGGCTTGGACGTGTGCAGCTGGAGAATCTCGTGGAACCTCTTATCAAGCGTACCATTGAGCCGTGCAAGAAGGCTCTTTCCGACGCCGGTGTCAAGGCCAGTGAAATTGACGAGGTCATCCTCGTTGGCGGTATGACTCGTATGCCCAAGGTCTCTGACACGGTCAAGACCATCTTCGGTCGCGAGCCCAGCAAGGGTGTCAACCCTGATGAGGCTGTCGCCATTGGTGCCTCCATCCAGGGCGGCGTGCTTGCAGGCAACGTCACTGATATTCTGCTCCTTGATGTTACGCCACTATCGCTCGGTATTGAGACGCTCGGTGGTATCATGACCAAGCTCATCAGTCGTAACACGACCATCCCGACAAAGAAGTCGCAGGTGTTCTCTACTGCTGCTGATGGCCAGACTGCCATCGAGGTGAAGATCTACCAGGGCGAGCGTGAGCTTGTCCGGGACAACAAGCTGCTTGGCAACTTCAACCTCGTTGGTATTCCACCTGCTCCCAAGGGTGTTCCTCAAATCGAGATCACCTTCGACATTGATGCTGACGGTATTGTCAACGTATCTGCCAAGGACAAGGCCACCAACAAGGACCAGTCCATGACTATCGCCTCGTCTTCCGGTCTCAGTGACAAGGATATCGAGCGCATGGTTGCAGATGCCGAGCAGTTCGCCGAATCCGACAAGGCTCGTCGTGATCTCATCGAGGAAAGCAATAAGGGCGAGTCCGTTTGCTCTGACACCGAGAAAGGTACGATCTATTTTCTCATTCCCGTGTCTTGCTAACATACATGCCTATAGCTATGAATGAGTTCAAGGACCAGCTCGACGCTGCTGAAAAGGAGAAGGTGACCAAGCTTGTTACTGAGCTCCGTGAGCTTGCCGTCAAGGGTCAGGCTGGCGATAGCGCTGTTACTTCTGAGCAAATCCGGGAGAAAATTAACGAGACTCAGCAAGCTTCGCTCGGCCTGTTCCAAAAGGTGTACGAGAAGCGGAATGCTGAGAACGCTGCCTCAGAAAGCAGCTCGGAGGCCAAGGAGGAGAAGAAGGATTAAGCGCCTTTGTTCATCTTTCCACCTTACCTCTTGCTCCTTTCGCAGCTCGCATCATCTTTGCTGTATCTTGGTTTCTCCCATTGCATCGCTCTTTCGTCACAACACATTCATCCACTCCGCACTCACGCCCACACGCATCTTTTTAGATTATGAGAAAAGTACCGCTCAGACATACTTTAGTACTCACATGATTCTGATTTGCACTCGGCCGCTGCACAGTCCATGTAGTGGTCGGGACATATCTGCTTTTTATTATCTGACAATGCCCTCCCCGCTCAGTTTATATGTATTTGCATAGGATTTTCGCACTGCATCGCAATTATTTCAGTGGTGCTAATGAGATTGATCAAAAATATTCTCGTGTGAACTTCTGTTGTACTCATGGTCGATGCAAAGACATTCTTCCAAATCATTGTGACATCATTGAGGGTTTTGCTGATGGATACGTACCAACCTCTCTTGCTTAAGACTGGTGTTGAATGTCGTAAATGTGAGGATAATTCTTGTTGTCTAAGCAGTAAGTGACAGAAAAGTGACTGGTGGCATGCGCCCCCGGCCTGTTCTTCGAGGCTTCACTCCAAAAAAAGAAGACGATAATTACAATGTCTTTGCAACTGGGGAAGAAGTCGAAGAGAGGTGTCAGTAATGCTGAAGAGGCGAAGAGAAATGTGAGTTCCTATATACTGAAAAAATGCCAGACATCTAGCCAACTAGAGGCTCAATTGGCCATCCAGTCTCTGAAAGATGAGAAGGTCGGTACGACACTTTTCAGATGCGCATTTACATCATTCACCCCTCAGGGCTCTTGTTCGTCTCCAGACGCTTCGACTATCTCTGCGCCATTCTCCTCAGGAACGATCCCTTCTCATATATTTCAGATCGCTCTTTGCGATACTTGGAGTTATTTTAATGGCTTGAAGTACCGCGCCGCTATGACTATACGTTCAACTGCATTGCCTTACTAGAGATTACAACCGTGGAGCATTGACATGTATGATGACAATGACGAGCATCGTGATTTCCTTTGTCAAATCTGTTGTGCCCAAGAAAGTAGCCGTCAGGCCCAGGCACTCATAATCAAACACGCCTTTGATGATACACATCACACGCAATTAATACCCAAGTCTTCAGCAACGATCATCGCAGCCCGCTCTCCGATGAGAAGTGCCGTCGAATACGTGTTCTGCGCATATCGTTAGATCGCACATCAAAAACTCACTGTTCAGTACTCACCGTGCCAACGTTCAAGGGCGAGATGGACATATCTGCAACCTTCAAGGTCGACACGCCGTATACATTTAGCCGAGCGTCAACAACTCCTTGATCTGCCTCCGATTTCATGGCACAAGTCCCAAGCTATAAATAAGAATATCAGATATGAAATCATGAAAGGTTCGGCTGCACACACCGAGTGGTATGTTGTTTGCACTGATCAAGTTCGATTCAGTATCTTACTGTGACAATGGGGATGGCAAGTCAGCACTTACCGATGTTGCGGTGGAATTGATCGATCGCCTCGTCATCTTCAGCAGTGTAAATGATATCAGGTGCATTCAAGTCCACTGGCCCGGAAGCTTCTTTGCAGGCTGCAGCGCTTCCCTCTGGGAAATCAGGATGGAAAGCAGTGACTTCACCTCGGTAAGAAGCCATGCGTCGAAAAATTTCGCGCGTCTTTTTGTACGCGAAGTTAAGAGGAACAATATCAGATGGACTGTGCGGAGCGTCGCAGTCACGCAAAGTGCCCTAAAATGAAATGCGTCTACTCACTCATCTAGGAAGCCTGTAGTAAAGTCCATTCCTTCTTTGCCGTTCTCTGTTACGTTGATATGAACGCTTCCAACAGACACGGGGTAAATCTATTGAAGATATTCAGAAAAAACCACGAGGTAGACGGAGAGCAGTACTGTACAATAAGCGGCACTCATGTAGCGAGGAAAGATATTTGAGAGTGGTAGAACATGCCTAGCTGTTATAAGCATTGCCATATCATCAAAGGAAAGCGATATCCAATACTACGCACCCTGCCAAAATAGCAAATATTGCAACAGCCTTGTCTGGGCGGTGCTGGAAGAATTCCTTCCAGCGTGGCTGAAAAGCTGAATCCATGGCTTTCAATTCCTCATCATCAGGACGCCACTTTATTTTTGAATTGACGCCACTGAGATTCCATTCAGCACAATACCAGCAGTACTAAGTTGCACCAACTTTTGTGCCACCAATGATTTTCCACTGCTATTCCACTGTGCAAGACTTTCTACATTTGGGTAGTTGCAAAGTGCTGCAATTGTGGGGAGAAACATGCTTACCCTGTAGAATACTCTCCTCAGATAGGACGTTCATGGTTATAGTCTCGTCCGCAGCCAAGTATGGAGCGCAGGCGAGATTGTGATCTAACCGTACTAAGCCAAGCTTCTAGAATAAATAAAAAGCGCACCATGATAATTTTCTCCGACACCAGGCAGATTCACTAGTTGCTCGATACCGCACTGTTTGAGGATTGCCTCGGCACCTATCCCAGACCTCTCCAGAATGGTCGGTGAACCAAACGCCCCAGCGGAGATAATGACAAGTTTTGATGCTCTCACAATACTCAACGACTGATCCGCGTCTGGGCAAGATACTAGGTCGCTGGTGAACTCAACACCTACAGCGCGTTTGTCCCTTTTATTCAAAAAAGCCATCAATCGTTTGCTGCAGCTGCAATCACAGGTGGCCACTTACTCGAAGATGATGCGCTTTACGCGCTTTCCATCCCAGACATGTAGATTTGGGTTGTGAGCTTGGTTGTAGATATAGTGGTGAGCCGCATCCGAACGCCTTCCGGTTGACCCATCAATGTACCTTTTCTACATAAGCCAACATTCGCAATAGAATACGAGTGCAGGGGACTCACTTCTGACACGGCTGAGACAGATCTGGTTAGTGGTCGCAGATAGGGAAGAAACATCATGGCTTACACTGTATGTATTGCAAGTTTCCAAATCGTCGGTGTCTTCGGCATACTGCCTCTTGTGATAGGTCGTGCCAACCTGGATGAACTCATCGGAGATAGGCAATTTACACCCACCAGAGGACACTTTGATAGGTCCGTCATAGCCGTGAGTTGGACGATCGGGTTGCACCTCATATGTCTCGAGCTATAAAATGAACGTATAAGCAATCTGAACAAATATCCTGGAACGAATTCGAGACCTTTTTCATGAGGGGAATCAAATTTTCAGATTCCCAACCATTGACTCCCCAGTCATCATAGTCCGAAGCAGGTGCACGAGTGTATACCATACCTATCTGATCATCAATTTTGTTCATTGTTCCAAGTACTAGTATGCTACGCACTATTCACACATGAGCCTCCACCAACGCAACGACCGGAGGGAACGATCGGTACACGGCCATTGAGACGAGGAGATGGGTTTCCGATGTTGAATGTGACTGTAGTGCTCGTCGGTGCCTGGTTGAATGGAGATTGGAAGGGTTGTACATGAATAGGTTTATTGAGGGAGTGTTGACCCGCTTCCAGAATCAAGATCCTCAGCGAAGGATCATATACGGCTAAGCGACCTGCGATAACACAGGCTGTAGTACCACCTATACAAAGTGATGTGTGAAGAAAGAAAACTACTGTAAAATGATATCTACTTACCTCCAGCAAAAACGATGTCGAATTCTGACAGGACTGGATGAAACATTTATATGGAGTGTTAATTTCAGGGTGCCCCTCGTTGTTTCCTTCTTATAACCTTCACCGAAATGAAGCCTGCCACGTCGGTAGTTGATGCCTATCGGGGACAAATCACCGTTCGGATGAAAGGCGATAATAGTGACTCTGCTTTGACTAGGCCTGGATTCATCACATTCTAGTGTGCTGACCTGCCCTCAGGCTAGTGCCCATCTCGAATTCCTCCGAGTCTGCCCAAAATCAGGCCTCGTCGCACTGACCCGGGTCAGGTTTATGTACCGCGAGTCCTCAATATACCATACAGGAGTAAGCTCCTCGCAATCGAATAGGGCTCACAATGTCCGGCGTAGGGTCCTAGTAGTAAGACAATAAGTAGAAAATGTCGGACAAATTGCATCCGCGTTCCGTAAGTCACGGTTATGCGTGAACTTAAAATGAGTAAGCTGCATCATGCGACAATTGTGTCAAGGTCAGGCTCACAGAATGATGTCGAGCCTATGCTATTATATAGCAATTAGCAAACTCATACGGAAAGGCAAAAAAAATGTTCCACTCGTAACTTAGTGAATGCGGGCCTAAAGTGCATCTTTAACGTTCTTGCCATATTTAGACTGCCATCTTATTGTCACGATAGTCCGGTGGCGAGTTCGGTGAACTTCAAGTTGCTCTTTGATCACCATAGCAAAGACCATGACAATAGATCATGAACCTCAGACCTGACCTTGGTCGACTGTATCTCGTCGCTGTTACAAAGTGCAGGAATCATGGCTTCTTTGAACGATGCAATCAATACCTTTTGTCTGCCTCGATCTGTTCCAACTTCCCAGCACCAACTTCTCTGAATAAATATGAGGCGGAGGGTAATCTGATCAATGTCTCGCTTTACGACCCCACAGCTGACTGGAGCAGCTGTTGCTTATTATTTTGACAGGACGACTCATCAAGACAGTATGACAAGCACCCGCCCCAATCGCCCACCTCTTGCACCATTGGACCCTTTCACACTGAGACCACAAGTCCCATTGAAGCATAACCACTCGCCAACGACCGTACCACCATACCCATTCATCGAGTGTCTCCTGAGTCCCGAATCACCTGAGTCACCTCTGGATATCCGTTCTCGGCCTGTCCCCGCACTTATCCACCGCACGCCCCTCGTACACCACCGGCCGCTGCGGCTCCAACGGCCAAAAAAATGCCGGAGTGCTGAACAGGATGACATTGACGAGATCATGTGCTTCCTGAAGCGCGTCTCGCGCTGCATGATGCATGTGTACCAGGTGATACTGGCAGTTTTAACATCGATTTTTCATGCAACGATTTCCACGGTTCAATGGTTTTCCGTCGTTGCTTTTATGATTGAAATGATGATGATGAGTACTCCTGTGAGTCTTCTGCAACATTCTAGTAAATTGTTGTTGACGATATCCGTCAGTCCGTGTGGGGTGATCATGGGGGTGGCTTCATAGGCCCGATAGTCGAGCAGCTCACAACAGCGACTGTGACTAGTCACGTGCAGACTACTCTCGCACCATATCCCCGCGTTAGCGAAGCAGTGGTTCTGAACTTTCTATCTGAGCAAATAGACCACGCACATAATGTGTTAACGTTGGTCGAGGGACTAGGTGACGACGCGTTTTTTGCATATCATCATGCCAAGTACGTAGCAATTCTACTTCCTTGAAATATTGAGGCTCAACCCTAGCCAGCGTGAAACGTTTTCTGAGCAGGTCCAGAGGAAACCCTCCATCTGAGGGAAGTAAGACAGAAGTTGACTTAACTGTCAACTTGAGGGGTCTTGACTCTACTCTCATCCAAACCCTATCCCCGCACGGTTTCATTGGAAGAACGGTATGTCGAATTGCTTTTCCTAACATTATGACGCTCATTGGTATTAGATCTCCCATGCCCTAGATGAAGTGACATATCACTCTAAGCGCAGTCAAGCGGGCTTTCCTATAAGAAGAAGTACCATCCGGGAATCACGTCTAGATAGCGTGTACCTACTGGCATCTTCTAATCTACTTCTCGAATACTCGTCCATTTTGTCAAAAACGGAGAACATTATACCTGACTTGGGAGCTCTCCATCGCCAGCTATCACGCAATCTTCCAGAACTTCTCGCGAGCATGCGAAGCCAAGCAGCTGCTCCAAAACGCTCGATATGGGGCGTTTTTGCCGGTCGAAGACTGAATCCCAGAGCCGTTGAAGAAGAAAGCCTGGAGGCCTTTGTTGCGGGCTTGGAGACTGTCCTTGTCAACCTGCGACAGCTCAAAGCTTACCTGGAATGGATCACGGACCAACTAGTGAGTCCTATCAGCCTCCGCTGGCCCTCCTCGCTCAACAGTTTGTATGACAGAGTCAAAGAACTCTCTTATCAAGCGCCTCGAGCGCGTTATCATCTAGTCACCCTTCCTGTTCATCTGCGCTTAGGGATCTGTCGGATCGTGCAAGCAGAGCCTCAAAGAAATCGAATAGCTGCTGCCGTTGCCCAACCTCTGGAAAGGACTCGCCAACGGCTCCGGCCAGGGTGGAATTCAATATCCCTGGCAGTCCCACACTGCCAACAGTGAAATGATTCGTTAGGCAACATCAAAGTGGTTAACCTTACATTATAAGTATGCTAATTATGTAACAGTATGATATTATCCTGCTATTAATGAAGTACTTTCTTAAAGATTGAATATTGAATATCAAATTATCTTGCTCGCAAGATTGATACACAAAATAGTGTCCGCCCAGATCCCTCGATGCTGCCTGAAGACAATGGAAGAGAACAACCGGACTCTCTAGTGAGTATGCACCACTTGCGTGCGTACGTCACGAGCAATTGTACATCCTGTGTCATTGACCACGGCATCAAGAAATGTCACGTCGGTATATGAAGCGACCCGCATACATTCAATGAGACTGATCACAAGATGTGTCTGATGTGGCGTTCCATGGCAGGCGAGATGGAGCCACTAATTATGGTTTAGTACATTGAGTGTACCCTGCACTGTTGCAAGGCTGTCTCGGAGTGTGAAGGATGACACGACGGGTACGAGACGCTGCGCTATGGCGGCTATTCAGGAGCGACACATCGCAGTTTTTCCCCCTTTTTTCGGGTTTCCTTGACCAATTGCAACAAAATATTGGGTGGATGCATATCGAGAGACGCGCTGTCTTGCACGAATGAGTGTCGCCAGAGTGGGGGTATAAGAGGAAATGTAGATCTGTGACAAGTTGTCTCTCTGCTTCATGTAGGGTCCCGCTGCATGTAGAGGAAGCAAAGTAAATTCAGCAGTGGGAAACCACCAGATACGAATGAGGGTGAACATTCAACACCCTAAGGACAACTCGGAGACTTCGGTCAATGCGATATTAATTGGAATGTGGACAGGATTTTGGTCACTTATGACAATCAAGGCGTCGCGGCTTTACTAGCTAGTATTGACAACAATGACAGACAGGACCTTCTTCAGCAGCCTTCTGTGCGTCTGAGAACAGGGGAAGCAGGAGAAACCGAGACAAGTTGAGGAGCATGCGGATGCGGGATACAACATCGTTACATTGCATAGGACAAGCGATCGGCTTGAATGATACATTTCGGCACATGATCCCGGAGCCATATCTGGAACACTTCTTCATCATTGGTGAAGGAAGGAATCCAGGAGCCTGCATGTTTGAGAATCACCCATAAGCACTTCTTTGCAACCTCCCAGGACACACTATGCGATATCGGTTTCCGCAAATTTTTCCTGTCCGCCCCCTGAACAATGAAGCTGGATTTTTTCTCATGGCATCCCTTGGCATCCACCGTCAGCCATTCACCCAGTGGTCTGCCCTTGCTGAGGAGCTTTCCCTTCTCATACTGAAGGCAGACCCAGGTGAGGACCCAGATGAACGATTCAGCATCATGCCTGTACACGTGCTCGACTTCGCCTGCGATGGCTTCAGGTGTAAGAAGTTCTAATGCCATGAACGGTACCGTTCCTGTGCGTTCAAAGCCTTTTGGAGCGTCTTGAATCAAGGACAAAATTTGTTTGATCGACAAGTCGAAGTCATTGAGGACACTGATGAATCGACCACGTAAGCGGTATCCCATTAGATTGCTGGGGCTGATGTCGCGGTGATGCACGCCATTCTTCCAGAGGGCACGATGGCCTGTGCGAACAGTGAATGGGTGATAAAGGATACAAAAAGGACAGGATACTTACACTTGACGACTTCCCACCATGCGAGGAGGAACTCCTCCCCGTTCAGCGTCGTGATTGGGTCAAGCTTTCTGAACACGATGATATATAGAACCCGGCTACCCGCGTCGTCGATTCCTAGAACCCTCCTGATTGTCGCCGTGGATGATACTTCATGCTTGTGGAACCAGACCATGTCTGGAACATGGCCCAACACATCCGGATCTTGAGTCGCAATCTTGTAGACCTCTTCGAGGATCCCGGGCTCGTTCTGCTGTGCTACTTCAGGCCAAAAGAGCTTGGCAGCCAATCCGGTGGATTCGTTGAGAGAATGAGAAAGCTGCGGCAGGGCCGATAGCGCTTGACTCTTCACTGAAAAAACATAAACAATCCTTGAGCGTCCGCGTAGACCAAAATGAGCTGCGCGCCTGTCAGACCCCAAATCCAACGTAAGGTCGACGCGCTTTTTCTTATCCTGGCCATCTTTGTCGTGGGTGTCCTTGTCTGTGTTGTCCAGCATCATGATGAGGCCTTCCTAGTAGGAAAGATGATGGAAAAGAAAGGTGAACTTTGGGGAACAAGAAGACGAGACCTGGGTTCGCTTTTTAAGCTATTGTTGAACATTTCACTGATATTAGTCGAATTGATGCAAATCCGTCATCTGAACCGAGAACTCGGTTACAGTAATTTTGCGGTTAACAACGCACCACTTCATCTAAACACTGTTATACAACCCGCTAGCCGCTAGCCTTCAGTTTTGAACTTTTTGGAGCCCGCACTGATCACACAAACTTCGAAAGTCTTGTAGAAGAATTTCACTGATCGGAGAAGTGGTTTGTGGGCATTGGAGACCGCCTGATAGCCCAGCTGTCGCGGCGGCTATATTCACCAACCTTTCGGACGACAAATCACATCTAGTCATCCTCTAAACATGAGAATTGTCAAGGCATTTAGCGATGCTTGAGGTTACAACCAATAGACCCGCGCGAAGAATGTGAAAGGATGGTAAGTTCGCTTTCGTTTCTCTATCCGCGATCTTATCTTCCTTGCAGAGGAAGAGGGTCACGGCCTTCATCCTTCAGAAACTCTTCGAAGAGGACTAGTCCATCGCCACAACCGCTGTCCGAGGTGATAGGTTCGACATCATCATGTGCACCTAGCCCGTATTCAAACTCGCAGTATGGAGCGCTGCTTCTTGGCCGACTACTGTTCAACGATCGTTTCTCGTTTCCAGAATGACCGCTTCATGGCTGTTTGAACACCATGAATTCACAGTCGGTCGTATTCCAATCCGCTCTGAGGAGCTAGCGAACAAGACCGGAATCAACTTGATGGTCAAAATATATGATCAGATGACGGCGTTTACTTGGTCGAATAACATCAAAACTATAGTGAGTCTGCAAGGTTGCTTTTACCGCTGATTCTCATTACGTCGTGCATAGCTCTCGAATGCAGCGTTCGATAGTTGCGTGTCAGACATTCGTGTCGCATAGTTCTGATCTGGTAGGATCAGAGTATGCGACACGAATAGTGGTGCCAACCGTCAGCCCAGCACGATCGATGCTCCGTCTCCGGAGATGTTTATTGCACGCCGGATTTCCATTCTGTCACACGCCATAGACGTTGCTGATGACCCTTCGTTCGAAACACGAGCCATCGAGGTCATAAACAGATACCAGGACCTCTGTCTTGAACAATACAGGTGTGCGAATTTCACCATAGAGACATCTGGCAGTCGGAGGCAGGCAGCAGCAGCAGCACGAGATCAAGCATTCAGCGTTCAAATTTGGTGACGATATCAGCGATCGCGACTAGTGGAAGGGTTTTGCTGAAACGATTGCGCACCACCCATTTAAGGATCCAGTCACTAGAAAATGTGATGCCGTCTTTGTCATTCCATATTCCGGCATTACTGCTGCGATACTTCAGCGCATATCTAGTATCGACGAGCAGGAACAGCCGCTGAAATCTTTCATGCTAGTCCAATTGCCTGTACTCCGGTGAAGTTTCTCTGGCTTTGGACCGTCCAAAGCCAGAGAAACTTCACCGAAGTACAGGGGCAACTTCATACCAGATTGAAAAAACCCGCAGCCAAAAGACCACATCCAACAGATCATCTCAGGTCCCCTCCTCTTCTCATGTACCGGAATCCAAAAAAATTGATCGAGCTCATTTCCATAACCTGTTCCTTCATCATCCTGACAGCAGTCAAGTACCGCAGAAAAGATAAGCAGTACTCTCCAAAGATGCGTCCTGTGATGAACCTAGTCAACAGGACCTACTATTCCGGTCTCGTTGGCAGAATACAAGAAGAGAGACGAGTCCGCAATTTCGACAGCGATGAACCAGATCAAAACCTACCTGGTTTCGGCGGTTACCTTCCTTTCCGTAGCTCTATGTATGGGCAACTTCTCGAGCGCATCACCTCACTCGGCAACAACAATATTGTGGCCCCATATTCATTCAACGAGATGCTCAACATGGCACGTGAGGTAAATGCCTAATCCCAGCCCTTGACAGAGAAGACTACGAAGGTGTGTACTATTGGGACAAGGACGAGTGGACCAAGGAATATCACGTGGCCGCAGTCACAAACCTTGATTCGGACACCTCGACAGCACTAAATAAGACCGTGCCAAAGAAAAAGAACCCAAATGCAACGAAGGAGGTACATGGTAGAACAACTGCATAGTAGGTGTCCAAGTCTCCCATTCACCGTGAACTCTATGCTGATTTCGATAATTTTAAAACGGGAGTCTATATGCTATTGATAGGGTTGCCTCAAACCCAGGCGGCACAAACGCAGCATTTGAGAATTATTGGCGAAAGCTCGACAAGGACAAGAAAAAGAAGTATCAAGATAAACTTGCGCTCGTGCGAACAGTGAGTGTGCCATGCATGGTCAACATTTCTCATCACTAACTAGTCTACAGGCAAGAGCTTGCTTGCGCTGTCGCATCGCCTAGTACTATCACTGGCGCTGGGCAGCAAGGTAGGAAGGGCAGCGGACTGGATGATATCGGCGCCACTCTAGATCGTGCCCAGGCTGTTCTCTTCCGCATGGCTATCGTCGTTACCACTATCATCATCATTTTCGCATTATTGTCTTTGTATGGATATGATTATGCTTCTCGTTTCTGCATTACTATTGTTCCTACATCGCTGTCATGTCCATGTCTGCATATCATCGTACCTGTGTATGTAATACAAGCACGTCTTATATTTTGTGACATTCATATGTAAACCACGTCGTCCTATTTGAGGTAAAATCATAAATGGATGTCCACGCTCAGCCAGGTATCCTAAGCGGGCTGGATCAATCTGGCTGAGGCTGTCGTGGGTTTTGACTGGGCATGAGGCCTGAACGTTTGATGACGTAAATACAAAAGGATGGCACTGTGCGTGATGTTTGTTCTACATTAAATTTACAAGATAGTATGTGGTATTGCATGTCGGAGGCACACTACCCTACTGGCAAGACAAGCGATCGGCTTGAACGATACCTTTCGGCACATGATGCTCAAGCCATGTCTGGAACACTTCTTCATCACTGGTGGAGGCGGGATCCGATGGGCCTCCATGTTTGTAAACCATCCCTAAGCACTTCCTTGCAACCTCCCAGGACACACTGTGCGATATCGGTGTCCGCAGATTTTTGCTATGTATTCCCTGAAACATAAAGTGAGCCTTTTCTTTTGCGCATCCCTTGGCATCCACCGTCAGCCATTCATCCAGTGGCCTGCCCTTGCTGAGGAGCTTGCCATTTTCATATCGAAGACAGATCCAAGTGAGGACCCAGATGAACGATTCTGCATCATGCCGGTACACGTGCTCGACTTCGCCTGCAATGGCTTCTGGTGTGAGAAGGTTTAATGACATGAACGGTACCGTTCCTGTCCGCTCGAAACCTTTGGGAGCATCTGTAATCGAGGACAATAATCGTTTGATTGACGACAAGTCGAAGTCATTGAGGACACTCATGAATCGACCACGTAAGCGGTATCCCATCAGATTGCTGGGGCTGATGTCGCGGTGATGTATGCCCCTCTTCCAGAGTGCGCGATGGCCTGTACGAGTAACAAGTTGATCATAAATAACACGAGAAGCACAGGAAACTTACATTTCACGACTTCCCACCATGCAACGAGGAATTCCTCCCCGCTCAGCATCGTGATTGGGTCAAGCTTTCTGAACACGATTATGTATAGGACCCGGCTACCCGCGTCGTCGATTCCCAGTGCCCTCCTGATTGTCGCCGTGGATGTATCTTCAAACTTGTGGAACCAGACCATGTCTGGAACATGGCCCAACACATCCGGATCTTGAGTCGCAATCTTGTAGACCTCTTCGAGGATCTCGGGCTCGCTCTGCCGTGCCTCCTCTGGCCAAAAGAGCTTGGCGACAAATTCGGTAGACTCGTTGAGGGAATGAGAAGGTCGCGGCAGAGCCGATAGCGCCTTACTCCTCACTGGAAAAACAGTCGTTGCGCGTCCGCGTAAACCAAAATGAGTTGCGCGCTTGTCAGACTTCAAATCCAACGTAAGGTCGATGCGCTTCTTCTTATCTTTGCTCTCCTTATCTCCCTTGTAGGTGCTATCCTCACACTCGACGATGATCTCGCCTTCATATCCAGGTTCAGGTTCGAACAACGGGTGAAGTCCCCATTGCTTGTATCCCATGCGCTGCATGATGAAGAGCAGGACCAAAAAGCGCGGAAGGTCCTGAACGAAGTTGATGCCAGCGCATTGAATCGTGTGCTGACGATCGAACCACCAGAGATAAACGATGTCGTCTGGAATGAGCGATCAGTCTGACGATATGATAACAGCGTTGCATCCACTTACTGTTTACTATAAACGAGATGACATGCTGACGCGCGGTATGAGCCGCGAACATCTCCGCAGCATACAATCCATTCTGGACGACAGGAGGGATTTTCTTCGGCTCCTTCTTCTTTTTCTCCTTCCTCCTCTTTTCCTGCTTAGATTGCCTCTCTTCGTCCTGCCTGGATCGTTTGCTGGTGGACGGCTCGTTTGAGCTTAAATGATCAGAGCCGCGCTTGTTACTTCTGAGTCGATCGGATATATTTTGTACTGCGTCGTGCATGTCAAAGGAAGCAGCGGATATAAATACTAGGCGGCTTACGCTTACTCGAGGTCTTGTGGGAGGACTGAGCAGGACCAGTGGCAGACGTCGAGTCTGTTGGCTGAGCGGACGTTGAGTCTATTGGCTGAGCGGACGTTGAGTCTGTTGACTGAGCGGACGTCGAGTCTATTGGCTGAGCATCTGCATCTGCATCCGCATCCTTCTCGTACTCCATATACATCATAGTAGGAACCACGTAGTCCTTATTGTAAGCAGGAGGTGGATGAGGCAGACGCAGCTTCGGGCGTTTGAACTCAAATGTTGTTCGAACCTCCATCCACTGGAAGTTCTCATGGTCTTTGGTGGGAGCCTTGCACGCAGACTGGTAAACATCTTTGAATTTTCCCTCTGGCATGATATCCGCAGCGGTCTGATGAGAAACGACGACGACGTCAGGCTTGCGGCTGGACTTCACGCCTTGATGTTCTTGGTGTATGTACGATGGATCATTCACATGGAAGAGCACATTGGTTTCGTTGTCGTCTTGAAAGGCAGGTATTCCAGGTAAGTTCACCTTCCTCAGTCCACGAAGCGCACGGTTGGCAGCCTCGACGAAATCAGTGTAAGACGAGGTTTCGTTCTCGACATTAGAACAACTTGATGATGGCGTTAGTCTTGCTTTATGCTCTTTGAAGTGCTGACTTACAATTTAGTCAAGTGTTGCTTGATCTTCTGCGCCACACCTGGCCCATTGCAGAGGGGCAGGACAGCCTCAAGGCAAGTATCGAGTAGTGTCGACTTCTCACTGGAAGGAAAGGATTCGGTGGGATCGGTGCACATTTCAAGGAGCTGTTGCAGCATTGTGTCTGCCCCACATCGCTTGAAGTTCCTGACGTCGCGCTCGATCCATGGACGGACATCACTGACGCTGCGTGAATAATCAAGTTGAGTATGAATAGTGGTGCCGGAACAGAACATCTAACGCACTTGACACCCAGAGTATCGATGTGTTCGCTGACAATAGCGGAGCCGACTGCGTGTGGGGTGGACTTGAGGTCGGTATTCAAGCCAGAGTTGCGGGGAGGTGTGCTTGTCACTGGTGCGGTGGCGCCATCATTGTTGGTCATGATGAGGCCTTCCTAGTAGGAAAGATGATGGAGAAGAAAGGTGAACTTTGGGAACAAGAAGACGAGACCTGGGTTCACTTTTTAAGCCAACGCAGCACTGTTGTCGGATATTTCTAGTCAGGGTTCACAAGTACTGATGTTGAACTGATATTAGTTGAATTCAAAGAAGTTGATGCAAATCTGAGCCGAGTTCTCGGTTACAGTAATAATTTTGGGGTTTGACAACGCGCCACTTCATCTAAACACAACCCGCAGCCCGCTAGCCTTCAGTTTTGAATTTTTTGGAGCCTGCACTGATCACACAAGCTTCAAAAGTCTTGCAGAAGAATTTCACTGATCGGAGAAGTGGCTTGTGGGCGTTGGAGACCGTCTGATAGCCCAGCTGTCGCGGCGGCTATCATATTCATCAACCTTTTGGACGACAAATCACTTCTGCAATCCCCTAAACATGAAAATCGGCAAGGCATTTAGATTCTGACGATGTTATCAAACATCTGTCTTCCCTGAACAACCGGGCTACCAGTGCAATCTTTCTCTGTTGTTGAAAGAACATCAGGAAGCCTCAAAATCACCCATCCTCAAATTGTAGATCGTTGCCATTTCGCACATACCAGGTGCAGTTTCCTGTGCTATACGCCTTCTTATTGGCATTTCACACGTTGCACAAGGATCGCCCAGGTATTGATCTAAGTCCGCAAATGGGTGGCGTGTGGACGTCGAAGAGCAATCGATGGACAGATAGCCCAACTATCACCTTGCGGCGGCCTTTCACCCCCATTTCGATTTATAAAATTTCAACTTCCATATCGCTAACCTTTTGGACGAGTCACTGGACACGCGAATAAGCAAGGAATCTGATTCTGATGGTCCTCTGATCAGACACCTCTGTTTGCCATCAACATATCGGGCTGTGCTTCCATTCTCTGCAATGGAACTCGTGTAGATGGACCCCCGCTGCCCCCTATTATCGCCCAAGCAAGCAGAATCACTCGCTCTATAGTCTTCAAGCCTCGGAGATCGATGGTCCAATTACGATACGATGTGGCCATGCCGATCGACATTTGGCTTGAACGTCGACGTCGATTCGTCGTTCAAGTCGCTCCTCTATCTGGCATGTCTCTTATTTTCTAACCTTCGCTAACATTAGTGGTTGGAGTAAAAATCTAAGCAGAAACGGGCGTCTATTTCGCGTCAGTCCATAAACATCAAGTATTTTCTGTATTAACGTTCTACTGAACTCAGGTCAACTCCCGGTCCATCCGCACATTTCTGTGTTCTCCTTCTGGACGAAGTACATCATCGATCTAACGGATGACCACCCGGTGGGTGCGGCAGAGGGTGTGGCAGAGGGTGTTTGATTTTACTGACAACAGCTCTCCCATCAGCCTCGCGCAATTCGTTTTGGGGTTGCGGACTCATTTTCAAGATATCAATCAAGGGCGCCACATCGATAGAAGCAGTTGACTCTCTAACTCCATTGGGCTGGAGATCCGACTTACCTGACTTTGAAACTCAGTTTGGGGGCACTGGCATCCTGGACCCACCAGGTACACGTGCAGACGAGTTCTAGGTACAGGTTTTTCTCATTAATGCCAAGTCCAAATGTTGATAGTCGTTTAGCGAGGTATCATCCTCAGCCTCATCTACTCCTCGTACTCCGTCCTAGATCTTGGATACTGCGCTTGTATCATATGATACCATGAGTTCTTCATTGCTCCCTGCCATCGTCGAGAATGAACAAGTTGATAGCGCAAACATGTAATCAATAAGTCCCACTTCTCGACACGCAACTAACTCGATGCTTTAGGTTACACCAAGAGACCCGTGCGAAGAATGTGAAAGGACAATAAGTTCGCTTTACTTTCTCTATCCGTGATCTTATCTTCCTTGCAGAGGAAGAGGATCACGGCCTTCATCCTTGGGAAACTCTTCGAAGAGGACTAGTCCATCGCCACAACCGCTGTCCAAGGTGATGGGTTCGACATCATCGCGTGCACCCAGCACATATTCAAACTCGCAGTATGGAGCGCTGCTTCTTGGCCGACTACTGTTCAATGATCGTTTCTCGTTTTCAGAATGGCCGCTTTATCTGATAACGGACTTGTGGACGGTATGCCGATGTCTAATTGGCTGTTTGAACGCCATGCATTCATAGTCGGTCGTATTCCAATCCGCTCTGAGGAGCTAGCGAACAAGACCGGAATTAACGCGATGGTCAAAATATATGATCAGATGACGGCGTGTACCTGGTCGAACAACATCAAAACTATAGTGAGTCTGCAGGGTTGCTTTTACCGCTGAATCTCATTACGTCGTGCGCAGCTATCGAATGCAGCATTCGATAGTTGCGTGTCAGACATTAGATCAGAACTATGCGACATGAATAGTGGTCCCAACCGTCAGCCCAGCACGATCGATGCTCCGTCTTCGGAGCATGTCGAGTCTATTGCACGCCGGATTTCCATTCTGTTACACGCCATAAAAGGTGCCCGCAGCTGTGATGATGTTGCTCAGTCGCACGGCGCCAACGAAGCTGATCGGCGTCAGGAGTGGGCTTCGTTACTCCTCAATTTCTTCCAACCCGTTGCCAAGCAACGGGATGTGTTGTGCGTAGTCCCTATATGCGGCCATTTTTATTCTAAACGTTCATCTAGGTTACAAGGTGTGGCCCAAGTTGTCCCATTAAATATATCGGCGGCAGCTACTGGAACATACTCGGAAATTAGAGATGGCAACTGAAGCGGTGCGGAGAGGAAATAGAGATTGGAATATGTACGGCACGGGTGGAACATCCACTTCAAGTGCGAACGAAACATTGGTATAATATTGCGAAATATCATACCAATGTTTTCGTTTGCACTCGAGGTATCCTTAAGTGGTTGTTTCAAATATTGTTTGTCGCACTCATAGTCGCGTCTCATAATTCACCAAAATATGTGCAATATTGTGATCACTACGCAAAATCATAAATTCTTCTACATATTGTAAGGACGGAGTTTTCAATCCCGTGGAAGCAATTCGCGTCACCAGGTGCGCCTCCCCTCGAACCCCTCTGATGTTCCACTTTGAGTGAGGCGCGCCAGACTCCTTTTTCTAGCTGTATTTTGCTTGCGCGAAATGTCAAACTAGACTTGGCTCGGGTTGCTCAGCATCACGATCATGGTAGTACTAGTATTGTACTCGCATCATATTGCTGAGGAACTACATCTGCGCCATCACCCGCGCTCTCTACCCTCGCAGTGTTCCGGTCAGCACGCACATCAACCACCTTTACAGGCTCTCCTTCCACATCAACTTCCGTGCTCGGCACGCCAACACCCTGTGAAGGTAGAGCAGCGCCGCGTACATTCATAACCTTGATACGTGGAATCTTGACATGACCACATTCGATTGGTATCAAATTCCAGGAGAGTTTCTCTTCAGAACTCGGTAAAAGGATTGGGAGGCGACCGTTCCGCAAGCCAGCCACGACAAACGCGTCAGATGGATCGAGATCAAGCGCAACAATGATATTGGCAGAGCGGGAGGAGTGCCGATTGCGGACTGTTAAATGTATGGGCGTCGACATATGGAGCCTCGCAAAGCTAGGGACGTCGAGAAGGGCAATTAACTCGTCCTGTGGAATCATGAGCGTCGGAAGTGCAAACCGCGTGGTCGACTGTCTTCCACGACCACCGTCAGGAAGCATCCTGTCGCATGTGTTTAAGCATCATCATTATCAACATGTCGCAATTATACAAAATTACCTTCGCCAAACAACTTCATAGTCGCCAGGACCAATTATTTCTTCGCCCAAAAGCTGCTCCTCCCGTGGACAAAGTGATATCCTACTCACGTTGCAGAGCTCATCGCCAGGAAGGTATTCTGACATATTCATCTAGCCAAATCATATGGCAAGAACAAAGACTCACCATCTGGATACATATCATTGCCATTTTCATCTGACGAGCAGTCGAGTACCTTTGCAAGCGGATTATCCTTGTTTGAGGGATTAATTGCTAAAGTAGGGGTGCCAAATTCATTGAACCCACCTGGCGATGCAGCTTCAAGCTCTCGACCACCAAGCCACAGGGGGCTACACACTCCATTCTTGTCGTTACCACAGCCACCCCGCCGTAGGAATCATCCCAGAGGTCATCTTCAACTGTAGACAGATCCGCCAAAGCAGGCATAGCGTTCTTGCTTCTCCTGTACGCCACGTCATATGTGACCGTCAGAGCTCTGGATGTCGGAATGACGATAGTTTGCAACTTCTCGCAGGAATCGATAGTCGCGTGCTCACTCGAATACCTTGAGCTGCGGGGTTCTGCATCGTCATCGCCCTGACCCATAGAGTTGGGCTGGACTGAAGTGGATTGAATAGATATGTCTAACATGCGATCACCAGGAGCACCGCTTCCCACGAGGTAAAGAGTCTTGGTGGCCGATACACCCGGGGCGATAGTGCCGAGTCGAATGCCTTTGATCAATCCGGATGAACGCTGGTCATCGAAGATGATGTACTGAGCTTTTAAAATGAGGGACATCAGTGTCGCAGGTCAGTTAGAAAACGGATTATCAAACCGGCTTTATCCACTTCCGTCGGCTGCAACAAAACATCAACAACAACATCCAGATACCGCTCATCAACATTTGTGATAGCGATGACGATGGGATATTCTTCATCGAGTAGTGCTGGTGCTTGATGCGATAGTGAGACAGCGAGCTGGTGAGGACGATGTCGAATACTGGATACAAAAACAGTTCACGACATCCATTGTGCTCATCGGAAACAACTTACACAACACTAGAACAGTCGTCTCTCCCAAGCTGAAGAAACTGGATGGGCTGCAGTGAAGTTAGCCAGCGCGGCACGAGTGCAGATATCTCATGAGAGACACATGGCCCATGTGGTATTTCGATGGTCCAGCCGTTTTGGGCAAGTACCACTGTGATGCTCACGACCTGCAGACGAACGTATAAACTGCCTGTCACACCTTGCTGAGATAACATAACACCCACTGTAAGCAGCCCGGGAACTTCAGAAGATATACTTCCGGAGACCACAAGTCGTTCGCCTGACCTCCACCGAAGATCAGCGCAAATTTCCTCCGGTTCGTCATCTTCATCTTCTGGTACTACCTTTCCAATTTTCAACAGCCGTACAACCTTATCTGCCACTTGGCCGTCCGTGGGGGGTGAATGTCGGAGTACCACAGGGTGATAACCATCGGAGAACGTGATAGTCACAGAGTCTATCGGAAGAGCGGAGAGATCTATGTTCGTTGGTGCAGCAAGAGACAGTTGAAATCCGGCGTCTTCACCAACCCGCACTTCGGGCACCCAGAAGACCAGCATGGTGTCCACTTCATGTCAATCAGTAAAAATGACATTAGAGAACATCCTTTCATTAGCTCACATAACGGGTCAGATTCCTTTAGGTCAACAACGAGTGGCATCCCTGTTGATACAGGAACCGGACTCTACATGAACCGCGTCAATTTTAATCGCTTCAAAGATAAGGCAGGGTGCCTCACCTTGAGTACCACCAATAGGTCCTCCTGTAGGGTTCTCGACTCATTAACAGTTTGTGCTGAACAACGTCATCGCACCGTGCGACCACCTTCAAAACATTATACGGTGCTTACCGTACCCAATCATCTCGACGAGGAGCATCGCCATAAGTTCCACCTCACTGAGCTTCTGCGCACAGGCATACCACGTTGACAAAAGCGGTCTGAGCATGTGTTTCCATTTCTCCTTTCGATACGTTTTTGCTATCCGCTCGAAGAACCTACAAACCACCATCTAGTTTATTTCTTGAACGACAAAGATGAAGATGCCGCGTACCGTACTGCGATATCAAACTTTTCAGACTCGAAGTATGTATGCGCGATGCGGTAAGCTATCCAGAGCGTCAAGCGCCCTTGGCTCGTGGTAGAGCTATGCTTCTTGAACACCTCGTAGGATTTGGTGTAGAGCTGAGCCGAAAAATAGTCGTCACCATTTGACTATATCACAAGCCAAACAGAGCACAGACCTCGAGAATCAATGACAGATGGTCAACTTTCTTCTCGTTTGCGTATCCTGGGGCCGCACTTGTCCCTTGCAAAATACCCTTTTTATGGTCAGATATGATTGAGGGATCAATGGATCGAGATACCAAACACACCTCGTTGGCCAAGAACCTCTCTCTGCGTGCTTCTGTGCATCGGGCGGCCATATAGTAGTAATGCCCTGGATGCTGCAAAGCGTGGGTAGGATTCAATCCGAATGCTCGAACGGCATCTAGCTCCACGGGCGTGCCTGCTGATGTCACACCAGCCGTAAGCGAAGGAGGTGAATTTGTGGGGAACGTCAACGAAGAGTTCGATCCTTGTTCTAGGAGCTCAGCGAGGACGCGGTGCCTGGAAGACACAATGAGAAATTTGTTGAATATGTTTGGACATGAGGGTCGTACTGTCTCGCCATCCAACTCCAATACTCAAATGTCTCCTCGCCTATGCCCCATCCCCGTGAAAAATCTGCGAACCGGCGCATGTGGGAGTTGTGCTGCGAAAGTGCGAGCGAGTGCTCGTTATTGTACAGGTATAGTTTGGTTATCTACCGTTCCAGTTGTAAGAGTGATCATACAAGGCGCGTACATTCGCACCTTCACATTCATGGTGTCTGCAAGGACTTTGGCCTCTGCCCAGCGCTTGGTTCGAGGGGGGAGGATGGCAGTCGATCCGAACATAATCATGAGTGTCGCGTATGCATCTTGATAGTGTCTGAGAAAATTAGTTTTCCGATCTCTTTGGCAAGGAGAACGTGACGGACTTGAGCGCAACCTCATCTTCACCCCTGAACTCTGCGAAACATGCCATCTTGTATTCATACCGCACGGTCCACCCTTCGGGACGCAGTGGGCGAGTGCTCGCAACGCCCATGGAAACAAGAGGTGGAGGGTTGTACGATGAAACAGATTGGGAGTGCCGATTTCGCTTACGCCTGACACGCTTGGAGTGTGAGGTATAGTATTCGAGCGCAGTGTCATACAGGGCGTCTTGTAAACTAGAATATCATGTAGTGCAGCCGTAGAAAAAGATTAGGTTGCCCTTACCTGCGTGCAAAATCATTCAATTCAGATGTACTAACTGGACTCAGGACAAACAAGGCTGCACGGGAGTCAAGTCCGCTCTGTTTTCTGATAAAGGTGAGACGGCTATCGAGTGAGGGGTCATCTATCACACAGTTAGAGCCTCATTGACTATAGGAAATGGACGATATACCGAGCATCCTCCTAGTTGCAAGTAGCACGGTGGTCAATTTGATACCGCGTTCATTAGTCGTCTTCTTTCGTGCTGCAACCTCAGCGCTGAGATCAGTATCTCTTCTTCGTTCTTCCTCTGTTTTATCGCGTTCATGTTCTGGGTCTGGTGGGTCCAACGGAGATCGAGCATGTACGGCAGGTGCCTCAAACAATCTAAGGAATAGAACAAAAACGCTCGGTACTAGTTGAGTATGTTTCCGTATCCATATAGGCGCAATTAGGCCGTCTGGATACAAGGGTGACGAAGGTGTCAAGGGCGAAAGTGGTGAATGAGCGGATGTATATGCAAGGTCCTCTGGCGGAACGAGCTTGCGAGGAGGGAATCGGACGTCTTTCCCCATGAGGATCATTTGAAACGCCCTCATGCGCTCTGGTGCCCATATCGCGGGTTTGCGCTGCGACTGGATGACATCTCGGAGGCGCGTAATGAGGCTCGTGAAATGATCCTGAGTCTTGGTAGGTGCGGACGGGGGAGATTGTGTTTGACCTAGGGACTGTAGAGCACTTGAAGGGGAGTTTGATAGTGCAGGTGGTAGGTCAAGGCCTGCGACGAACATTACTGGAGCGAGTTGGACCAAGAGCTCAGCCGGGTAGGAATTCATCCTGACGATTGCTGATGATGAACTTCACTAAACTGATACTGAGATGGCAGTGTGACTGTTTCCAAGGCAAGAAACTAGAAAACAATCAAATATCATCGAGCTGCCCAAGGTAGAGAGTATCGTGCTCCCAACTGGAAGACTTTACTTAATGAAGTGAAATCTATATTAATCGTGGGAACTATCGAGTTTCTTCTACACCCGCTATGAACCATGTCTTTGGGATGTGAAATGTGTCTGGACGCCAACGACGTCAGGCTCGACGTCATAAAATGCAGCATATAAAAACTAGAGTGCCGGTCAATCTTTCTTGTTCACCAACTAGAACGTTTAACGCACATTAAGATGGAGGCTAAAGATTGCACTTGCGTCAGTGACTGCGGGTGAGTGCTCCTTGCCAAACCTTCTATCATAGCTTTAAACACATCCATAGCGCATGTGGCCCCTCGGGCACTGACTGTACTTGCCCCAAGAATAATTGCGACTGCGATAAGTGCGACAAGAAGCAAGTCTCTTCCCAAGTACGTCGCTAATCGTACTTCCGATTCGCTCTGGTCCTCATCACATCAGTGCGACTGCAAAGGTACAGGTGATAGCTGCGGCTGCAGCCTCTCTGGCGCTACTTGTACTTGCCCCAAGAATGAATGCAACTGCGTCGGTTCTGTCAACAAGCAACCCTCTTCGCAAGTACGCAGTCAATTGCACTCCTTATTTACAATGGTCCTCATAACACCAGTGCAACTGCGGCCCGTCGGGCACTGGTTGTACTTGCCCCAAGAATAATTGCGGCTGCGACAATTGTGTCAACCAGCAACAGTCTTCGCAAGTACGTAGTTAATTATACTTCTGATTCGCCTTACCCCCTCATCACATCAGTGCGATTGTAAAGGTACAGGTATCAACTGCGACTGTACCAATCAGCAAGAGGCATGCAACTGCGCAACAAAGTAGTTGTCTACATGATGATAAATTCATCAGAAGATGCCGCCGAGTATTCATTCAGCCCCTTTTCTTATGTTATGACTTCTGTATCGACAGTGGCGCATAAAATGTTGTATTACTATAGTTCTTTAGGCTAGCCGCTTCGTGACATTGTTTCCTCTTGAGTTCGAAAATACAAGAAACTTCAATACACGTGACCCTTGCGAGCGCGTACTTGCTATTTTCGGATGAAGGTAACATCTTCTCTTGGTGAGCATTTTTTTATAAGAAGCAATTGACGATGTCGCAATTTTACCATTCCCTCTCGGTCCCTTGCATCTCCTGGCTTATTGATTAGGTCTCCATTCCCTTCACTCATTAAGCGTCATCTCTCGCTGCTCTTCAAACATAACCCGCCCGCATATACCTCAATCCATCTTATACCCATCCAACATGTCCTCAATAACCCTCCGTATAGTATCCCTCTGGGTCATCCTCTTTTCAATTTCTGCAATGGGTAAGCTTATCCTCCCCATCTTGGTATCTTACAAAGCTTGACTTTGCTGATAGTTGCAGCGTCACCCGCTCCAATAGATCCCAAGCTTGCATCAGTCATCACGAGCAATATGAATCTGAATTGTGGCCAGAGCTGTCAGGACTTCAGGGGCACCCAACAACTGGTAATGTATACTCTTGAACATGATGCATGCGTCTTCTGATTTGTGTACTACCTGACAGAATAAGAATTTTGCCTTGGCGTCTGCATCGAAGTCGAATCCATTTGTACTTGGAGCTATACTGCTAGTTTGTGGCGTTTTGGTAGGATAAATGAGGGCATACCGTTACGAAGTGACTTCCAAGTCGGACCTTGACATTTTGATGTATTATACTCAGTGCAGTCGATGTAACAGTAAAGCATCAGTACTGTTTCTAATTATTTGATCACTTAAGAGTCATGTGATTGGCTGTGAGACATTCTTCTACAGTTCTCACGCTGTATGCCACTAGAGTGAATCTCTACGTATAGTCCCGCCGCCTCCAGCCCCTCCTCTAGCTCGAAGCATGCCGAAAGTATCGTTTTCGCACCTTTGTGCTGTACCATCGATGGCAACTTCCACATTGGTAGCGTATTTGTACCTTCGAGAACCATCGGCAGTTGACGGTTGTGTTTACCGAACATGTTCACCTGGGGAAAGGGCTAATCAAGTATGGCGAGGCGCACAAGGGATTTTAACTGTGGCTATCGTTGCAGGTATTGCGGATGACGTCTACAACTTTGTATGAACTGATTTATGGGCGATATGCCGACCGAGGAAACACCCGAAAGACAGTGCCCAAGATACGCTCAAGGAGTCTGAGGACCACGATCGCACCACCGCACCATCTTCAAGTCTGCTATAAAGACATTTGAGGATGATAAAATTGAAGTCCCACTGGAAGCAACCGCGAAAGCGACAGCCATTGTACAACACGACATGCAGAGTTTGCCGCCGCCGCCGAGTTGGACGCTGTGGTGCGACTTGATCCGCAGAGCAGACTCAGAGCCGGTCCTCGTTTTGAGTCCCATCGACTCTCTTCCAAAATCACCCTTGTATAGCAGTATATCCTCTTACGAGACGACACAGGCCCTGCAATGATTCATGTTCGAGTCGTCGACGACAATGCTGTTGCATGTCGTTGTTTAGGCTCCATCTTGAACCTTCGTCCGACCATAGGTATCCTACACCTCCAATGCCTGCCTCGATGGCCACTATGGCACCTACTCCGTGTCCCCTACTTTGTGTTGTACTAGTCGTATCTGAATTTGCCCATGTACATTAATGTCATTGTAACGTGAGCCTGCAATTGAATATATTATTGTGGCTTGTAACGAGGACTCACTGAGCAGGCCATATCAAAGGAAGACAGTCGGTTTATCTTGATTGGATTCAAGTGACTGATATCTGAGCGAGCGAACGTTGCTAGTTGACGCGTATCGATAGCGCACGTCTTGCATCTTTTCTTTATCGCTGTCGATTTGTTCCACAACAGTTAGAGCCAGTGTCCGACATGATCAATGCGCCGATTTATAACCCACTGACAGGTGTCGCAGGCAAAATAGCTGTTGTGACTGACTTCAACAGGGGTATCCTCATAATCAACGGTGACAAGGGCAGGCGGCAGGCGGACTGGTTGACGCGGTCGGTAGGAATCAGAAGCCCATGGCGGTTGGACCAGCATCTCACAAACATGTTCAGCACAAGAATGAATACACTGCAGACTCACTTTTGCATAATTTTTGGAAGGTGAGCCGCTCGAATTCGATGATGATCCCGTTGTATCCAGCACACCTTACGCTACGATCGGGAGATGAATGAAGCCACATTAACTGGAGTCAAAAGGTGCGTAGTCTTACTGATATATCTGTACAGTTCGTATTTGAAAGTGAGCCCATGATAGGGACGAAGGCACAGCGCCCAAGTCACAATCTGTGACTGCCTGCATGTGCATCGCCCGTTCTCTCGGTTTATTTCTCCCGGAAAAAGGTAGGGTTGCTGGAAAGATCCAGTAGGACCAGTGTCCACGGGTAACTCTCCATTATAAATCTTTCTGCCCTTCTTTGAACCCATCATCGATAGCAAGTGAGTGGCTCTCTTTCTTTCTCCCCTCCTCCGCTGAGCTGGTCTTCGCAAGTGGTCTCCACTGGAATGAAGCCCGCTCCCCTGGGCAGTGCGTACAGGATGCAACCTCAGGGCAACGAATCAGCTGCCGACGGTGGCCATCAACCCATATCACGACCGACGCCTGTGGAATTTCGCAGGCTAGTATCTGGTCCCCAAGAAAATATCATCCGTGCAATGGACGTGAGTCAACCAGTCTTTGAGGACTTCAAGGTAAGTAGTGATCGCGTATTATCGTGCATCGCTGATCTTCGATAACAGAAGATTCTTCGCGATCAAGCCGTTATGATGCTCGATTGCGAACGATTCTTACACGAACAAGTCCCAGATATCTGGGCGCTATATCTGGACTGGGTAAGTCATTTATTTGACCAGTGAGTTATATGTATCAGCTAATATCTCAGGCTCACGAGGAATTGGCATCATTTCTTTCCAAGTACACCGACGCATGGCCCGTCGAGTTATACATTGAACATTACTTATCCAAGAAAACGTATGCTAAGCGTCACACCTTCAGAGCCAAGATGACGAGGTTAAGGCCCGCCGTCAAAACTGCTCGCATTAAGAGTTCTGCCTCGGAGGTAAAGTACCTGTGTTCGTACTGCTGATGAATAGCGCCGCTCACCATCTGTGCGATAGCATGACGCGAGCTTGCCACCCGCTCCCGGTGGTCCACCTCCACCTTACGAAGATCACAACTTCGTGCAACCCGATGCAGCGGGCGGCAATGATCTCACTGTCGAGAACTTTCTGAAGACGGTTAACCCTGATCTTAGCCACCTCTTCCCCGCGTTTGAGGAACTAGGGATCAACAACGAGGCGGATCTCATTGTTGTAAAGTCATGGGCTCCCGCCGTCCGCAAAGACTTTTTCGAGAGAGAGTTGATGGGGAGAATGAGCGCTCTTCAGATCCAGGCCCTGAATGTCAAGCTTGGGGGAATGAATTAGCGAGCCGCATCCCAAAGTCATGATCTTTTTACCTCAAGTTTTTTACTCGCACTATATACTTTTTTATTCAAATTGAGTTCTATTTGCATTTTATGGGTGACTTGATTTTCCCAATCGCAAGCATTCCCTCCCTCACGATGTTGGGAATAGAAAGATTCTTTGTCTTGGAAAAGTGCGTTGATCATCTTACCAGCTGAATACCACTTCACAAGTTCACATCATACCGGATCTGCGTTCCGAACGTTCAGATACTGAGTCGAGCGGTAACAAATAGCCCAACATTCACCGAAACTGTAAGTCTTTATAGGGAACATGGTCATACAAATGCTGCTGCGGTGAATACATATAGAATATTGGTAGAATTGTTATTGCGGGTGTCAACATTGTATTCGTAACTTGTCGGACATGGCAGAATTGTACATGTTAGAATATGATCTTCTCCATACTGTTCTTTTCAGATATAACTGATTTGGACACCTTTGGTTTGGGGCTAATCGACAAATCAGAATCATGGTGTCACACAGACATTCCCGAAAACTTACCGTCGACCCACACTACAACAACAACATCGCTGTGCTGACAGCATGATGACTGCTATCCAAGCCAAAAGCACCGCCGCTAGTACCATCCACAAGCCATTGCCAAAGCTTACAGTAAAGTCGCCTTCAGGGAAAAGGGATTCGATGTTGTCTTTAACACCGACGACCAAAGCAATGTTCGCAGCAAAAACAGCGGTCGAAACAATTGCTATGATCGTAGCGACTACAAGTACGATTGTCGTTATTAAGTGTGAGGGAAGCAAGAGGGACAACACAAAGGCGACGGTCGAGAGTGCTGCATTGACGGGATGCAGCACAAGAATAGTCAGTAGGGTCACCTCTGCAACATTTGCAAGCTTAGGGGAGAGCCCAACGAGGGATAAAATGGTTGTAGGAACGGTATATCCCAACTGTGGACCATAGCATGCTTCTTGTGCTTCGACACCGTTAAGGATACTGAAATGTGACAGATGAGAAAACGTCAGTGAAATTTGGTCAAAGCAGATGCTCTACCTCAATGCACAGACACCCCATACTCCGAATTGCAGTTCTGTGACTGCATTCGTGACGGGATCAACAGAATTTACTGCTGAAACTCTGATAATCATGATTGACTTGATAATTGGCGAAGATAGACCGGCCAAGAGAAAGAGGAGGAATGCGGCGAGAAATAACGTGAAGCAGGCCAGACGGAAAGCGCGCTCTCGCAGTAACCGTAGAAGCTTGTGAGACTTGGCTAGATGGCCACGCAACCACTGTAAGACGCCCTCCATGCTTGGTGTTACCAGCGACTGGGATTGGGAAGGATGAATACAACGCATTGCTTGATGTAGTGCTTTGCGTGGATTTGGAGCTGCAGGCGAGACAGCCTGGAAAGATAGATAGCTTTACCACTACATCATACTCGCAAGGTTGTCGCAAGGTCTCGCGTGCTGTGGGAGTTCGTGAGAGTCTAGTCACTAATATCAAAGCCCGCCGTGACTAAGAGGCGTAAATTTCTCTACAAACAAAGTTCGTAATCATCACCGTGTAAGTGTTATAAACGACCAACTAGGATGTCATCTCTTAATTCTTCCAGAATATCCATGATTACAACTCGTTCAAACAGGGTAGAGGTCTCCTTGAGTGCTTCTGTGACGAATCTCTCCCTCCCCTTAAATGTCATCCGGAAGAAATAGTAGAGATGCTCGTCAGTGGACAAGCCAGCCTCGATGATTACCGCATGGAAGCGGTGAAAACCTGGCGTTGAAGCCAGGAGGGTTGACAACAGAGTCAGACATGATGCAGTGTCCGAAGCACCACCGTCTTGGATGGCGTTCACTTGATTATCCTGAGGTTCAGGAGTAGCCTGATTATCAGAACAAACAAGGTCATGCTATATCATGTATGTTAGGCGCACTCGGAGTATAATTGTCAGTGGAATAGCGAAGAACCTGTGCATCTTTACTGGTGGGCCGAGTAATCTGGTTGCCAGAGCAAATAGCGAGTGACGTTTGACGCGGACGGTCATGCTATATCATGTGTTAGCCGGATATGAGGTATGATCATCAGTGAAATAGGGAACCTGTACATCTCCAATCTGAGTAACCGGATTGATAGAGTGAACGTCTGATTGTCTCTGACGGTCATGCTGAAAGATGTGTTAGATAATTGCCGGTGGAGTAGGGGGGAAGTTAGAACCTGCATAATTTGAAGCTCGGAGTTCAGTTTCTGGTCGTAAATCAGAACAATCTGGTAGTTAAACCATGTAGTTTCGAATTACCTGGAAATTTCTCATAATTCTCGGGCGATTATACATTTTTCCAAGGAACACTTCCACTGCCCAAGCGTCTTCATAGTGCATCAGGTGCGACAGCTCTCGATCAAGTAGGACCTACAAGACATGTTTCAGCCTCAGACACACTAAATAGTCACATTCTGCCAAAATATATTACCTCTCTCTTGAAAAAATCTATTTGTGATTGAGACTGCTCCAAATACGGTATCGAAAAATCGATGTGATGAAGAGCTAAGTCTCTAATCGCTCTCTTTTGAGGGGCAATCAGATGTAATACATAGCTTCATATTCCAATGGTCACTCACTTGTGTCTTGTAGCACATCTGGGAGCTCATTTTCAATCCTGCATGGAGGTAGCGTGCAGGAAGCCGAGGGTTGCACAAGCTGTCTATGGAGACCTGTGAAGGCCGCCTTATGAATATGGGTCCTTGACGTTGAGAAAAGGGTGCTAACACATAGATACTATTCATTGTTGTCCGATAAATGGCAATAGATAGGACTCACACTCTCTGGAGGCGCAAGACGTGGTATAACGAGTCACTGGCATGATAGTGTAACTTGGTGAGTCAAGACTGTCGTCCGCTTCACCGTTACGCCAAAAGGAAGTGATACTGAAAGCTTATGTTTCAGTATCGCGGACGGTATTTATGCAGGTTATGGGGACTCTAGTAAGCCAGCGAACTTACAGAGAGGTGGTGGGTCAGTCTGCAGTAGTACAGTGACCTTGCCCCGCAATTTATAGGCACGTGAACCCCCTTTATCTGCGTTGATCAGTTATAGAATATATCATCTGAGGAGACACAAACACATAAAATATCAAGGTATTTTCCCCGAAGAATCATCGTAGTCGTCGTCGTCCACTGATTATCAGACACACTGTCGAGGCTCGTGGCTAACATGATGTACAGCAATTCATGCGCGTGTCCAGAACCGTCTTCACTTCTGACTCGCCATGAAAAACACACCTTGAACACCGATCTCCGCGGCCCTCATCTTAAGCATATCGTCGCCCCAGGTAGTGAGTGCTGCTTCAAGTTCAAGAAGCGAGGGATAACATTTCTATGCACTATTACTTTTGAAGTCTTCCGACGCGTTGTGCACTGCAAAACGTACTCTCGCTGGAATGCATGTCCTTTGATGAATGTGAGTGTATTTAAGAAGAGAATGGCGTACCAAATATTTTATTTCTGTCTCGGGGAAAACGTGGCAGGAGCGTGTTGAACCATGGCGTCGAAGTGCAAGCGGCTCATTTGTCGCTTCTCGGAAGGTCAACACTACATAGTATCCGAGAAGCAACAAATATACGCCATTTGCACCAAAGTCAATAAGTACCGCTAACCAACCGCTTGCTCTAAATTTCAGAGATATTCCAATAATCGGGCAACTTCATCGATACGACAGGCCTGTGGCAGACTAAAAAGAACAATTATTATGGGCCGAAACATCCTATAGAAAGTCGATATTGTACACGAGGTATTGATGAATAATGTCAGAACAATAGTAAGGAACGGTGCACGAATGGAACTTGTGCGAGGGTAGATTTTGACGGCCTGCAAGTTGTAGCCTAAAATGTGGCTTGTAGTTGTAAGGGTCCAAGAAACACGAAAGCGAACAGCAAACATTCAAAGCATGGTATACACGTTGCATGAGATCATGCAGCATCTTTAACATCCTCTCGCACCAAACCGCTCTCCTCACCTGTAAGCCGTGGAGTCCCGTAAACGCCACCGCCGAAGAGGCCCCCACCACCAAAATGATGTCCATCCAAAGTCTGTCTCTGGCGCAGGTATATTATGTTGCGAGGGCCCAGGTTCAGGTTGGTAGCCACGCCGCCGAAAGAACTGGTCCTGCGGCAGTGATTCTGGTTCTGCGATTTTGCCTGGATTATCTATATCCTCGTCCACTTCAATGGTGATTTGTAGCCCCTGTCCTTCCCTTCGATCCCGCTCTACGCCCCGTAGTCCATAGCTACCTAGTCCCCATCCGACGACCTGGGAACCAGGTTCCCGCATCGTATTTCGGGTCTCTTCACGGCCAAACACTTGATGTATGCGCTCCACGCGCTCGACAGCTTGTAGTCTCGCTGCAGTAAGATGCGCGTGGCGCAAGCGTGCGTACCATCTGTTTACAAATTGTAGAGGTAGCATGCCCCTTGACGACCCCTGTGCCGTTGCACCTGCAGTTGATAGGGCATTGTCAGAAGTGAGAACGTCCAATGGTTCAGAATTATCAAGTCCTTCGTGCCCCTGGCTGGAATTTCGGCTCTCAAAGTGATCGCGCTTCGTTGTGAATGCACCGGTGACACCCTTCCACATGGTCTTGGCTTTCTCCCGTTGTTCTTTCCTCTTCTGTGCTCTCAGTTTCCTCTTTCTCTCACGTTTCTCCTCCTTCATCAGCAGCTCTTCTACCTCGCCGACGCCCATCCCAGAACCAACCCACCACCACCATCCAAGGAAACTTTGCCACATAACCACGCTCCACATAAGTTTTGGCATCCATCCATATTGGTCTTGACTCGGTATGTAGATGAAATTGAGCGTGGTCGACAGGAGGGCGAGGACGATCGCGCCAGCACCGAACGCTGATGTCCCACCATCGGTGCGCCATGCCGCCTCGCGGTTAACAAAAAAGCCCCAGATTATTAGTGCAGAAGTGAACAACAGTGACAAAGCTGCATTGCACACATTGCGGGTGTCCTCCGCGAGTGAGATTGAGCTCATCCCGTAGAAGATAGGGAGCAGTTGCATTATAGCGGAGATAATGGCCAACGGACCTGATTACAAGCAGGAAAAAAAAAAGTTGTGATCAGTATTGCGGGGATCGTGCGGAATACAGAACATAAAGCGCCCATAGAAAGAATATCCCAAAGTTCCAGGACGCATGTGGAACAGAAATGCAGGGGCTTTACAGCCGCACTCACCAAGCAGGCCGAAAATGAGTCTTGCCTCGAGGTTTGAGGGAAACAGTAAGGTCAGAAAATGAATGTGGGTAATCTAGATAACAGCATCGGTATGATCAGAGTATGCTACGTTCACTTGCACTAACCTGTATAACCATAGATGTAGTCGCATTCATTACGGTCCATGTAGCGCCCTCGACAAGTGACCATCGGTGTGCATATACCACAGCAGGATCTGAGGTATTCCCCGTTACGACGACGCCATACTGTGGCATGTCCACAGCTAGATAGCTCAACATGTATGGCCAATGTTGACTCTCCTCTACATTGGAGGAGAACACGACATAGATAGTGGCGGTGACGGAAGCGAGTAAGGTCACCACCCCGGTGAGCTGCAGCATATAATTGACACGAGCCAGGGGCCAGTGATACTGAGCAGTAAAAAGTAGGTGAAGAAGCAGAACGACGACAAGCGTGAGGACCACGCCTGTCAGGAGGATCTGGACTGGTAAGGACTCGACGAACGCGGGTCTATACTGTAGGATAGGGTCATGGTCGTAACTACTGTTATCGTTCTGGGCCATGACAGCAGGACAGAGTTGAAAGATAACGGTGAAGAAAATAACAAGCCATTCCTGCCGTGTAGACGGCATCATGAACAAGTTCCAAGAGACTATGTGACTTGGTGTCACGCATGACATGTCACAATTTGGCTTGGCTTGCTTGGCTGTACTTGGCTTCCAATCACTGGGTTTGCTTCGTGTGAACGACGTGCTGGAACCATCATTACTCAGACCTTTGCAATGGCTTATCCGCCTGATCGATGAGTGCAATTTCGTATACAGCTTGACGCGTCTTGGCAGTGGAGTCAAGATCAAACTTCCCCCGCCTAAACGCCTGGGGCAAGATTCGATACTCACGCTGTCGGATTCGATAGAACTCGGTTTGACCACGTACAAATCATTTGCATGCATCGCTCCAGAGCTAAGCTCGCGCAATGTGTATTTGGAAGTTGGAACACTGGAATCCTCCGACGGCAGGTGTTTTGCCTGGATGATGGCCGTCTGGACCATGACAGCTGTCAGGGCCTTTTGACTGACGAGTCCGAACAAACGTTGTCTGCCAATCTGAGATTGTCCTGTTTTGTCTCTAGAACTTTATCCCGAAAAATAGTAGCCCAGGGTAGACTTTGCCCAAAGGACTCTCCACATAGATTAGCCACAGAGTGGCAATCCACTCGCTGTGAACTCGCCAAACCCATAGGCTCGGTCACTGCTGACGCAGATAATGCTTTCACGCTTCGAACAACGATCTCATCAAGCTGACATCCAAGTGGCATACGAAATGAAGTGTGTTTTCCAAAGTGAACTGGATGTGATCTAAATAAATACCTGTGTACATAAGGATTTTAGTCTAGGGAAGAGGTAATGCAGATCCCAACGATGCAGATGGGACAGAATCTAAATTCGTGGATGGTGCGATTGGTAGGGGCGCATCTCCGGCGCTCGCGTTCAGTTGCGCAGCCATCAGCGTCCGGAACCTCGAGTCCTTCGAGTTCACAAGCTGCTTATACGTCCCTGACTCTGTTATCCGCCCATCTGGGTGCACAACATCCCCGTTAGTTTAATCTTAGATACAAGAGGCAAGCCAGATCACCTTCAAGGACGACAATCCGCTCCGCGCGGGCAATAGTTGACAAGCGATGTGCAACGATCAGACACGTCGTGTGTCGTGCTCGCAGGATCTTATCAATGGCATCATTGACCTAAAGGGGTCCTGTTAGAACAAGGTCACTGAAGCAGGGAGTGAAGCATCTTACCCTATGTTCCGACGCAGCATCAAGCGAGCTGGTCGCTTCATCGAGCGCCAAAATCTTGGGTTTTTTCAACAGTGCACGTGCAATTGCTAGGCGCTGCCTTTGTCCACCACTCAAGCTCAGACGGCCAACTGAGCAAAAGAATCATCAAATAATTCGCACCAAGCAGGAAGAAGGTAGCACAAACTTTCGGTGTCGAACCCCTTTGGCATCCCAAAGATGAAATCGCAATTTGCCTCGCGTGCAGCAGCTTCGATCTCCTCGCGCGTAGCATCCTTGTTTCCGAAGGCAATATTCGATGCAATAGTCCCCGTGAAGAGGACGGGTTCCTGGGAGGATGTTGTTACAAGAGCAGATGTAAGTGCAGAATTGAGCACTTGCCTGGGGAACAATGCCGATTATGCTGCGCCATGAAGAGGGATTGAATTCACGGATATCTATCCGGCCAGGTTAGCACTCCATAGGAGGCAAGATGAGGACTACCCACCTTGACCATCAAAGGTCACTTTCCCGCGCACAGGATCGTAGTACCGCAGAAGCAAAGATTGTACGGACGACTTGCCACCACCACTCTTCCCCCTGTATACCCCAAGGTTAGCAGCACCGACAATAACTGCTAGCCCGCACGACTTACACAATTGCCACGCTCTCTCCGACGCCAATCTCGAGATTGAAATCATCAAGGATTTGGACACCTTTGCGACTGGGGTACTCAAACCCGATGTTCTGGAATCTCACCGTGCCATAGCGCGAAGCGTCAACGTCAATGCCTCCATGGGGCGGAATCGCTGGCGTGCGGTCGAGTAGCTCAAATATGCGCGTGCCCGCACCAATCCCACGCATAATGGACGACTAATATTGCTCAGTTTAATGGACACCGCCAGAGTATCGAAAACCTACGAAAAATGAACTGTGCAGGGCAGTGTTGAAGTGGTCATATCATAAGTGGAAGAAGACTCACGTCAACATTTGAAGACCTGAACCAACATATACGGTATATAGCAGGAGACTTGTCAGATCTCCGACAGTGATCGCACCCTGCGAAACCAGTGTTCCCCCTACACGAATGTATTTAGAGTTTTTCACCAAAATACAAGGAAGCCGTGCACGAGCTACACACCATAACCAAGCAGCCCAAGGATAGTCACATTTCCGCTCCAACCAGTGCTTCCGAAGAAGATTCCTGATGCGATTGCCTCCTTCCGAGCTAGCTCAAGGACGCGCGTCACCCGGTTGTGAAACTTTCCCTCCTCTTGGTCGCGCGCATTGAATGCTTGGATTGTCCGTAGAGCCGAGAGCGACTCTTGTGCAACCTAGAGTATCATGGAAGAAACGTGTGAAAAACGGAAAGATAAACTAAAGCTGACCTTGGTCATTTCACCCATCGCTTCTTGCGTTTGGTTCGAAAGCTTTTTCAGGTAGCGACCATAGAATACCTGCGAGCGCTCAGATTCTGCTATACTAATAGGAAGTTCTGCTCACAGCACCAAGAGAGACTGGTGGAACAATTCCCAACATCATCACAGTTAGTGTGGGGGACAAGTAAAGCATGGCACCAACTGTAGAGGGCATGCCCAGTCATGAGCAACAGCAGCACGTCTGTAAATACGACACTTACGACCAACAGACGACATCACAATGGCTCGCAGTCCATCTGAAAGATTCTGTGTGACACTATGTGCAACAAATTGAATGGATATTTCTCGGATAGAGCACTGCGAAACCCTACCTCTCCCCGACAATGCTTGAATCCGCAGTCAATCTGCTTAAAACATCACCCTCTCCCTTCTCCACAAATTCAACTTCTTGTCTCAGTGCTGCAGCATATGCCCGTTCCCTCAACCGTGCAACGATTCGCTGGCCCGACATTCGCATGAGGAACGATCTCGCTGCGTTGCACGTTGCTCCGGTCGTAAACAAAATCAGAAGAGCCGCCGAGGCTTGCCCAATTGACAAACCGAATGGTATTTCCTGCGCACGAATTGAGTCAACCGCGTCACCCCCTCACTATCAATTTACTCACAGGGTTTGCAGAAGAGAAAAAATCTATCAATTTTCCAATCGTAAACGGAACGCTCATGGCGACTGAAGAAGACACCAGCAGCAGGCCCACCGCAAGTAGCAAAGGCCTTTTCTCCTGCTTCGCCAGTGCAACGATTTTCCGGAACGAAGAACTACTTCCAGGTGCAGGCTGCAAAGCAGATGGCAGGAACCTCGTAATCCCAGATATCTTCTTGACAGGCGTCTCAGTTCCATAGAGGCGCGAGGTCTGGATAGTAAATAGATGTGTCCGTCTCTTGGAGAGTATGCGTTGAGTCTGCGACGAAAGTGCTAAGGGTCGGACATTATTATGGCAAGACGCCAGCACCCTGCCAGTGATACTTGGGACTTGAACTCGGAAATTGGACACGTAAATGCCCAGCAGCATGTTCTATCACAGGTTAAGCATCAAAGCCGCGTGTTTCGACGCTCCACCGTTTTCTGTCCAGCCAAAGGATGTAATCCAAGTCTTACGCCTGCCCAGTGTGATTCTTACTATGTGTTGTGCATTGTTTGGCCTGACGCTCTTAGTGAAATGTTCACATCCTATTAGGCTGCGAGGGCGCGGTGACTTTGATCCCGTCGACGCCTTGATTGCGACTATCAGCATTGAATAATCTGATGCCTTCCCACTACCCGCAGCATGGCTATTGGGGACCTAGAGTCGAAATGGTAACTACTAAAACTATTTCTCTCCAAAGGCGGTGAGTTTAATAATAAAATTCAATCTACTAGTGGCCTAATATTGATTTAGATATAGCTGTCAAACAACTGATGCCCATCAAAATGCTGACTGGCTGGTTCAAGTGCTGACAACTATAAGAATGGTGGATGGTGGTGTGCCTGCAAAAATTCCATGCGCCCCATCCAGATATGACCATAGTCTCAAATGATCCCGTTTGGTTGCCGTTTATCAGTAGTGTTAGTTTTCTCAGCTATTTTATAGGTTTGTAGAGAGCAAGTGGGATAAGCTTGAAATGACATCTCATAATCACTGGTTTTGCAGTTGTATCTTTTGTTGTAGTGGTTTATGATTGGGGTGAGCGAAATAATATTTTCTGAGGGTATTCTAATTGTGACATTGATATCTATATGGTATTCAAGCATTAACATTCGGACAAGAGGTAAGTTGCAGTGTCATCGCCGCAGCCGTCCCACTAACAATGTTTCAACAGTTCGAACTGGTCTGGGTAAGCGGGGTCTTATATCAGAAGACAACTGGATAATGCAGTTGACTCGGAGCAGACGCAACGCTGGTCCTTCATGACCGTTCTTTATATATGTGTAAGTAATTTATGTTATGAATACAATTGACATGTTGTGCTGAGTCGATATCAATATATGCTAGGTGCGCTACATCGGAATACTATATTCCGTGTAAGTTTGCAAGGCTAACAAGTCGACATTGCACTGTACTAACAAGCCATATATCACAATTAGGATTGTCGCATTATGTATGTATTCCTCAGATAAATTGCACTCGTTCATTCTTACTGGTGGCTTGTAGGGTATCTCCCAGGCTCGATAACAGACGTAGTGAGTATCTCATAACCTTTCCCATTCATTTACTGACTGCACTACTACGCAGGAGTGAGTAATATTCCCTATTCCCAGTCGTTTCGTCATATCGAACATAATGACTGCAACAGCTGTAGGTTTATTTGAAGCATCAAGTCCATCAATGCACGTCAGTAATTTTTTCAGGCCTTGTTGTTTATTTCATGTCGGCATGGATACCTGTCGCCGTCAATGCCATGCTGGGCGGTGAGCTCACCTGTGGTACCTTCCTGATATTGATTTGACTAAAATATTATTCAAGTCATAATGACGAGTCGGATACATGCAATGTATGGACGATCAAAAAAGATGCTCATCTTTCTCGTTGTAGTCTTACTGCCTTCCACGATCGCTTCCGGCGTTATGACAGCAATAGCAAACATCGGTGTCTCGGCCGGTAAGCTCTGATTATTAATGAAAACCTGAAGCACATAAAACTCATGGACAAATACCAGAAGAATCCGTGTTTTTTGGTTACCATACGTGTCTTTTAAACATTGACACAAACCAGGGACATCTGAATAACGAGACAGTGATACCCACCGCTGTATGGGAGATCCTCGCCTTGGTTCTTGCAGTCTGGATTGTCATAAAACATTTCCATGTGCTGCGACAACTACCTACAGGATCGACCATCGGGGGCTGTTTTATGGTGTTAATTCAAAGTCACGCATTTTACTTTGCAGCGTGAGTTTGGTGGTTTGGATGTTATTCTCTTGTTTGACTGAAGTTTCGCATATGCTAGCTTTGCTACTGTGGCTTGCTTGAGCCTAGGCTTACTGTCTACATATATCATGGTGCGCCAACCTGCGACCAAGCATCTCTTTCTGTCCGCTCATTATTATTTTCAACAGTCCTCATCGTCTGCGGGAGGTGACGTTTACATGGGTGTTTTCGGAATTGCCCAGGTGTTGCAGATGTTTGTGCTGGGCCCACGTCTCATCCTCAACATTCGCGAATATGATGCTAAGCTTGTGGCCAGGTCCGACGAGGGACCAGACATGATGTCCATTTGTTTCCAGGCTGGTGAAGATGTTTAGCAAAGTCATCCAAATGATCAATGATCAACCACATTTATTTAGTATTTCGTCGTGGTATTTATTTAGTGGTAAATTTGGAGGATAGGATTAGGTTTGGAAAAATACTATTAGAATTATCTATACGTACTCATTCTCGTGATTCGATGATCACGATTTTGTTCCCACGGGATTCATCCTTTTACCATGAGACCATTGCGGGCCACAGTGAATGGAGTTGTAGCTGGGGTGAATAGACTTGACAAGTCATTTTCACCTTGGGATACGGTGAACAAGTTCCGTGCACACAAATTCACCTTCAAAGACTCGATTTACATCCTTCACATACTTTCTGCTCTCTTCTGGCTCACTCTCATGCAAGCCCCGCCATTTCCCTACAAACTAGCAATACCAATCTTATACGCGATCGCCCTACTCATCCCATTCACTTCTCAGTTCTTCATACCTGCAACACCCGTCTTTTCATGGGTTCTCATGTTCTACTCAAACCAATTCCTACCCGCAAACCACCGCCCCGCAGTGCACGTTGTCCTCCTTCCAACCCTCGAATCCGTCCTCTACGGTGCAAACATAAGCGACATCCTCACTCACTTCACACACCCAATCCTCGACATCATCGCCTGGCTCCCTTACGGCGTTATTCACTACACATTCCCCCTCGTCCTCGCCGCTATCCTCTGGCTGTTCCGCCCACCCACTCTCCCCGTATTCGCAAAAGCTTTTGGCTATCAAAACTGCATAGGTGTATTCGCCCAAATAGTTCTTCCCTGTGCAGCACCTTGGTACGAGATCATATATGGCCTTACGCCCGCAGCATACGGCACACCCGGATCCGCAGGTGGCTTAGGCCGCATCGACGACCTCTTCGGTGGAGATGGCTACAAACGCACTTTTGCCAGCTCACCCCTCGTATTCGGCGCATTCCCCAGTTTGCATGCCGCATGGGCCACCCTTGAAGCACTATTCATCACTGCCTTGTGGCCCCAGTACGCGAAATGGGCTTGGGGATACGCCGCTGTCCTCTATTGGAGCACCATGTACCTCAGCCATCATTATCTCATTGATGTCGTGGGTGGTGCCTGTCTCGCCACCGCCTGTTTTTACTGTTTTGTCCCCGAGGAGCTGCGCAATGGAAATGTCAATGTTGCTGGAGACAAGTACGAGAGATACGATCTCGAATCGAGGAGAGGTGGTCTGGGCGCAGACGAGTTTGCGAGCGATTGGACCCTCAGCGATGAGGAAGAGACGCCTATTGCCTACCGCTCGCCGAATCCCGCAAAGGGGAAGGGGAGAGGACATAGGCATACAGCTAGTATCGCGAGTCTTATCAGGTCTGATGAAAGAGCTGGAGAGGAGGGTTGGAGTCCCGTTGCCGGTGTTGGGTTTGTGTTCCCGCCTGAAAGTCGGAGGTAGGGCGTTAGATGGATGGTTTCTTTGCATATACCCGGGTTATGATTGCTAGATTCTTGTTTGACTCTAAATCTGCATTTACATAGTCCAATCTCAATGTTTTAAAAACTGTCCAATTCAGCATAAATTACAAAAAACATGCGAAGAATAACGTTTCCAACGGACATTCACTGCAGCGCAGACCTGATTGCGCAATGCGGATCGACTGCTCCCGTTTCGTCTCTGTTTGCAAGTCAAAGAATGATAAGCGTACGCGTCCTACTGACTCTTACACGCCCCGAATGCAGGGTTCAATGGTACATCGAACCTGCATAGATACCAATCGCGATGCACCGACGAATACAAATGTCGCATTCATTGCGATGGGGATGGAGGCGAGGTAGCGGCGGTGGACGGTCTAGCCGTGTTCGGAGCGGAGCCTGCTGGTAGCGGTTAGAGTCCTCGAGCGTTTGTCCAGCGTGAGATCAGGCATAGCCCTGGCTCCAGCGATACGCGCACGGAGAGGTGGGCCTGGGTGCGAGGAGCGTGGTACGTATGTAATTGAAGCTATGACTCGGACCCACGCACTGACGATCACTGTAATACTTTAACAGCAGTCAACGACGGGTAGACAGACAAGAGATGCATGCATGGGCTGATGAGAGAGCTGGGGGGAGGGGGGAATATATAGAGTCCAATCGCAGGTTCATTTGTGACCCTAAGAACTTCAAGTAAGTTTCCTCACCTTTTCTATATAAATACGGTTCACAACTTCACATGCAATGAAGAACTAGAAAGCCGGCAACAAGTTATTGGCTGTTGGGTAGCAATGACTTGAAAAGTCTTCTATGCATGAAACCCAAGCTCAGGCCCATCTGCGAGGGCGCTGAAGGCTGGACTCGAGTCCAGGTGTGACACTCACATCGTCCAAATGGCCTATAGGAATCCTTTTTCTCAAACCTTGAATCCTGAACATAAGCTAATTGCAGGCTTGCGCATCTTCATGCCTCCGATGGGGCAGATATGGACTACTCCAAGTCGCGTTGAATGACCGCGTGACCAGTGCGCGCCGGCGAGCCGCACGTCACGGCAAACAAACTATGTCCACTAACCGACACATGCATTTTCTCATCCTCACAGCTGGATAGGTTCCATACTTATTCTGCTTCTCAATCCAGTACTAATAAGATATAAATATATTGACTAACCATGCATTTTTTTTCGTTCCCGTCAACTGCACCATCAAGTATTTGTTGTGCACGACAGTTGAGATGCGCCTCGATGCAGCCCTCGGAGTGATCACAGACCTACGTCTTTGTCTCATCGGTGGTCTCTGTCCTACGATTCTAGCAATCTGGCAGGTTCCCTCGTTACTCTTCCAACCACGTGAAATCTCCCGCGTTTTCATGTCCCGTGTATGGGACCTCTATGGTAATAGCGTCGACGAAGCCGGAAGGCAGGTCAAAAAAGGGCTCATCACTCCACACGCCTATGGTGTTGTGCTAGACATCGGTGCAGGTGTGTCTCTTCCTCCACCAAAACAATAATCTGTTCATGTAAAAAAAGGACACGGCCACATCGTCAACTACTTCGACCATTCACGTGTCACGAAATACGTAGCTGTAGAGCCTAACGTGCATATGCATGCAGAACTGCGCCGTACTGCCTCTGCTGCCGGGTACAGCGAAGATGCTGGAACGCTCCTCATCCTCCCTTGCGGTGCTGAAAACATTTCTACCATCCTTTCCTACCTTCCGGCGCCGCACCCTCCTGTAGACACGCTCATATCTGTCCTCACTCTTTGCTCCGTCCCCTCTCCACAATCCACGATCTCCACATTGGTCACAGAGGTGCTGAAACATGGGGGGCAGATATTGTTCTATGAACACGTGCTTAGCGAGAGAAAGGATGTTGTGTGGTGGCAACGTTTTTGGACGCCGTTGTGGGGTATTGTTTTTGATGGATGTCGTCTGGATCGCCCATCTCATCGGTGGATTGAGGATGTGGGGGGATGGGTGCAGGGAGAAGGAGGTATTTGGGGGAAGGAAGGGGAGACTGAAGAACACCTGTTTTGGCACCGAGTGGGGAGATTAGTGAAGGCGTGAGTAAATTCGTGCCATTCATTCTTCTCCATAGACTTGGTCCTTCACAATTAACACGTATCTTTTTGACGAATGAAACCACTGACTGCCACGTATGTGCTCGCTGCTGTTCAGCGTCGAAGTGTTTCTTGCATGGTCGCTTCATAAACCGACTTAATATTTCTGAATGCCATGTGGTCAATAACACACAAGATAGTACAATCGCTCATGAACAATCGAAACCGAAACGAATCGTTATGATTTGCAGAGATGAGTGTTTGAAACTTGGACACTGGGTGCCACTGACGATGATCTGCAGTGCAACAACATTATTCGAGGCAGTCAGAAGATTGAACCAGTACTACCATTTGCATGTTGTATACTGGTGCGAGGTTCGAGAAAGAGACGTGAGTCAAGGAAGACGGAGATTTCATGAATTGTATAGACGTCCGCATGCAAGTGGTGCACACCCACTAGAGAGTCCGGTTGTTTTCTTCCATTGTCTTCAGGCAGCTGCCGCACCCACCGAGTGACCATCCGTCAGATCGATGACGTACGTTCGTCCAGGAAGAGAACACAGAAATATGCGGATAGACCGGGGTTAAACCCGGGTTCAGTAGAACGCTGATACAGAAGATATTTCATGTTTATGGAATGACGCGAAATAGACGCCCGTCGCCTGCCCGCACATTCGCCCATCGCTGCTTAGATTCTTATTCCAACCACTGATGTCACCGAAGGTTGGAAAATAAGAGATATGCTAAATAGAGGAGCGACTTGAACGACAAATCGACGTCGACGTTCAAGTCAGATGCTGATCGGCATGGTCACATCGTATCATAATTGGATCATTGATCTCCGAGACTTGAGGACTATAGGACGAGTAATTCTACTCCCTGAGGCGATACCAGAGGAGCAGCGGGGGTCCATCTATACGAGTTCCATTGCAGAGAATAGAAGCACAGCCCGATATGTTGGTGGCAAAAAGAAACGTCTGATCCGAGGACCATCAGAACCAGATTCCTTGCTTATTCGCGTGTCCAGTGACTCGTCTAAAAGGTTAGCGATGTAGAAGTTCAAAATTTGTAAATCGAAATGGGGGTGAACGCCGCAAGCTGATAGCTGGGCTATCTGTTCATCGATTGCTCTTCGACGCCCACACGCTACCCATTTGCGGACTTAGATCAATATCTGGGCGACTTTCGTACTCGTGCAACGTGTGAAGTGCCAATAAAAAGGCGGATAACACAGCAAACCGCACAGAAGTTATCATACGCAAAGCCGACCGACCTCCACAGCCTACTTAAGAAGAGTTCGTACAATCTTCAAATCATATGTAACTTTGTGTCCGAAAACGATCCATTGTGTACTTGGGCGGCTCCATTTTAGTTGATGTCGGAATCAGTGTACGGGGTTTTGGCAAAACCGATGCGGGAGCGGGAGGTATCGAACACAGTATAGAAGCGCTCGAGGAATGCGTAGCCGTTAATAAAATCAAGCCCGGCACCACTGGTCGTACCAAGGTCTGCGATGACGAGATACATGGCGTTGCTATCACCACCCAAGTAGGTGTTGAGAGCACGAGGCCAGAGTTGGGCGTTAGGGGTCATAGTGTAGGTTTCCTGTGCAAATGGTAAACAAGGGATGTGAGGGGTGATAGGAATGGCGTACGCTGTCAATATGGAAGTTCAGGTTTTGGAGGGCTTTGTAATTGGCAGAGGAAACGAGGACAAGACCAGTCGCCGAATCCGGACTGCCGCCGGTTGCAGACAGGTACTTGTTGTAGGCATCTATCAAACGCCAATTAGACCATAATTACTCATTGCACTCTGGTACCACACCGGTGGCAATAAAAATAAGGGTGGTTCCAGTATCGACGATACCAGCAGTGGTAGACAAGATCGTTGTGGAGCCGTAGGAAATGCTCTCATCGATACCCCAATAGGTCGATGCGCTTTGTGTGGTAGTGATAGGACTGAAACAAAACGGTTACTATTAGCCTGGATTGATCTAGGAGCTAAGGTAGCTTACGTGTACGTAATGGGGCCTGCGTGCTTGTTAGCGATAGTTCCACCGAAGGTGAGCTCTCCATTGGTGACTGGCTGCGAATTGGTGGGCTCGAAAGAGATACTAACAACCTCACGATGAATGGTGCCTTGGCTATGCAGGTTGTCAGTGACAGTCGGGATCGCCGTTGTCGGATCATCTATTAGGGTACCAAGTGTCAAGCCTACAGGTCCGAGGCCAAGGATACCGTCAACACCGACGAAGCCCGAGGCAATAGAGGCAACACCAATCGACTGATGGGGAATGGTGAGCCCCTGACCGAGAGTGACGGTGTCGGTGTACTCAGTTCCTATAGATAATCATAGGAATTTCCAGTAGCTCGTGATATATTTGTATGTCGTACCATAGAAGAAACCAGTACCGTAGCCGATATTCACAGTATTACCAGTGCTGACGCTGGTTGTGGTCTCCGCGTACGCAGTGCCAGCGCCAACCCATGTGTTCGAGCTACCGGTGTCGACAATCAAGGTGTCTTCAATAACACATTAGCAGCCGCATATGTTCTCAGCGTTGAACTTACAGGTTGTGGGGGGGCTGCCAACGCCAACTGCTACGGTGTATGAATTACCGACATTGATCATAGGAGTGGTAATGGCGCTGTGCTTGAAGGAGGGGTCTTTAAGGGCAGCCACGCGAGCTTTATCCTGCTGCAAGAGGCTGTTGGTACCATTGGAGACGTTCAACCTTCTGGCAATGGGGAGGGTGATGGGGGAATTTCTGATCTCAACGGGCGATGCTGTGATTGACAAAGCCAGGAGGACAATCATCAACAAAGATGCAGCGGGGAACATGGCTGACTCGAAAGTAATATGATACTCGGTGATCTGTTATATATGCGCTGGCGAACGCGAATATTTGGCACCTTGGCCACGTAGGAAACGTTCCCTCTTGAAACAGCGATGACGAGACATGTGTGACTGTCCGAGAATGACGAGTGCGGCAAGGGATTAACTTCCTCATAAAACAAGAAGTTGGTTTTTGATCCAGGTGACAGGAATTTACAATTCGCCTGTTTACTCGTTGACCATGGACCACTAACTCACCTCACGTCTATTTCCGTAGAGACGCTTGCCCATTAATATTACACCTCAGCAGAACATCGATGTCAAGTTGGTGTAGCAAACGTTGCTGAGAGTGGTTGTCCTTGGTTGTCCCGGGACTGTAAATCATTGAGTTGTTGATGATATTGACGCCATTTATTAACTCGGCCCGAAACCAGTGACGAAGCTCACCGATTTTTAAAGCATTCTGGCTGGTTACATGTGGTCCAATGGTTCATTTGCAAGTAAGAAATTTGCTAGAAGTTGCATGACTACAGCATCTGTCCCTTGACCACGAAGGAAATTAGTGCATTATCCTGTAGCGTACACCAGTCTCAGACTCCTGTCAGGAATCAACAGGCGCATGTGTAATGCATGGGCACCTACAGAATGATTTCTGCTATCATGGTCCCGAGTTTTGTACATACGTCATACGCGAGCACCTCATCGAAAAATCTTGTCCTGGGAAGCGGAAGTCCACTGGAAATTGATTTGTCTGACCCAGGTGATGAATGTGACGCGCCAGCTTCCACCTCCGCCGGCTTCTTCCGATTCCTAGCGTTATCCATCTTCTTCGGTACTCATAATGAATGTAAAAGCGACTCTTTGTTTTTTTATCTGCTTGGAGTTGACCCTCGATCAAAAGTTAGCCTTCCTTTTTACAAACGTGAACGGCATCCCTACTGGTTAGAAGGATCTGATCAGCATGACAATTCGCCAGGCCTCATCCAATTTCGTGCCATGTAGTGGAGCTAGAGATTCATGAACTTTTGTCCCTTCGACGAACGCGATAGGGTAAGCTTATCTCAACAGGGTCCAGGAAAAGGCAGTCCGACAAAATGGTCGTGGGGTAATCAATGACCTCAATACTCGCTTTGGGGTCCAGCTGTAGAGGGAAGACATGCCACTTGGTTTCGCGTACATTGAAGTCCAGCACTTGCATGATGCCAGATAGTAGCGGAAATACTACTCGATAGCCATGAACGTAGTATCTGCTCAAAGGCTGATCAACGTGGGTGGAGGCAAAAATATTAATTCATGGATAGAATGTACATCCGCTCCTCCTGATTGGTCCAGAGACACCTTGCGTGCAGTGCACTAATTGGGTGAGGGACTTTGGGGGAGGGTCGCGACACGGGTGATTTGGTATTGGTTTTCCCAAAATGTAAATATTTGGATCGAGCCCGCGTGATCATGTACGCGTGGTTCGAAATGAAGGACCAGTCGCTGATACGACTGGGCAAGTCATCGTCGTCGCAATCCTGCAAAGCCAGTGTTACCCTTGTTCCTTAAAGTTCCCCTCTCTTTTCCATCATCTTTCCTACTAGGAAGGCCTCATCATGATGCTGGACAACACGGACAAGGACACCCACGATAAAGAGGGTCAGGATAAGAAAAAGCGCGTCAACCTAACGTCTGACAAGCGCACGGCTCATTTTGGTCTACGCGGACGCGCAACGACTGGTTTTCCAGTGAAGACTCGGAGTAAAGCGCTATCGGCTCTGTTGCGGTTTTCTCATTCTCTCAACGAATCCACCGAATTGGTTGCCAAGCTCTTTTGGCCTGAAGAAGCACAGCAGAGCGAGCCTGAGATCCTCGAAGAGGTCTACAAGATTGCGACTCAAGATCTGGCTGTGTTGGGCCATGTTCCAGACATGGTCTGGTTCCACAAGTTTGAAGAATCATCCACCGCGACAATCAGAAAGGCACTAGGAATCAACGACGCGGGTAGCCGGGTCCTATACATCATCGTGTTCAGAAAGCTTGACCCAATCACGACGCTGATCGGGGAGGAGTTCCTCCTCGCATGGTGGGAAGTCGTCAAAGGTAAGTGTCCTATCATATTTCTCGTGTTATTTATGATACACTTACTACTCGTACAGGCCATCGTGCTCTCTGGAAGAATGGCGTGCATCACCGCGACATCAACCCTAGTAATATAATGGGATACCGCTTACGTAGTCGATTCATGAGTGTCCTCAATGATTTCGACTTGTCGATTACAGACGCGTCGAAAGGCTTCGAACGCACGGAAACGGCACCATTCATGTCATTAGAACTTCTTACACCTGAAGCCATCGCAGGCGAAGTCGAGCACGTGTACAGGCATGATGCTGAATCGTTCATCTGGGTTCTCATCTGGGTCTGCCTTCGGTATGAGAAGGGAAAGCTCCTCGGCAAGGGCAGACCACTGGATAAATGGCTGATGTTGGATGCCAGGAGATGCCAGGAGAAAAAATGCAGCTACATGTTCATGGTGGACAAAATACCTCCAACGCAATCGCACCGAAAGAACTTCATCATTGCAAAGAAATGCTTAGGGATGGTTTACGAATGTGGAGGCCCGTTACCGTCCATTCCAACAGACGATGAAGTAGTATTCAACACATGGTTCCTGAACCACGTGCCACAGAATGTACTTGAACGCAATATTTCTCTTGTAGAGCAGGAATAATTGTGATTGAAGTAGTGCAAACTCGAGAATCTGGTATTCTCAACAACATCGTCAATCACACCATACAGCCTTCGAGACTAGGTTCGTGACCAGCTTGGCTTATACACCTCGGACAAGTCAAGTAGCGAAGCCAGGCTGGTCGATCTCGGGTCACCCCGCAAGGTCTGTGCACAAGAATATATTCGAAACGGGCGTAACAGCACTTGGATCATGCATGCTAGACATCGCTCCATCGAGGCTTTAGAATTGTCGAGACACATAAGAAGTTAATGGGGGTGACGCGTTCACAGTTGTGCAACTTCAAATTTCGTTGACTCCTGTCTGGCAAACTAAAACCGACCTCAACGTCAGCATACGCGGGTCAGTCATGGAATTGTAAGTTGAGAAAATTTCAAGAATCGAACACTCGCACTTATACCTGTTGAGCAGCATCAACTTTCCAGTGGTACGTCTACCAGGAATCATTCATCAAACAATGGATCGTATGATCTCCGTCCCGCCTTGCCTTCCAAGATTCAGCGAAAGACCCTACGTTCAGTGGGATCCTCCCATGGCTCGGCAGTCTGAAACTGCATCATTCTAAGCGTTTCATCGACAACGTGACACATACATTCGGCAACAAGTCGGACCCTACTTAGGCCTGACCTTTCGATTTCCGTACTCAATCTCGACACCCTGCTTAGCCGATCGGAGATATAAATTCGAACACAGCCTGTGTATGTAGTTTTCGCGTTTTGGCTTAGCGTTATGCAAATGTGCTGTAACAGTTGATGTGATCAATCAAAATTCTCACTCAATTTATCCACACTGACCGCTATAAATGCGCTGGATGTCTGCACTGACTGCATACGCCCCATCCAGATATGAACCCTGGTCCTTTCAGCTATTTTGCAGGTCTGTAGAGATCATGAAGATGGCGACGTGCCACTTACTGACCGGTTTCGTAGTTGTGTCTTCTGTTGCAGTGCTTTATGATTGGGGTGAGCAAAATGATACTTTCTGAGGGTAAATAACATTAATATCTATATGGCATTCAAGCATTAACAATCGGACAAGAGGTAAGTTGCAGTTCGGCGCAGCCATCTCACTAACAATGCTTCAATAGTTCGAACTGGTCTGGGTAAGCGGGGTCCTATATCAAAAGCAAACTGGATAATTCAGTCGACTCGGAGCAGATGCAACGCTGGTCTTTCATGACCATTCTTTATATGTGTGTACGTTATTTATGAACACAGTTGACATATTATACTGAGTCGACTTCAACATATGCTAGGTGCGCTACATCGGAATACCATACTCTCTGTAAGTTAGCGAGACTAACAATTCGACATTGCACTGTACTAAGAAGCTATATCTTACAATTAGGATCGTCGCATTATGTACGTATACCCAGATACACCGAACTCGTTTATCATAACTGGCGGCATGTAGGGTATCTCGCAATCTCGATGACAGACGTAGTGAGTATTCCGTACCGATGCTTCTCATTCCCAATCATTTACTAACTGCACACTCACAGGGGTGAGTGATATTTTCAGACCCTTGTTACGATGAAGATAACAACTGCAACAGCTGTACGTTCATGTGAGGCATTGATTTCATCAATACACATCAGTAAATTTGGTTTTCAGGCCTTATCTTTTACCTCATATTGATGTGGATGCCCGTCGTCGTCAATGCTATGCTGGGTGGTGAGCTCACCTGTACCTTAATGATACTGACTTGACTAAGATATTATGCAAGTCATAATGATGAATCGGATACATGCGATGTATGGACGATCCAAAAAGATGCTCATCTTTCTTGTTATAGTCTTGCTGGCTTCCACGATCCCCTCCGTCTGTTTCACAGCTGTTTACAAGCTTCTATCTCTCAGTGCGTAAGTCTTAAATTTTATCGATGAAACCTCCAAGCACATAAGACTTACGGACAAATATCAGGGGGATCTTCTGACTACCACGTGTGTTTTCCCATAGATTACCTTGGCCCGGACTCGGAACAGCCGATCAATATGCGAGTTCAGAGTTGGCGTTTGATGTCCACTGCTACATGGGAGATCCTCGCTTTCGTTCTTGCAGTCTGGATTGTCATAAAACACTTTCGTGAGCTGCGACATTCTCCGACGGGATCGATCCTTGGGGACTGTTTCATGGTGTTAGCTAAGAGTCACACATTTTACTTTGTTGGGTGAGTCTGGTGATTTGGATGTTAATATCTTGTTCCGCTGAAGTTCTGCATATATTAGATTCGTTGCTGCAGTTTGCTTCAACGTCGCCTCACTGTCATATAAATATGTGCGTCAACTGCGGCTGAGCATATGTGGTTGTCCGCTCATCATCATTCCTACAGTTCTCACCGTCTGAGTCTGTGGGAAGATCCATTTATTCCGGTGTTTTCCAAATCACCCAGGAGTTGCAGATGTTTGTGCTAGGACCGCGTCTGATCCTTAGTATTCGCGAATATCACGCAGAGCTCGTGGACAGGTCTGACGAGGGAACATGCATAACGACCATTCATTTCCAGGCTGGTGGCGATGCGTCGACTGGCGGAAATGTTTAATACCGCAATCCAAATGATCAACCTCAGTTTCGCTGTGGTAATTATATGGTGATTAGAAGGATTAAATTAGGTTTGGGAAAACTACTGCCATGCTGTATGATCTATTACTATTAGAATTATCTGCCCAGCACAACGGGTATCAATGCGTGATCAACAAAGTATAGAATGAGTCTGTTCCCACGGGATTCATTCTCTTACCGTGAGACTAAATATTGCGGGGTGAATAGACGTCACCTTTGGATGATACCGCGAACAAGCTCCGCCTTTCCATGCGTGCGTGCAGACAACCAATTCGCTGCACGCGAGACCCAGGCTGATGGTGCGGAAGAGCCCGAGAGCGACGAGTACGATGGTCTCATAAACATGCGCACCTTGTTCGATGCTGTCTCATCCCTCGATTTACATCAACCTCAAGATTGCTTGTATCATTTTATCCTCGCACGCAACTGAAGGCATTGCTGGCACGGTCAAAATATTTACTGGATGCCTGGTTCTTGGACTCGGATGAACAGCGGGCGGAATATTTTGGCCTTATCCACCCTCGAAGTAGTGGTATCCCGTGCATCAAAGCTTTGATTAAGCAAAGAACCTTCTGGTATGTAACTGCATTACCATCGGATGGCGCAAGGTGAAATCCTTGTTAGTATTAACAATTCTCGGGCTGGGCGCTGATAAGCTGATGATCGGGCACACTACTCGTTCTCATCTCTGGTTTTGAGATTGATGGTGTAGTTTATTTCCATCTCCTTACTACATCGTTGTCCAGCTGATGGGCCCGAGTAATATATCTGAACAGCACAATGCAAATCACACTATTTTTCTTGATCGTCAAAGCATGAGGAAAGGGTTCACGTTGTGGGCCTAAGTTCCATCAACGGCAGTGTGGTCGTATAATGAAGCTTCGCATGATCGGTGCAACTCATGTGACATTAAGACGGCAAACACCTTTGACCGATTGAGAAGTTTTAGGTATTACAAGCTTACAGTCTGTCAATACCTACTGCCGGTACATTGGGTGTGGAAATCTGCTGTAGTACGTATAACCTTACTCTCGAAGGTACTTTTTTGATGCAATCTTGGAACATATCGCCTCACTGATCAGACCAATCAGACATCCCCAAATCGTGCAGTGTGGTTCGATCAAGGGTTTCTGAACACGCAACCGTTGCTTCATTCTACACAATAGTTAATATGATCAATCAAAATTCTCACTCACGGAATGGATATCCAGACCACCACTATAAAACCACTGGATGGTGGTGTGTCTGCACCAACTCCGTACGCCTCATCCAGATATGACTGTAGTCTCAAATGATCCCTCTTGGTTACCGTTTATCACTGTTACAATTTTTTCCAGCTATTTTACAGTTGTGTCTTTTGTTGCAGTGCTTTATGACTGGGGTGAGCGAAATAATACTTTCCGAGGGTATTATAACTGTGACATTGATATCTATATGGCATTCAAGCATTAACATTTGGACAAGAGGTAAGTTGCAGTGTCATCGCCGCAGCCGTCCCACTAACAATGCTTCAACAGTTTGAACTAATTTGGGTAAGTGAGGTCCTATATCAGAAGAAAACTGGATAATGCAGTTGACTCGGAGCAGAGGCAACGCTGGTCCTTCATGACCGTTCTTTATATCTGTGTACGCTATATTATAAACACAGATGGCATACGGTACTGAGTCAACTTCAACATATGCTAGGTGCGCTACAGCGGAATACTATATGCAGTGTAAGTTTGCAAGTTGATACTCCTGCACTGTACTAACCCATATCTCGAATTAGGTCCTTCACATTAGTATGTATGTAACCCCTCCCAATACACTGTTCGTTTATTCTAATCGGCACGTAGTCATCCCAGTCTCCTTAACAAATGTAGTGGGTATTCTGCACCGATGGCTGCCATTCTCATTCAATTACTAATTGCACTCCTACACAGGAGTGAGTGATATTCTCAGCCGCCTTGTCATGGTTAACATAATGACTGCAACAGCTGTGAGTTCATTTGAACAATCGAGTCCATCAATGCACACTAGTAAATTTGGTTTTCAGGCATTGTCGTTTTCTCCTCAGGCGCATGGTTGCCTGTCGTCGTCTATGCTATGCTGGGCGGTGAGCTCACCTGTGGTACATTCCTGATGCTAATTTAACTGAAATATTATGCAAGTCATAATGATGACTCGGATACATGCGATGTATGGTCAAGCAAAAATGATGCTCATCTTTCTCGTTGTAGTCTTACTGGCGTCCACGATCGCTTCCGCCGTCATGACAGCAATGGCAAATATCAGTGTTTCGGCGGGTAAGCTTTAACTATCAATGACACCCTGAAACACATAAGACTCGTGCACAAATACCAGAGGAATACGTCATTTTTGGCTACCATTTGTGTCTTGTAGATGTTGACACAAACCAGATTAATCTGAATGACGAGACAATGATACCCACCGTTATATGGGAGATCCTCGCCTTCGTTCTTGCAGTTTGGGTTGTCATGAAACACTTCCGTGAGCTGCGACGATCTAACACAGGAGCGACCATTGGGGACTGTTTTACGGTGTTAATTGAAAGTCACACATTCTACTTTGTTGGGTGAGTCCGATTATTTGAATGTTATTATCTTCTTTCGCCGACGTTCTGTATGTGTTAGATTTGCTATTGCAGCTTGCTTGAGCATAGGCACACTGTCTACAAATATCACGGTGCGCCAACATGTGACTAAACATCTGTGTATGTCCACTCATCAATATTTCAACAGTTCTCATCGTCTGTGGGAAGTGCTGTTTATAATGGTGTTCTCCAAGTTACCCAGCTGTTGCAGATGTTTGTGCTGGGGCCGCGGCTGATCCTCAGCATTCGCGAATATCACGCCCAGCTTGTGGCCAGGTCTGATGAGGGAACAGGCATGACGTCCATTCATTTCCAGGCTGGTGGCGATGAGTCGACTAGTGGAGATGTTTGGCACCGCAATCCGAATTATCAACCCCAGTTATTTTTTTGTCGCGGTATTTATTTGGTGATTTGGACATATGATCGAATTATGTTTGGGAAAACTACTGCCATGCTGTATTACTAGTAGAAATATCTATCCAGCCATACATGAACGAAACGTCTTGCGATCAGTCTCATTGAATAAATCCGGGTCGCTTCATATACCGACTTAACATTTCTTGATGCCGTGGTCAATAATACACAGGATGTGCAATTGCTCATGAACAATTCAAAACCGAAACGAATCGTTATTTTTTGCAAAGATGAGTGTTTGAAATTTGGACACTGAGTGCCACTCACGAGGATCTGCAGTGCGTCAACATTATTCGAGGCAGTAACTAGTACACCATTTACATGTTGTATACTAGTGCGAAGTTCGAGAAAGAGACGTGAGTCAAGGAAGACGGAGATTTCATGAATTGTATGGACGTCCGCATGCAGGTGGTGCACACCCTCGACATTATGGGCACACATGCACAAATGACAACAAATATTCCCCGCCTTGCTGCAGGTTCTTCGCTTGCAACAACTCTCTACATCAAACTAGTACACCCCTCTCTTTTGTAGTATACCTGTATTTTATCATCGCTGGTCGATTTTTAACTTCAATATGGAGCACTCCAACTTGGAGAACAACCCACCGATTCTCAAGCTGCCTTCCGAAATTCTTGATCACTGCTGGGGTTATCTGAGACGACAGGACCTTTTCCAAGTGTCCAGCGTGTCTCGCGTATTCTGGTACACCTCAAGATCGAGGATATTTCAGTCGCTTACTGTCACCCTGCCATCTCCGGCGATCCTGCCATTGAACCAGAGCCTGGTCCGCCGTTCAACGAACAAAGCTTCTAAGATGCTTGAGCGTGCTGCTACCCGAATCACAAGTTTCTATTCAGATCCAAGTGCTGGTGAACTCTGGGACATCGTTCAGGACTGGACGGTTGCAACTGCACCGGCGATCAGGAGCGACATATTCTGCTTTCCGCGCTCGCAGGAGAAGAACCTGGCCTTGAGATCGGTCGATGCCGTCTTTCCGTTTCTGACGTGCAGTCGTAATCTTCGCTCTCTTGAACTTGTCCGCGTGAATCTTGGAAGGCAACAATGGATTATCATCGAATGCCTGCCTGCACTGGAGACACTCAGACTCATCTCATGCCTCTTCCCGCTTTCATCTCATTTGGAGCGCCCACTGAAGCTAAAGGAACTTGCAATTGCTGGAGACAGCTTCGGTCCCCGTTCAATCGAAGAACGCTTGGTTTCCGTGCTCTGTAACCCAACCTATCTACAAAAACTTACTCTTATCGACTTTCTTATCACCCACACTGTACTAGCAGCCCTTTCGTCTATGGGGCCCTTCCCCCACCTCACATATCTAAGCATATTTGTTACATCTTTAAGTGGCGATCATTTTTTCAGATTCCTTGCAGCAACACCCGCCCTAGAAACATTGAGGATATTCCCCTGGTCTGCAAACATCACTCCCCCGCATCCCTTGCCAGCCCTGTCTTCCCTTCAGTCTTACGACGGCTACCCCAACCTGCTTTCTTACATCGTGCCTGGACGACCGGTCGATTGCGTTTGCCTCGTGCTTATGATGGTCACTACAGACGTCAATCAACCAGGTTATGTTATTCATACCGAGCTGGTCTCGACTGTACGCGACATCTCACGTTCCACAATTCCAGTCAGGAGACTAGCAATTGAGTACTTTCTGCCCACATCAAGTAACCTCGCCGCTATCGCGAAGCATCTTCCGGATCTTCATCGCTTGGACTTAGGTCTTATCTCGGGGCCCCCGCCGCTCACACCCGTCAGTGCGATATTTGCCTTCATACTGTGTAATTTCGTTCATGCATTGCTATCCCCACAGGAAGAAATCATTGCCCTTTCCGAGTCAAATTCTGAGTTCGGCCTCAACTATGGTGGTGAATCACTTGATACTGTGGACACTACGCAAGTACGTCGAATCGCAGTTGAAGCGATGCCCTTACGAAAATATTTTCAGGGTCTCCTGAGTTGGCTAGCAGAAGGTCATGCACCACTTCCGCCCAAGCTGGTAACACTTCGACTATCACATAATTCGGCGGGAAACGAGGACATGCAGTGTATAGAAGGTGTCGCGCACCGGGAACTCGTTCGTTGCTTACATGGTAGGTATCCGACACTGAGCGAGGTCGAGGTGGGAGGATGCCGCTGGTGGAGAGAGGGTGTGCATTGGTCACAGGAGATTCTTGAGTTTGAGGAAACGTGAATTCTCGTCGCGTGCGTGTAAGACTACATGTGCTCCAGGTTCACACCAGTGGGATACAAATAGCGCTATAACCATGCATCCATTACAACGCCGGAAAATGAGTAGATTTGGAATCACTCTCATTGCAATAAGCACAAAAGTATGAGAACTGCAACTGGAGTGAACTCGACGATGTCCACCAGCGGGAGTGTGTTGTCGGACCGCGTTCGGACCGTCCTCCAAAGTTTCCCGTGCTTCCTTCTGAACTCAATGTCTGAACCACATGATGCTATCAATTCCTGCGTCAGCAGGTTGGGTCTATTCATATCATGGGCTAGGCTCATGTGCACGACAGTCGTGTGCCCACATATGGAACATCAATTTGAATAACTAGCCGTCCATTCACCACATAAACCCATTCTTTTCCACCTGCCTGACCTTCTATCATCCGTCGTAATGCCTTGGGAATCGGTCAAGCTCAATTCTGGTGCGTGTTCATTTCGTCGCCTCAGAACCAGCGCTGACAATTTGACTCATATATCAGGACATTACATTCCAAGTATCGGATTTGGTACTTGGACGCTAGGTAACGGTCAAAGTCCTATCGACCAGGTTGAACAAGCTCTGGAAAATGGGTACAACCATATTGGCAAGTCCAGGCACCTCACAGCTGCAGCTTATGTTGAAGTCAATCCTATCGCATAGACACTGCGCAGGCCTACAGGAATGAAGGAGAAACTGGGGTTGCTTTGAAAGAAAGCGGACTTTCTCGCTCAGATGTCTTTGTAACGACCAAGTACTCCGGTACAAACGGTCTTGACATTCCGACTTCTATCAAAAACAGTGTCAACAGCGTATGTTCTATCCTAGCTTGGAGCCAGTGCTTTCACGACGCTTACTGCTAAACAGCTTGGGGTATCATATGTAGACCTCTATCTGGTCCATTCCCCGCGTCTGGCAGTACCTGACATCCCCACATGTTGGGCGCAAATGGAAAAGGTCAAGGAAGACGGACTTGCTAAGTGAATGATTTACCTGATAGCAACGTATGACAACCTGACTTGCGACTACAGGAGCATTGGTATCAGCAACTTTGGCGTCCAAGACATGGAGATTTTGTTAGCATCTGCGAAAGTAAAGCCTGCGGTCAACCAGGTGTGTAGCATCGAATTGTTCAAGACTTTTCTTCATAACCGGGCCTAGATCCTCCTTCATCCATACGTCTATCGGCAACAGAAACCAATCCTTGAATACGCCGCGAAGAATGGAATAGTCATCGAGGCCTACAGTGCGCTGATGTTAGTTATCTTCAGGCTACTGGTGCATTGTTTGTGCTGATTGCCATCCCTAGCCCCATTACAAAGTTACCCGGCGGTCCTTTGGACAAACCATTGAATGAAATCGCTGCAAAGTTCGGTGCAACGACCGAGCAAATCCTTCTGGCGTGGACCAAAGCCAAGGGGGCCGTTGTCGTTACGTGAGTCCATGTGTGTTATCTTGGAGTTTCCCATTGACAGAGGCCTATCTAGCACAAGTTCAAAGAAGACGCGCCTGCAAGGGTACATCGCGGCAGGTGATATAAGTGGGTTTAATTGGATCAACTATTTCAACTTGTTCTGAACAATCTGCTTTAGCTTTGTCTCCGGAGGATGTTGCTGCCATCGACGCTGCGGGTGCTTTGGGCGAGAAGAAAGCAAATGTGAAGACTATATTGAAAAGGGTTGTCGTAGGAGCAATTGCTTGCACTGCAGTCTTTGGTGCATGCAACTTCTTCGGCATTAGCATGATGTAAAGTGATCGTTAGCTTTTGATAAATGCTCAAATGTCTCTAGTACTTGTTCATCATTCCGCCAATGCAGCAGAAATGGTGCATGCGGCACAACTACTCAAATATAACTATTCTCAGAAGTTTCCCATCCTTCCTTTTGAACCATGCTTGTTCACAACATTTACTTCAGATAGATAAGCCCCCATGATCCACTAATTCATGTCAGAGCATGCTGGGTCTATTCATATCGTTAGGTCTCGTGTGCATGTTAGACATGTGCCCATGGGATGTCAGATTGAATATTAATCGACTATTCGGTCACCCACATAAACCCATCCTCTTGCCCAGTCCTCCGAAGTGACCCTCTATCATTCGTCGCAATGCCTTGGGAGCCTATCAAGCTGAATTCTGGTAGGTGTTTCTTTCATCACCTCTGAAGCAGTATTGACCTAGGGGACCAATATATCAGGACACTACATGCCAAGTATCGCATTCGGTACTTGGAAGACAGGTAATGGCCAAGGACCTGTCGATCAGGTTAAACAAGCTCTGGGAAATGGATACAACCACATTGGTGAGTCCTCGATCCCTAAGTATCTCCGAGCGACAACTTTTGACGACACCAATCCCGTCGTGCAGACACTGCTCAGGCCTACAAGAATGAAGAAGAAACCGGTATTGCTTTGAAAGAGACCGAACTTTCTCGTTCAGATGTCTTTGTGACGACCAAGTACTCTGGTACGAACGGTCTTGACATCCCGACTTCCATCAAGAACAGTTTGAACAACGTATGTTTTGTTTCAGTTTAGAACCATTGCTTTCATGACATTTGTTGCTACATAGCTTGGGTTATCTGATGTTGACCTCTATCTGGTCCACGCCCCGCGCCTGGCAGTACCTGACATGCCCACATGTTGGGCGCAAATGGAAAAGGTCCAGGATGACGGACTTGCTAAGTGAATGATTTACGAGGCGGAGCTGGATGACAACTGACTTGCGATTGCAGGAGCATTGGTGTCAGCAACTTTGGCGTTAAAGATATGGAGGCTTTGATAGCATGCGCGCGGATTAAACCTACGGTCAATCAGGTGTGTAATATCGAGTGATCCAAAGCTAAATTTAAACGTTGGTGAAAATTTGGCATAGATTCTGCTTCATCCATATGTTTATCAACAACAGAAACCTATCCTTGAATACGCTGCTAAGAATGGAATCGTCATCGAGGCCTACAGTGCGCTGATGTTAGTTATCTTCAAGCTTCCTGGTGCAATGTTTGTGCTGATTGACATATTCTAGCCCCATCACAAAGTCACCCGGTGGTCCTTTGGACAAACCATTGAACGAAATCGCTGCAAAGTTCGGTGCAACGACCGAGCAGATCCTTATGGCGTGGACCAAAGCCAAGGGGGCCGTCGTCGTCACGTGAGTCTATACGTGGTATCTTTGAGTTTCCCATTGACGGTGCTCCGTCTAGCTCAAGTTCAAAGAGGACGCGCCTGCAAGGTTACATCGCGGCAGGTGATATAAGTGGGTTTGATTGGTTCAGCTGCTTTAACTGGTTCTGAACGATTTGCTTTAGCTTTGTCTCCGGAAGATATTGCTGCCATCGATGCTGCAGGCGCTTTGGGCGAGGAAAAGGAAAAGGAAACGTAAAGACCATTCCGAGAAGGGTTGTCCTGCAGTGTTTGACAGATGTAAATTATTCGGTGCCTGTATGATGTGCAGTTATCGTTGGTGTTTGACAAGTGGTCACCGGTCAGATGTCGCAAGTGTCGGCTCACCTTCAGCTTAATTGTGTTGCTAATCCAGCAAAAATGTTCCAGGCTGCGGAACGACTCAAATAGAATTACTTCTCAGATCCTTCGTATGGGGCTACTAAGTGAGAATGTGTCGTGTGAGTAATGTCTGCGTCGTGTTTTCGTCAACGGGGACAAGGCGGCTCAGGCCTGTCCCAGTACCTTCTCACAGGCAGCAACGTACCAGTTATCTCCTGCAAGGTTAGTCGAGGCTAAAGCACATTAATAATGCCTTGGGATTCCATTCTCTTGAATTCTGGTGCGTCCAACGATACCCTAAGACGCTGGCATCAAGTTACTCAACATTTGAGCAGGCTATAGCATTCCGAGCCTCGCGTATGGGACTGGAGGGCTGGGAAGTGGCCAGTGGCCAATAGATCAGCTCACTCAGGCCTTCGATACAGGATTTTATCATATTGGTGAGCACAACCAGGACTGACCGTCGCATCCCCGCCAATAGCAAGCAGATACCGCTCAGCTTTACAGAAATGAGGCCGAGGTTGGCATCACCATTGGCCAACTTGGGCTAGAGCGTTCCGACGTATTCATCACAACGAAATTTTCTGGCTTCAATGGTCTTGATATTCCGACTTCAATTCAGAATAGTTTGGAATATGTGCGCAGCAGTCATATATTGTATGCGCGGGTAGACGTCGGTTAACAATCGCAGTTGAACACTTCTTACGTCGATCTGTACCTCATTCACAGCCCGGATCTAGCTGTGCCAGACATACCAACTGTTTGGGCTCAAATGGAGAAAGTCCAAGAAGCAGGTCTTGCCAGGTAGTTTTCTGAGTTTGCAATTCATTGAATTTGGAAGCTGACGCTGACTGCAGGAGCATTGGCGTTAGTAACTTCAATGAGAAGCAATTAGAGATTCTGCTGTCATCCGCAAAGATCAGGCCAGCTGCTAATCAAGTAAGTAAATGGACCGATTACGGGCAGTTAACGGATTCAAAGCGGGGCCGCTTTACTATGTAGATTTACCTGCATCCCTACAATTACCAGCAACAATCTCCAACTCTGGAGTACGCTGCCAAATACGACATCGTAATCGAGGCATACGGTGCTTTGACGTACGATATTTCCCAGAAATATTTGAAAGTCTAATCATGATATTTGAAGGCCTGTCACACGTGAGCCAGGAGGTCCAGTGGATGCCCCTTTGAACGAAATCGCTACGAGGCTTGGAGCTACTACTGAACAAGTGCTCCTTGCCTGGATCAAGGCAAAAGGCGCCGTCGTGGTGACGTATGTCTTTATTAATCAGTTGAGGTGACGTTGTTGACTTCGAAACCCGCCAGAACTAGCTCTAAAAAAGCGCGTCTTCTAAGTTACCTCTCCGCTGGAAATCTCGGTGATTTACCTTATTGCAAAATCAAGTTGAAGGTCTGATGCGTTACGACAGAACTATCTGCAGAGGATGTCAAGACGATTGATACTGCGGGCGCCATAGGAGAGAAAAGAATCACAGTCAGGCACGGACTGCCTAAACTTGGGGTTGGCATTTTTTTGGGGATCCTGGTCTTGGTTGCCTGCAGCTATTTTAAAGGTCGAGGAAAGCGGAGAAACATTGCAGAGGTGCTAAGGGGAGATTGACCATCGTATAGGGCCACGCGCCTGATCATGGTGGAACACCACATGATGTAAGATTACACAGTGTGAAATAATCGGATCAGAGTTGATTGCATCATGGCGAGTGAGCGGTGGGGTTGGGTTGGTTGAGCATCTGGGAAGTAGTATGGTTGATTGTTTGAGGACGAAGGCATGACCTTGGGTGCATCAGACTATCACCCTTGAACGATAATGTTAGGAGCACTCACCGGGGTAGTGTTGTCAGCTAGGGAGGGTTTCATCCTCTTAAACACTCTTGAATGCTTGAGATCTTCACGAGCTCGGCGATTGAAATGTTGGGCCTGGAGATCCAAGTGATGTTTGTAATGCTGACAAGCGCTACGGTGTCGACCCAGTCTCGTGTATGTCAGAAGATTCACGAGGACAGGTTGATAGTCTATTATGTAACGAGGTACGAGCGGAGGAATAGAGTTTTGTCTTCGAGCGAACGGATGACGTGGCATTGCGCTTCTTGTCTCGGTGCCACGATCACCATTCGTCCTCGGAAACTTCATTGTGCTCGTTTTGATTTTATTACTCCTTTAAACAAACACCAAACTACATACATCTATCTCTACTGCAATCAGAATGGCAGCCAACCCGTCCCTCGAAGTCTGCCCTGACTTCACCACGGACGCTTATGCAAACATCTGCCAAGACATCCACAGAGCCACCGGGGAAACCCAAGAAAACATCATTAATCGCCTAACCGAATCCTGGACGGCTGGTCACAACCAAAGAGTCGCCGAACGGAACCAGCAAAGAGAGAGAGAAGCCGCCGATGAAGCCGAGGCAGAACAAGCGCGAGCGGAACAAGAAAGAGAACTCCGTGCGCTACAGGAAGCTGAGGCTGAGAGAGAAAGGGTCGAAACTGAGAAGAAAAAGCCAAAAATGAATAGCTTCAATGAAGCAGCCTCAGTAGGAGACTCTATCTCTCCTCGTCCCTCGCAGTATGCAGTCCAAAAACTCAACAACTTCGAATATGTAGAGTTATGGTATTTTCCCCCCGATGGATGCAAAGAGGCGCTACGAACAGCCCGCTCGGTGGCAGATGACTATGGTCTCACTAGAGTCGATGACCAGCTCACTCTGCGCCCCGCATACGCTTTCAAAGCCTCAAAAGCAGCCGTCGCCGATCACGACCTCCCGTTTTCAGTTTTCCTTCGCGCGAAGAACTTATTCTTAATGCAACTCAGCAAAGCTAAATGGCCCCAAACCCACATCAACGCTCTTTCCCTCTTCTTCTGGCACTTGGAAAACCACACTGTCCGCAATAACAGCGACATAGGTGACTTAGTGATTCTCAACTACGCTTCACGTGTCCGCCAAGATTGGCACGACCGTCTCAAACGAGACGAGGGCTTTAACATTGCAATCATCAACAAAACCCTCCTCCGTTCGATCAATGAGGAACTCTGGGACAAAATCCGCTCTCATTCGTTAGCCGCGGTACGTATTTACTCCCACTTTAACACTGGACATCTGTCTCACTAAATAATCTTTGTTTTCTATAACTCTGATAAACACTGTACCACTGACGACAATACTCCCACCCGCATTTTGCTCATGTGGATGCCCACAATATATTGTGGATGCCCGCACATTAATTTACGTGGATGCCCGCATCCTTGCTCATGCGGTTGCCCACATGCTTTCGCACATGGATGCCCGCACCTTTGTCTTACGCGGACGTTCCCTCACGCACCCAGCCCAAGACGAGCGAGTCCTCGTCGGGCCACTCCCAGCATCGTAAAACGAGCTATCGTGACTACCACTGCGATTCTCGTCGGGAAAACCACGAGTATAACCGTTGTAACTCTCGCTCGCGTTCGCATCGCCGGAACGGCAATGACAACCAGAAGTTGTCGCCTGACAACACAAAGAACCGCCAACAGCGCCGGCGGGGTTTTTCCCATGGCGCAGGCTCTCGCGGCCGGTCAGCCTGCGCCGTTTGCCTCGGCCGTTTTGCCCACGACATTCAACGTTGCAACTCTGCAACACTGTGGGACGGAACCTCCGCCTATTGTCACAAATCCAATAACAACCGTCTCATCAATCCTCAAGGAAGTGCCCTCTGCTTCAAGTGGCAATGACCCAGTGGTTGTCACACTGGAACCCACGAACTGCACCACGAATGTTCCGGTTGTGGAAGCAAGGAACACGGCGCTCAAGGATGCCCTTGAAGCGAGAAAGGGCAGAGCACTCACGCCTTATAAGCCTGAAGGATGGGCCCGTCTCCTCAACGAGACAGGACTTATCAGTAGATACCCCCATATCCCAGAATGCCTCGTGTCAGGTTTCTCCGGGGGCATTCCCCCGATCAAATGTACATACAAGCCTCCTAATAATCCCACCATCGAGCAACACTCAGAAGCTTTCTGGAGTATCATTAATCTCGAGTTTTCGAAAGGACGTTTCTTTGGCCCATTCACAGCGAAAGACCTCGAATCAACCGTCGGCTGCTTTCAAACAGCCCCTCTTTCACTCGTACCCAAACCCAGAAAGCCAGGGAAATTTTGTTTGGTACAAAATCTGTCCTTCCCATACAACCCTTTCCCCTCCGAAACCTATTAGTTCCATTAATTCGCGAGTCGATTCCGACTCTTTCCCCTGTACATACTGGCACATTTTCAACAATTTGTCTGTCAATATGGTGCTTACCCCTGGGCTCACAAGGTGCCATTCGCGACGTTGTGGAGGCGTATCGCACAATACCCCTCCATCATTCTCAGTGGGCCGGCTTGGCAGTTCGTCTCCCAGGTGAAGATTCATTTGCTGTCGATACAGCCTTTTGTTTTGGCTTCGGACCCTCGGCTGGAATATATGGGAATATTAGTGATGCAGGTCTGGATATATTACGTGCGAAAGGCATTGGACCTGCCTCCAAATGGGTTGATGACCATTTGTTTCTTCATATTAGACGTGAATTTCTGGGAGAATACAACAAAAGACGTGCCCAATGGGCAAAGGACATTGCAGATAATGGAGGTGTCATTTTCAGCGGCGGACGGAAATGGTATAAGGGAGCCACAATGCCAAACAACTCAGCCGAGGAATTCGACGAGGATGTATTCTTCCCTATTCAAGATCTATCCAACCTTTCCCCTCGATCGGAGGAGGACGCCATATTCTCTTACTGTATGGCCGACATTGATGAATTCTCGTCAATACTCGGCATTCCTTGGGAACCTTCAAAAGATAAACCTTTCAGTAACAGCCCCCCATTCACAGGTTTCATTTGGAACATCGCAGATCGCACTGTGGATCTCTCGACGGACAAGCGAGACAAGTATATTCGCGCGATCTCAGATTGGCAATCGAAGCGCACGCACATGCTGCAAGAAGTACAAAAGCTGTACGGTAAGCTTCTACACGCGGCCCACATTATCCCCATGGGCAGAGCTTACCTCACCAACCTCGAGGCCATGTTGGCCATGTTCAACAACCATCCTTTCCTTCCCCAAACTCCCCTGCGCAACACTCCAGACGACGTTCTCTGGTGGAAAGATGCCCTCAACAAACACCACATACCCTGCCCAATCCCTGGACCATGTATCATTCAAGAATTCCATGCCTATTCGGACACTAGTTCTGGCCATGGAATTGGCATCTTCATCAACGGGCACTGGAGAGCGTGGGATCTCATCCTGGGCTGGAAGAGAGACAGTCGAGACATCGGATGGGCTGAGAGTGTCGGCTTTGAGCTTCTCATACGCACAATCATTGATGCTAAAGCTGCTGGAATTCATTTCAAGGTCTACGGGGACAACATGGGTGTCGTCGAAGGATGGTGGACAGGCCGTAGTAGAAATTGAGCCTCAAACGAAGTCTTCAAATGTATTCATCAAATCGTTGCTGGTGCCAAGTGCACGGTTCTTACACGATATGTACCTAGCAAAGACAACCCAGCCGACGGCCCCTCCCGTGGGGTATATCCCCCCCATGAGTCATTTGCTCCCTCCAGTCTCCATCCCCATCGAACTCCAGCCCTTTATTAGGGACGTTTCCGAAGCCACCGCAAATGCTAGAACCACTGACAGACAACGCCAGTTGTCAGGCAAACTGTTTCTCCCAATGGGCAGTAACCACGCCGATTCAGAACTCCGATGCCGCACATTCATCAACCGTGAATTCGAGCGCAAAGGAGAAGAACTGTTTAAAGTGTCGCAAAACTAGTGAGTCCCATAACGATGAAATGTGCAACCCCTCACCAGTGCATACCTAACAATAGCCTATAACACCAACCTTACTCCCCTCCCATCCGTGCTCCGCCCACATTGTTCTGCAAAGGAGAGACTTTACCTTTGGCTCCCATCCTCTTCGCAAGACGCATGAGACGCACAAGGGAAAATCGTTCCCTTGCTCCCAACAGACCTCCAGCACATCCAGGAAACCATGATCCACATGTATGTGGAAGCAACTCGCGAAACGTATGGATCGGGTCTGTTGACCTTCCATGTTTTCTGTGATAGCAAAACAATACCCGAACATCAGTGTGCACCCGCGAGCCATATCGTCATATCATCCTTCATTACCTCCATGGCAGGTCACTATTCAGCCAAGACAATAGTGAATTACGTTTGCGGTGTTCGCGCATGGCATATTTTGCACGGTGTGACTTGGGCTTTGAACGAGATGGAGATAGACACCCTCCTTAAGGCATCAATTTCTCTCGCACCAGCAACCGCGAAAAGAAGCAAACAGGAACCTTATACCATCGATTTAATGACTGCCATACATCAACAACTTGACCACAACAACCCCCTTGATGCCGCAGTCTTCGCATGTCTAACCACCACCTTTTTCGCTACCACTCGCACCGGTGAATTCACCGTTCCTCGTCTCGATGGATTCGACCCCGCCATACATGTCAAACTATCCAATGTTAACGACACTCACGATCGACAGAACTTAGCCATGAAAACATTCTTCTTACCTCGCACGAAAGCCGCTCCAGAAGGGGAAGAAGTATCATGGGCGAAGCAAGAAGGGCCCACAGATCCCGAAAAAGCCTTCTCCAACCACCTTCGCGTGAACGATCCTCCCCACAACGGCGCTCTTTTCGCGTATCGCCACAAGGACTCGTACCGTCCGTTGACGAAAACCAAGTTCATACAACGCCTAGCTTCAGCGACCAAAGCCGCTGGTCGCCAACCAGTGCAAGGCCACGGTATTCAGATAGGGTCGACTTTAGAGTACCTGCTCAGAAATGTCCCCTTCAATGTGGTAAAAGTGAAAGGCCGTTGGGCTAGCGACGCGTTCCTCGTCTATTTACGACGACACGCACAAATCTTAGCGCTGTATATGCAAGCTACTCTCGCACTACAAGATCAATTCCTTCGTCACACCATTAACGTGCCCTCAGTCCATTGAAAACTACATTCTCAACTCGACAAATGGTAAGTCCCCTCCTCCTAACATTATTGGGTACCCGAGCCTCGCTGGATGCATCGTCAGCCTCCTAATCGTTGGGAATCACAGCTCACCTCTCTGTCCCAGGTTAGTTTCTCAGGGCCGGAAGACGCTGCGCGTCCTCGCCGAAACCTCTTGTTCCACCCTTATAATAGTTAGTATCTTCCAGCACTCGCACATGTACATTGTCCCCCGCTGGCTCGCGGTGCAATGACCATTTCGTTTCCCTTGATCACGTCTAAGTGAACCTCAAAGAATGATCCACACCTCAAGCGACGGTGGTCCATAATTGAAATACAAAAAGTAAGAAGCAGAATAAGTATGCAGATGGTGGATCTGATGTTCATTTCGACTTAATCATGGCCAAGATTCGAAGTAGGTGGTACTGGAGAACCATCACAAGGGATGAAGTCTGTCATGGCTTCATACGTAATTCTTACAGCTAACAGCTCCACCAGCCTGAGCCGCAGCGCGGGCCTCCTGAACTTGCATGTTCAAACAACATCCCATCGTGGGATGATTCGGATTTAAGGTACAATTAATACATTTCATAGACAGAATCATGGAGGCGGTTTCATCTTAATCAGGTGAAGCGCGATGTTTAGAACATCTCGTGCCAATGCCAAAAGGCTGGTACAACTATTGTATCAATTGAAGAAATCCTCATGGACGAGTACAATGTGATGATACATCATGATGAAGGGTATCTGAAAACGGCATGCTTGAGTACAAGGTGAAGATAAATGCTGATGGTGGGACTAAGTAACAATGAGTATCAAGGTGACTTAGCGGCAGCTATCTAGTACCTGTTGCTATTATATTACGGCAAGCTCTGGCCCCGGACAAGTACAGCGGCAGTGCGAGCACGCGTGCGTGAACGTGTGTTCCTCAATGGTCCAGAATTGAATGCTTCATCTGTCGTGCGCTTGGCTCCTGCATCGAATGCTTCAGCTGCCTTGCACTTGACACCCCTTCTACTAGTTGCCACCGTACTATACCAACTTCTGTACCGATCGTAGGCCATCGACATGCTTGCAAGGGCAAGCTTAGAAAGCATCTCATCCCATCCAAAAGGGAGAGTGACAGACACGTGCATCAGAGCCGAAATATCGACATTTGGGCTAACCTGTTGTGATAATTGCGCATACCGGTCCCTCATTCGGGACAGTCCCTTTTCTATCATGAGCGTGACATTGCCCATTGAAGTGTTCGGAAATAATTCCTATTGTAAGTATGGTCAGTTATAAATCGCTAAGTGCCGGAGAGACTTACGCCACGTGTCGTGAGGTCTGGATTCTGCGTGTCTATGTCGATTCGCCTGTCACAGTCTTGCACCCAGACCTGAAGATGCACGCTTGACATCGCATGCCAGATGTGCCGTTCAACCTTAATCCCGGCGGGTCTATTGAGCAATCTTGGCCCGGTGCGGTTGGAAAGGAAGGTGGTGTAGGAACGAACTTCCTCCTCTTTTTGTAGCTTTTGCCACGCATGACTCGAGTGTGCGGGTGCGCTGTAGGGGATCCGTTCCTGGACTTCAGCCATGAAGAGCAATCCGACATCCGGGAATGCCTTGACCCTGTCTCTGAGGCGCTGTATTAGGTCAGCTCTTGACTGCGATACTGCAACCTCGCCCATGACAGGAGTGATTAGAATGGGGGGGGGGGGGGGGGGGGGGGGGGGTGTCGGTGAGGGCAGTGACCATGTGGAGGATATCGGGGATGCATTTCACTGAGTCCCCGTCGATCGTTAAGTTAGTGTGGGTGTCCAAGGACAATAGATCCCCGGTGATGTATTCCTGCAGAATCTGGTCTAGGCGTTCCAATCCTTTGCTGATAACCTTGATAATGGCCTCGTGTACGGGGGAAGGCATCTCGACAACAAGGGTACGGGTATCGCAGTTGTATTCTAACCTAGAGAAATTCTGTTTTACAAATTGTAAGATATTATCGGAATAAATTTACCTTGGTTTTGCAGGGCAGTCTTCAATCTTGCGAGATATATAATCGTAATCTGCTTGAGTGATATCCCGAAATACCTGGCAACATAATGAGCGAGTAAATGAATGTTGAAACGTACATACATACCTTGCAGTCTGTCTCACGATTCGATTGTGAGACAAAGCCAAGAACCTTGTGTTGTCCAGCAACAGGAGGCATGGTCAAGCTTAGATCGACCTCACGGGGAGGGGCTTGAGATGCAGAAGCGTCCTTGGTCACTGGTGTTCTCCCCCGGCTCACTGGTAACCTGTTTGAGGGCTGATTGTACGGTTCGAAACCTTTGTAGACTTGCCCTGCCTGTCGTTTTTTCTGAGTAGAGGGCTATAAGATTGTGACGGATGCCTGATAGTGATTGCGTCGGTCATCGACATAACGATTAAGATTGAGCTGAAGTGGGGAGTTTTTGGCGATTCGGAAATGGCAGCCGCGGTGGCGGTGCCTGCTTGCATAAGCCTGTGCGTGTGCATCTCATATGCGGCCCAAAACTTACACTACATCATGATGGATGGTCCTCTCGCAACGAGAAGAGAAATCCTCAATTTTAGCCCGATATCCACAATTTGAATCACCCACATGATCCTACTTCAGCATCCGACACTGCATGCAATAAAGCCTGTGGCTTCGATCATCTGGGAACTAGTGCTTTCCCTGCTCTCCATAGGCGCCTTCCTGGTCATTTTCACTACTCCCATGTCGGTGATTTACTGAGAGCACCTGAACCTGGTCACCGTCATGTTTCATGAGTTATTATGCCATAATGATCGATTGAATCTGGTGCTGGGAAGGTTTGATTGACCCAGCACCCTTGAAAGTGCTTTTGCCTCCTTTTTTCACAGGCGCTTTCGAGGATTCTGCATGTTGTGTTGCACGTGCATTTCATATCGTGGTGGCCTCGGCAAGTAGAATTATACCACTTATATCTTATGCAACGGGTCCTAACTTGTGTTGCTAGTATGTTTGTAGTACACTGGCTGCGGCCTCTGTGCAGTGAGGATCGATTTTCATCCGTGTCCTAGTCTCAAGCGATCCGAGCACTGATTACTGTGATTGAGCTTGCCTGTCTTAAAATGGATAAGTCATCATGCAGCGTGGACCTTCATACATGTCGTATCCACAACACTGCATGTGTATATAGGCTGTCAACGAAGATTGCCCACAATTCTTGTCCTCTCCCCGCGGCTTTTCTGCTCTCCCTTCCGAGGTTGTGTCAGATCCTGGTAAGACCATCTCCCATGCTGCTAGAGTATATATACATCTAACACTGGTATACTATTGTCAGTCATTCTTTCCATGGCTAAGAAAACTCTCACTGGATCATCTAATACCTCACCTGGTGAATCCCATCCTGCGTCACTCAAGCCCATGGACAAAAATGATCCCAAACCATGGGATGATCGTCCACCAAAAAATACTTTTTTGCGCCTTTGCTATAAGGCGTTGTGTTTGATTGCTGTATCAAAGTCGTCAGTCGCACACTGGGATGACCTCGTACTTGGTCTGAATAAAGAGGAATTGCAAAGACACAAGGACATGGTAGTAAATCGGTTTGAAAACATGAACGTCACGGTGAGCATAGGCAGTATGCCCTTTCAGTCATTGAAACTTATTTGCAGGCGGGTCTGGTAAATTTTTGAAAACCTGCTCGAGGAACGTGGCTGAATTCATTGAATAGGTTTTGACCACAAGTGCTGTTTTTATATCTACTCAACCTCGTAAGTCATCTTCGTCTTGTAAGAAGCCTACAAAATCCTAACCTGCTGGTTATTATTAGCATTTAACCCTCTCATCCCCTACGCAAGTGTGAGCACCTTCTGTTTTACCTTCCGCTGGCATTAGGAAACTAATAATTTCTTCAAGCATGGTACATTTTCTCCTCTTGTAACTTCGTTATGTTCAAGCATGTTTAGGGTCATATATCCTTCAACTATCCTCGTTTGTGGCTTCATTAATCAGTTTGATGACTGGTACTTCTGTCCTCATCATCTATGACACTTGCTATGACAATAAGCAGTTATTTAAAGTACGTCATTTACCTTCATACACCCTTCAGAATCGAGTAACAGTAATTGCTAGACGTTAATGAACTCTCGCTCGCGTCGCATATGTTGCCTTATACTGATGGCGTATCCGTCCCTGGCTTTGGCGGTTGCGACATTGAGTCTGATGACCGGTAAATTTGTGTGCACGTCCCGGTTCCGAGTTGTTCATCTCAACACACCCTTCTAGCCTTCTTTATAGCTGGTTTCACATCTGACAAACTCTTCGTCAAAATTATGACTGCATCAACCTACTTGACACTGATTTTTCTCGGCGCACTCGCAGTATATGTGTTCAGTGATCATATAAAGGAGTACGTGATGTTACATGTCACTCGCCAGCCAGAAATTAATTTGAGTGCTATCCTGTACTATCAGGATTGCTGCCGAGGATGATGATCCCACAGATAGTCAGAATCTCCAGACATCTAATGTCCGCGATAGCAGGATTTCTGACGGGTACGTGCCTCCTGTTTGATTCCAAAAACTAATCCAAACGTTAATCATCACAGAAAACCAGAGCATTCAGGCAGCGGCGTGTAGGGGAGAAAGTTTAGGGGGAGATTACCCCATTAGCTGGTGCCAGTGGTATGGACGGATATATTGCTATCGATGTCTTGTTTAAGATGTTTGTATTACTTTGAAACAGTGCTTCGCATTATTCTATAAACTCTGTAGGTGTTATATCCAACCAGCCCGGAAATTGTATACAGAGATGCTGGAAAGAAACGACAGACTATCATATAGGCTGTGTCGCCCAATGAAACACTAATATTAGCTTTAGATGTATCTATTCATATCCTCTTCTCACCCAGTGGAGGCTGAGCCTCTGTGATTCAGTTGTCTCACAGACAGCCTCTTGGTCGGTAACCATCGTGGCCAAGCCTGATTAGAGACATATTGCAGTTATGCCTTGGGACCTTGTCACGCTGAATTCCGGTAAGTTCAAATGAGGTCGAATAATTCTCGTTTACTCAACGCCCTCAGGCTATGTTATGCCGAGCATTGCTTATGGTACATGGACCCTTGGGAACGGGCAAGGTCCCATCGACCAGATCGCGCAAGCTTTCGACACGGGATACTACCACATCGGCAAGCATCACTGAGCGTTTCAATTGTATGAAGCCTGAGAACCGATCATGTAGACACCGCTCAGGGGTACAGAAATGAGGGCGAAGTGGGTATTGCTCTTCACGAAAGCGGTCTGTTGCGCGGAGATGTATTCATAACGACTAAATACTCTGGTTTCGATGGGCTCGACATCCCTACTGCAATCAGAAACAGTGTCAACAGCGTGAGCGACCCACCACACCGGCCAGTCTAGATGCTGATGGGACCAGATCGATACGCCCTACGTAGACCTATACCTGATTCATAACCCACGCCTCGCGGTACCGGACATCCCAACAGCATGGTCAGAAATGGAAAAAGTGGTAGAAGACGGACTGGCAAAGTACGTTACAACAACCCTATCAAATATTGCTATTTCGGCTCATCGTTCAACATAGGAGCATTGGTGTAAGCAACTTCGGTGTACAAGATTTGGAAATTCTGTTGGCGTCTGCGAAAATTAAACCTGCTGTGAACCAGGTAAGAGAACAACACTGAAATTTGATCGCGGGGTTCTAACCTTCAGGAAAGATCCTTCTCCATCCCTATGTTTACTTGCAACAGGCGCCTATATTGAAGTATGCTGCTGAACATGCCATTGTCATTGAGGCATACAGCGCCCTTAAGTAGGAAATTTGTGATATATCACGTACACACGACTGATGTGAGGATGCAGACCACTTACCAAGGAACCTAGTGGCCCGTTAGACGCTCCACTGAATGAAATCGCCACTCGACTTGGGGCAACTACAGATCAGGTGCTTCTCGCTTGGACAAAGGCTAAGGGCGCCGTTATTGTCACGTAGGTTCCGCCTCGTTCGCCAACGGTACCAATCATCGAATTTGAATGCTCTTCTAGAACCAGTTCCAAGAAGACACGTTTAGAAGGCTATCAAGATGCAGGCGATATTGGTAAGTGCCATCTTGAGCAGTGACTTGATACTTTACATGTAAATATGACAGAGCTTTCAAAAGAGGATATTGCTGCGATTGATGCTGCTGGCGCATTGGGCGAAAAGCGAATCACCGCCAGAATAGGGCTGCGGAAGTTTGGTGTTGGGATTCTAGTTGGGGTTGCGGTGTTGGGCCTCTGCAACTATTTTAGGGTCAGGATTGATAAAAAGTTGTTGTAGGATATATCATTGTGTTCCGTCGCTTGCCAGGACATTTCATCTGAATAAATTTCCAGCTAGATTTACGCGGAGACCTAGTCCTGCCAATGAATCAAGCAATGAAAGGTTAGCAGATGAGTGTAAAATACCTAGGCGCTTTCCAAGGTGAAATTGAAATGTTGACATGGACTGCCACACTCTGTGCATGAACTTGAAGGTTCTGAACCGGCACCGTGAAGTTTTCATGCAATTGATCAATGACAAGAACTCTCTGCCTTATCCGAATTCGGAAGGGGGCCTTTAATTTAGAGTGGCCACAGCAATTTACCGCAGTAACGCATTTCTACCAGCAACCATTATGTCTCCCATCTCCAGCCAGCCCAATGCGAGCACTATGGACGTGTATGGTCCTCTTACAACCGATGAGAAGAGAAGTCCTACATGTCAACACAATGACCACAACCTAAATTACCCGTGTGAATGCCCTTCAGCATCACATCGTGCTTGCCACAAATCGAGGCTGCGGCGTATCATCCTGCCTATAGCGCTTTCCCTTCTATCCATAGGCGCCTTTCTTATCATTTCCCACTGCTCGGAAATTGGTGATCTGTTAGAAGCCCTCGGACTCAATCACGGTCATGTCAGTGGCGTCTTGCACAAGCGCCAAACTACTACGGGTAGTAGTTTTACTTCCAAAAAATGTGAGGAAACAATGTCTTTGTTCATTGTTCTTTCTGACACTTACTTCAGTATACCTAATTATTATTTTTGTCGGCCTTTTTCTCGTCCTGCTAGCCGCTATAATGCTCAGTTTCTGGTGCTGCAAAGGTTGGCTCAAAGTTCGAACACTCATCAAAGCGCTTATTGTCTCATGTTTATTATGTAGGCTCCTTTGAGAATCCCCTGTGTTGCCCATGCTACTTGTGTGCATGTTGTGGTGGCCTCGGTAAGCAGGACTATTCTACTTCTATTATAATAACCCTAACTTGTGTTATCAGCATGTTTGGAGTGTATCGGCTGCGGCCTCTGCGCCGCTGGCCTTGATGAAGCGCTATAGTTACACGCCGCCCTAACCTCTCCAGTGATCTGAACCTGTACTTTGTGGTTACAATCATTCTCGCGGGCGTATTTGACCTATGATGGACAAGTTAATGTACTGCGTATATTTCCACACTTCTCGCAAACTTCTCGTATCTCATCATTGGCCAGCTTCTGTTCAAGGAACAATGTATATGACATTCTAGTGACTGAGACCACTAATGAAGATCGTGCATGCTTCGTGCACTCGCCTGCTCTACTCGCAGCTTACTTCCTTGTGCATGTATCGGTTCCTGGTAGAACCGCCCATATTCCATTGTTGTATATATGCATGCAACACTATGGTGCACTATTCTCAGCATCTATCCACGTCTAGTATGAATTCGGTGTCAGGCCCCACTTTCTCTCCCTCCCAACGATCATGGTGTGATCCGCCAAGAAATGCTTTTTGGCGTGTCTGGTTTAAAGCGTTGTGTATGACCGCTATATCAAAGTCGTCAGTCGAACACTGGAAAGAGCTCAGCCAAAATGCAGAACACGATAAATTTGAGAAGCATAAAAAAGTGGTGTTAAACCGGTTTGAAAACATGAACATCACAGTAAGCATCAATTGCATGTTTTTTTACGTTATTGAAACTTATTTGCAGGCGGGTCTGGTAAATAAACTATGAAAAGCTGCTCAAGGATCGTGGTTGACTTCATTGCATAGGTCTTGACGACAAGTGCTGTTTTCATATCCACCAATCCTCGTAAATCATTTTTTTGTCTTGTAGGAGGACCACAAAAAACCTAACCTATCTGTTTTTCTCAGCAATCCAATCTCTTGTACCCTACGGAAATGTAAGTGTATCTTCTTTCTTATCGTGCCCGTATGTTGGAACTGACAAGTCCTTCAGGATGGTAGAGTTTCTCCTCTGAGCACTTCTTTGTGTTAACGTGTGCCTAGTGTCGTATATTCTCGAAGTTTTCTCTTTTGTAGCTGCGCTGATCAGTTTGATCGCTGGTACTTCTGTCGTCATCATCTACGAACCTTGCTATGCACACAAAGACATATTGGAAGTGCGTCACTTGCCTGCCTTCATACGCCTTCACGCTTGAGTAATAGCAACGGCATCAGTCATTCGAGAAATCTCGTTTCCGCCTTATATGCTGCCTTATACTGATGGCGTCTCCTTCACTGGCTCTCGTACTCTCAATACTGGGTTTAATGACAGGTCTGTGCGTCCACATTCCGATTTTAAATCACCTTTCTCAAAGCCTATTCAGCTGTGTTTATTGCAGGCTTCACATCCGATAAACTCTTTGTGAAAGTTCTGACTGGAGTAATCATTCTAATAATCATTCTCCTCGCCGCGCTCGCAGTATACGTATTCCTCGCTCCTCTGAAAAAGTACGTGCTCTTACATGTCACCTAACAGCCAGAATTTTATTTGGGTACTACTAGGGCTATCAAAGGCACCGATAATACCACCGACAAGAAGGGGAAAGCCACTCGTAGTACTTGCTACAGACTGTGTTAGAATTCAACGTCGTCATCGCATTCCTTTTCCATCTTTACTACCATCAGTGAACTGCCGGAGACCTGAGAATGGCATGTATTGAATCGTATAGTTGAGAATTCAAGTTGTATAGATCCGCTACGTGTCATCACATTGTCATACTTAATCGACATGCATAGTTTTGCGAATTGCCAAAAAGTTATATAGACTAGTTTCACTCCATGCATGCGGCAAAATCTTATGGTGTATCTCGACGATTCGTAGTAGCCCCCGCATGAAAGGTATTATGTTTTCGTCCTAACAATTAGTACTTATGTAAACCGGCATCACCAACATGTGAAATTTCAAACTCCTCCCCGACCAGTCTGAGTACTACGTCAATGATCACATCTCAAAGACGTAGTCTAGCTGGCTGGTTACGAGTCTGTCTGGTACCAACTCTTTGAAAACTGCCCAAAGAACGCGACTTAATTCATTGAATAGGTTAGGTCTTGACCACAAGTGCTGTTTTTATTCTACCCAACCTCGTAAGTCACTTGGTCTCGCAGGAAGCCTAGTACAGACCATAATCTATTCTTAGCATTACCACCTCTTATGCCCTATGCAAGCGTATGCACCTGTTTTATTCTCCCAGCATTTAGAAGCTAACAATTTTCTCGGCATAATGAGTCGACATGTGCCCAGGGTCGTATATCCTTCAAGATTCATCTTTTGCAGCTGTGTTCATTAGTTAGATGAGTGAAACTTCTGTCCTCATCGTCTATGATACTTGCTATGGAATTTCAGATACGAAATGGATATCGAAAGTGTGTCATTTGCCTTTCATACACTCTTCATGCTTGAGTAACAACAACCAGTCGTTGAACCGGTCCCGCTTGCGCCTCATATGCTCCCTTATACTAGTGTCGTGTCTTTCCTTGGCTTTAGCAGTCTCAACACTGGATTTAATGACAGGTTTGTGTGCACGTGCCAATTTGAAGTCGCCAATCTCGAACGCATTTTCAGCTGTCTTTATAGCTGATTTCACTTCCGACTAGCTTTTCGTAAAAATTCTGACTGCAGTAACCTATTTAACACTGATTCTCCTTGTTATATATGTATTCAGTGCTCCTTGGGTTGAGTGCGTGCTTTTACATGTTGCTTGCTAGGCAGGAAATAATTTGGATGCCAAATCTCAATAGTGTGAATCATCCAGATCCCGCAGACAGTCATGACCGGCCAGGCTCTGAGCCAAAGGGTGGGTGGGTGGTTCTTCACGGGTGTGCGTACCATTAATCCTACTTTCATCGAAACACTAACTCGATTGTGGATGAATCCTGATGGTAGAGAATTCGAGTACTCGGGCAGCTGCACCAGGCCTTGGCGAAAGGAGCTCATGTAAGGGATCACGCATCCTGATAATATGGAAGGAAACCATCACTGCCAATGATTTTGGTGTTCTTCTAAACTTCTGCTTTGTGTTGTTTCTCCCAGATTTGAGGCAGCCGCGTTCGTCGTTACCAGATCACCACGTGCACTACTCGTTATTTCAATTACAGGTGGTCTCCCTGTGAGCTGAGGCTCTGAGGATGATGAGGTACCACCGCGAGTCGGTCTTGCCTAACCACCGTGGTACCGTCCCGAGCGACCAGGTGTGACTCACCCTCTACTCCATCTTGATTCCAGAAACTGGGTCATGATCGAGCACATGTACATGCTACCCGAAGATCTCTATCCCGTGTCTTAGAGCGCCACAAAAAGTTTTGAATTGCATGTAACGAGGAACGCCAATCCAGTCGTTGCGATGCATTTCGGAGAAGGAAGATGCTTTCTCAAGTGAGTTCATTCTTAACAGCGCCATCTTTCTGGCATGGCTTATGCTGAATCCCGTGAGCCCTGCAATGATGCTTGCTGTAGCACCGCTTTCTATATTTTGGCCAGTCCGACTATCTCAGTGACCGATCAGATGTTCCTTTCTCACGAGTTCAGTTCTGGTGCCAGTTTCTCTCACCACTCTCCAGGACCGCCGGACGCAAGGGTTCATGTCGATGAACACAGGGAAAAACATAAAGTGACCGTAGTCGCTCAGCTCAATAACTCTAATTTGTCGTAAGTTCTGTGCTACCCGTAACATTCAGTACTTGTTGGGCTGGTCCGGTACATGGTGCGTATGGGCTTAAATTGCAGGTGCTGGTTACATCTGATGCCTTTCTTCATGCTGGAAACACGCCTCATGGATATCTTACTACAATATGATTCAGTCTGCTCTTAGAATCTTTCAATTACTGCCTTGGCATAGCCACTGAGTGGTCGTAGTGCTATTGGGCGTGATGGGGGTCGTTGCCTGCGTTTCTTGTGATTGGAACTTGAACGTGCGAGGGATGTTAAACCGCCGAGAGTTTGAAAAACGACCGTTTGACCCCTTGAAATGACAAAGTCGTCGTATAACTGATACGACCTAAATGCGTAACATTCATTATCATAGGCTGGGTGTTAAAAGGCCGTCCATCATGCTGGGCGCGTTCCCGGCTTGCCCGAATTTCAAAAGTTCTCATACGCATTTTCCGGCATTGGCTGCAGTAGTTGAATCTGGGCTTCGAGAATGACACATGTCAATGGGTCTGGATGCTACCTTGGCGTACAGTCTGTATCAATATGGAGCATGAAAGCATCACTTGATGAGCTTCTGAGACGGAGCATCTTGCGAAGGCGATACTTTTCAAATTGTTGAGCTGCACCCTTTTCACTGCGTATCTTGTACTCAATCGAGCTTAACGCGATGACGTACAGATGTAACCGCGCGGGACAGGTCAACCGGACGCACAATCATTCCGAGCCTAGTCGATGATGCATTTCAGAGCTTCATATGGCATTTATATACTATTGCTGTACTACGTAAAGCATGAAGCATATGGCTCCCCAGAGATTGGCGTCTAAACCAATCTGTGACAGATGATCATCAGAGATGCAGAATCAGCTAGTTGGTGTGCGCTCATCAATACTGCAAAGTGAACTATGCGTACCTTGCAGGTCAGTCGTAACGTTGAAAAATTATGCTATAAACAAAGGACTTGGGTGGCGGAGGCGGGACTTCATGCGCCGCAAGCCATTATCAAGTGAGGCGTCATAGATTTCCGATGCTTCTGATTGGTATTGGGGAATGTACACGAGCTATCGCGGGAGATGATCCAATGAATCGAAATAGTTTCGACGCTAAGCCAGTAAGGCAAGTTAGCTCTGATCACACATTGGGGGTTTCAACATTTTACCTCTTGTAAGATCTCAATCAAAAGCAGTTCTGAACCTGGCTAGAGCATTCCATATTTAGCTTAGAGCATTCCAAAGCACTCTAGAATACCTTTCGAATGTAATGTCACTGGCGGCAAAAGGTGGTAAAATGTCAGTTTCCCCTCTGTGTCAAAAGCACATGGCAAGGGCCGAGTCTACATCGGAAGTAAGGCTTGTTCTCAAAGAATGAATGACGGTGTTTGTGTGCGTGGCGTCGACGGAGACCACTGAAAATGACTGAAACCCAAGGGGCAAGACGCAGATGATGAGATAGGGCGGCAATATAACAATAGTACTATTACTCACCAGGATATGTGAATCGGAGCTATGTTAACCCAAACATCCGCCAACGCCCAAGTCCGTGGTAGGATTGCCATGATGTTATTTAGTACAGAAATGGTTGAGCACAAGGACCTGGAGCCAACATTTGGAAATTATTAGTGACCAAGTGCCAGTCAGGTCCATATTCTCAGTACGCATTGGCGTGACGTGTGAGTGAGTTTTCAATTTTTTGACGGAGTCATTCAAAAACTGTCTTCGGGATGGGGAAACCCCTAAGCACCGTCAGACCTTCTAGTAGGTGTCAAGCTACATTGAGATTGATAAGCCCACCCTATTGCCGCCCCTGTGCTTTGACGTCTTGCCAGTGAATGGTGCCAGACTAGAGGCAATTGTTGATTATGATATGTGCGCGTCAATTGCCGGGTTTATCTATTTCATCGACCTACCCATGGCCAGTCACAATATAATTGCCACGAGGCCAATTCCTTTCTGCCCCCGACACTATTACCTGTAGCGCCCGGGCCGTTAGTAGAATCGAAAGCACGCGATGAGCATGGAAGAAGCATAGCGTTAGCGTGGTAGCCCAACCGTATCATCGATGCCACAGCGTTTGTGGATCCATTAATGTGGATCGTACCAAACTACAATCAGCTCGAGCCACTATGTTTGCGGAGTTTAAATTGAACTAGACTGGTTCACTCCGGTTCGTACCGCTTAGCTAGTGCTCAGCTACTACTAGTAGTAGTATAGTTGTGCACTGCGTTACCTGACGCAATTAACAGGTGAGCGACCAATTGCAGACTAAGTGTACTGAAAATAATTGATCTGAGACTGAAGTATTTGACTAGCTAAGTGGTATTTCCGACGGATCGCATGGTTTCTACAAATGCTATGGCACACTCTTCGACCAATGCCAGCTGCGAAAGGCGATCGATCTCCACCTGCTGAGTCCGCACTTATTTAGGTTCCCGACGGTGTGATTTAAGTTCATTCGACTCAAGGGGCTGAGGACTAGCCAATGTCAGGGGCGCTGCAATTGCCTTGACATGGCGACTGCCATTGTAATCTTCGATTCGTCCTGATCGAGAAGTAACACCTAGCAGTGCCAGCACGTCATGCGTGTTTGCTTCAAAAGCAGACGGTAAAGGACGGGAAACAGGTTGGAATAGCCCGTGATTCAGCATATCCGCCCTCAAATTTCAATCTCTTGTCTACACAATGGTCTTCTTGCCCTCAACCACATCTGCCACTTCAGCAGTCGATGTCGGTCTCAAGCGTAGCCATGTCGACTATTCTCGTCATCTATCATCGGAAGCCCGTGCTAGGCTCCCTAACCCAATCAAGTCTATCTGGAAAGCTGCTCAGGTCAAACCTGGCACCATCAATATGGGAAATGGTTTGTGGGTGTCATTGAGGACCAACACATTGGCTAATTCAATGCAGGTGATCCCCACCATACGTTGTATCCCATATGCGAGGTGAACTTTGTCGTTCCTTCCATTGACGAGCATGACCCCGTGCAATCATGGACGTCCGGCACTGGCGAACAAAATATTATTGCTTCATATAAGGACGACCCCTGCACTCTGAGCCTCCGTACCGCCTTCGCGTATGGTGCTGGTGCTGGTCTCAAGGATGTCCGCGATGCCCTTGCAAACCTCAACGACAGGATCCACTCTCCCCCCAATCACACCGTCTCGCTGAGCCTTGGCAATGCAGACGCGTTGACAAAATGCTTCCGTCTTCTCGGTGACCCAGGCGACTCTTTCCTCTGCGAAGAATTCACCTTTTCTGCTATGACCAACGCTGCTCTGCCCCTCGGCATTGAATGGGTCCCAATCCGGATGGATAACAATGGACTTGTTCCTTCAGATTTGGAACGAATTTTATCCAACTGGGACGAAGCAACGCAAGGTAGACGACCCCATGTGCTTTATACAATCCCGTAAGTTACCGCCAGCTCTCGATCAGTTCTATACAGCTCACAATTCTTGTCCAGGTGCTCGCAGAACCCAACGGGAAGCACTCTTTCATTGGAAAGAAGGCAGCAGATTTATCAAATCGCACACGATTGGGATATCATCATTCTTGAGGATGATCCCTACTTTTTCCTCCAGTACGATCTTGGCGTCAAGCAGAGTACGATACAACAGCATGGGTACACGCGTGCCATGGCAGAAGTTCTGCCTCGGTCGTTCCTATCCATGGATTATGACGGACGCGTGATGCGCTTAGATAGGTAAGACTATTTCCTTTTCACTAGAGTTACGGGTCTAACATGAGTGCAGTTTCAGCAAAATCGTTGCCCCTGGAATGCGACTCGGCTGGGTCACGAGCAACAGCTTCTTCGCAGATAAGCTTGACATGTTGACCGACTCGTCCTCGCAGCATCCACATGGCATGGGCCAAGCTTTTGTTGCCGAGTTGCTTGGCAATAATGGCTGGGGCGTCGATGGCTTCATGAAGTGGATTGCATCGCTGTGCAACGAGTACCAACGTCGGAGGGATCTCTTTATGGATGTCTTCCGGCAGAAGGTTGCCATTTCCGGCTTCGCTACTGCCGAGGTTCCACAATCAGGAATGTTTGTCTGGATCAAAGTCAACCTTGAGCATCATGCACGATTCTCAACATCTCAGACCCCAATGGTGCCAGGTGGTCCGATGACGAACACCGCGGACCTCATGGATGAACTGTTCCGGAAGCTGCTAAACAATGGCTTGGTTATGATGCCAGCATCGACATTTGCCATTGCTGATCGCACGGGGAAAATGGGAAGCCATATCAATGATGTAAGTTCTCGCATCATATGTGTTGAATGCACGCTCAAGCAAACATGTAGCGAGTGAACTTTTTCAGAGCAACGTTTGTTGGTACAGATGAAACGATTCGCAATGGCCTTGCCACATTTGGCAGCACAATCGAGGAATTCTTCCTCTAGATTTTTATACCGTTGACGCCAAGCCACTTGTTCCGTTTTAGGTCGCATGTATCAAGTTCTTGGCTCTGCTCATCCACACTTATTCTAATCGTATTTGCCCTCATCATCTTGATGCTATGCATTGGTATGTTGTGCGTATCGCATTAATCACTACATATGTACTACTAGTAGACCCTACTATTTACACCCATATTATTTATGTACACACCTTCGGTGTAACAGCTAGATGCTGACTGGTTGACAAATTTATACTTTAAAGCGGATCTCAGGTGTGATGAACAACGGGACGGATAACTCCCGACAGGGTTCTGCGGATGCGTTTCCGTCAATCTTCGTGCGTCACGACTTGGCTGAGCTTGACTTTTTGTTGAAATTTGGAAGTGCTGCCCCTCCCTTCGCAGTAGACTTCTGTGCCGTCATAGCAGCGATGTTCTCACTCGTTTTAGACGCAGTTCCCTCAGTGTATCATCTCGTTGAAATTTCTAGGTTCACATTTCGGTTTAGTCTGGTTCGAATGGTGAATAAATACATTTGCAAATGATTTGTAGATTAAATATTGTGACGCTAGTGCAGATGCTGGTAATACATATGATGGGAACGTTCAGGGAATAATCACCGAACGAACATGAGAAGCCCGACTTAAAATTTCTTGCAGAGCACCCTTCACAGTGTCCATGTCCTTCATATCAACTTCGTTGACCTCCTTCGGTCCCTCTAACAGCCCACTATCGATTTTCTTCGCAAGGTCGTCCAGTACCTCCTTTACCTCCAACGGGCCAAGAATACTCGATAGCATGCCCTTTAATGTAAGAGCTTTTGTATAAAACGTCCGCATGCTGATGGGGAACAGCCCGTCCTTTGCATGTACAGCCATGACCACGACACGACCGGTGCCATTTGGCGTCATGGTGAAAAGCGCATCATTGAATGGCTGTTCATAGCCGGCGCAGTCTAGTAAAACGTCGATTTTATTCTGCAGTCCCGCCTTGGCGATGGCCTCGCGGATGGCGTTTTTAGAGCTTATTTCGATGGGCGTGACATATGATGGGGGAGTCGCTTTGGCGAGGGAGGTGTACGTGCCAAATACGCGTGCGCCGCGTTCGTTGCAGAGTTGGGCTGCCGCTGAGCCAATGCCGCCTCGAGCACCTAGAGTATAGGGGTCAGGAATGATTAGTGGAGTAGGTCAAGTGATGTATGTACCGATGATGATAACATTGTCTCCCTTCTTGACGTTCGCAAGAGTGTCGACTGTAATCCAGGCGCATAACCACGGTAGGGTCATGCTACCAGCTCTGGAGTGGTCGAGAGATGCTGGCTTCCGGCTCAATGCGGCGATAGGGACAGTGACGTATCTGAAGAGCCGTAAGACATGAGACAGATGCATATACGATAGTACGTACTGAGAAAATGATCCATCTGAACTGAAGCCTCTCTCGCTTCCTGTTCCCCATACCTCTGCTCCAATCCACTCTTGACTGGAGGCCCCGGAAGCGTCCAGCGCTTCTACGACTTCGCCGGAGAAATCTCTGCCAGGAATGCGTGGGGTGGTGACAAACGGAAGCATGCCTAGGATGCCTGCAGCATCGGACTGATGATGGGTCAGAATAGTGTTGCAGTAAGATATGACGCAAGTTGTGGGCTTACTGCGTTGATACCGGCAGCTCTGACGCGTACGAGAGCCTCGCCTGGACGTAATATGGGTTTGTCGATGTTAACCAGAGAGAGTCCATCCAAGGATCCAGTGTGTTCGAATCTGAGAGCTTGCATGGTAAAGGGACGACTAAACACGGAAAGACGCAGATCAAGTTGGACAAGAGGTTATTAAACTAGTATGTACAGGCGAGCCGCAGCAAGCTCACTTGAGGCAGTAACCAATACGTCTAGACTCGGAGGGATTGATAAGACGGGATGTGATGCGGGTGAACCGCTGTAGTTGATAAGTCATTGCATCCGGGTTCGATGCAGTTCACAACTCTCTGTGGTTTGGGGTGCCCGAGGTTATTTCAAAATGGGATTTGGTCTTGAATCGATATGGTATGGTTCGTGGGAGTATTATATAATGGTTACCTCCAGGAACCGTATCCATCGAGCTCGCCGAAAGGAATAGGTCAAATTGTGTATCCAAGTTTGAATTTGAAGCTTGAAGCATGGCCGTGCACGAGACGGTCATAACGCGCCAAGATCGTGCTCCATGTGCCGTCGAGAAGTTATATTCAAATAGAAATTTGCAGCTGAACACAAATTATTCCAAAACCCTGTCAAGATATTCAAAATAAAACTTTGCAGCTGAACACAAATTATTCCAAAACCCTGTCAAAAATATTCATAAAGTTTTAAGTTGGGATGAATACCTCGTGGGGATATCAGGGTAGGAGAATCGGACTCAACGCTGTGGAGCAGTGAAAGTTAATCAGGATGTGACAAGAATCCCAAATAAGGATTCCATACTAAAAAATTGCCTGATTCAGCACTCAGCCTTCCAAAGCTACATACTTCCGACCATAACTCGGCCGTAGATAAGACTCTGAAACATACCAGTGAGTTCAACAGGACAGGTTAGGCTAGACTCACAAATTCGGACACAAGACAGATCGGCACTTGACGAGAACCCTGATACGGTTGGAGACAACCTCCACCTCCAACGGATCATCGCCTATCATCGCTCCGATCGACTATTCACGGAGAATTCATGACTGATGAGAAATGGTTTCCTGGTCTTTCTTCTAAGAATATCGGACAGCTGCGCCCCACCAAGAACTGGCTGAGGCAGAGCGTAAACAGAGTGCACAAGACGTCGGTCTCCCGAGATAAAGATTCATGCATAAGAAGCGTATGGTCACCGTTGGATTGTGCCACCTATGATCCCGAAGTTGTGATTCATCACATCACCGGATTTCATGAAAGCTGTGTGGGGCGTCTCGTTGGGGATCAGTTCCGTTCTAGCGTTGGATGGTGCAGTGCTGACTTCACGACGCAGCTAACTGAATTGGTTTCAAACCTAGCGGATCAACGGTGATACGCTGGACGTATGCACCACGTTCATAGAGCACATCGATATACAATTTCATGGCTCTCCCAGGTTCAACATCGGTAACTTTCCATGTTGCTACCGGCTAGTCCAGCCCCGTCCAGTCATCTGAGCGATGCATGCTGCGATGACATATCTCACTAGCCCAGCCATTATGCTAACACACTATTGCGTAAGCTCACCGCAGTGCCACTCGATCATGAGTCCTGACTTCGCCATATATAAGCCCGGACCTCCAAGGAGATCCGCACTCAACATCCCAGACACCTTATCTTATCCTCTTAGAACTTAGACTTTTTTCGCAATGGCACCCGTCGCAGTCGCTCCCACCACAACCACCGAGTTCTTTACAAACATCAAGACATCCGTGTTTTCCCCACAACCCAATACTCTCCACGACGTTATCGCTCAAGCTGTCGACAAATACCCGTATCACGAGCTTGGTTTCATAACATCCTCCGCACATGACTCCTCTATTCAGACCAAGACCTTCAGCGCTTTCAACCAATATGTTCGCAACCTTGGACGTGCCATGCTCGAGTGGGGCAAACCCACAGGCTCCATCGTCGTCGTATATCTGACGGAGCATGAAGATAACATGGCTGCTGTGTGGGCGTGTCTGCTGGCCGGATATGTGCCCTGCTTGCAGCCTGCACTCAGCGCACAACAGGCGCACAAGGAGGGCCATGTCGCCCACATCAAGAACTTGTTTGGGTCTGCTACTTGGCTGACCAACGAGGTTGGGGCCGAACAGATCAGCACCATTTCTGGTCTGGATGTCCACCTACTCTCTGAATTAAAGGCATCAGCGGAGACATTTGACGTCTCAGCTGACTGGGTTGCGTACGAGGCAAAGCCGGACGACGAGGCGATCCTGTTCTTGACCTCTGGGTCGACTGGATTCTCCAAGGCTGTCGTTCACACGCATCGCACTATTCTGGCCGCATGCCATGCCAAGGGGCACAGCTACGGCCTGACTTCCGAATCTCAAGTCTTGAACTGTAAGGCGCACGTGGTTTAAACATCAGTGTGATATTGATCGTGATTTCAGGGGTCGGATTTGACCACGTCGCGGGATCGTTAGAAATGCACATCACACCTCTGTTGTATGGCGCTTCGCAACTCCACGTGCACGCATCTGCTATCCTCGCTGATCCCCTTCGGCTTCTCCGTCTGATCGACGAAAAGGTACGTCAGCATGATATCATATCCACACGCATCTCTCATCACTCAATTGTTAGTCGATCGAACTGACGTTTGCCCCGAACTTCCTGCTATCGAAACTGACACGTGATCTGGAGAAGCGCGTCGACCTTTTCGGAACGTTCGACCTGTCTTCCATCAAGCGGATTAACAGCGGCGGCGAGGCTGTTGTTTCCAAGACAGCCCAAGCGTTCGCTGCTACCATGAGGCAGCTCAGCAAGAACCCCTCCGCTGTATCGTTCGTCATCTCTCCTGGATTTGGAATGACAGAAACTTGGTGAGACACATTTAACCATCTGGTGATGTAAATAAACTGATGGGGTTTCTGCAGCGCTGGATGCATTTACGAGCCCGTGGATGTCCTCGCAAAGGAGCCTGCTCACGAGTTCCTCGATCTCGGGAGACCCATCGATGGTTGCGAGATGCGCATCGTGGACCCCGCAGATGGGGCCACCCTGCGCCCTGACGGAGAGAGCGGCGAGCTCCAGGTTCGCGGACCGATGGTCTTCGTACGATACTACAACAACGCAGAGGCCACGTCCTCCAGCTTCGTCGAGGGCGGCTGGTACCGCACCGGCGATGTCGGCATCATCGAGAATGGCGTCATGCGGCTCAGCGGTCGTATCAAAGACACCGTCATCGTCCACGGTGTCTCATATGGTATCCCTGAGCTCGAGACACACCTCCAGACGGTGGAAGGGGTGACGCACTCGTTCCTCGCCGCTGCTCCGTACCGTGCTCCTGGTCAGGAGACGGAAGGGTTCGTCATTTTCTACTCGCCAACATTCGACCTCGAAGGAGCGGATGCCTCCACAAAGCTCTTCGCCACTCACCGTGCCCTTCGGGATATCTGCGTGAAGATGATCACGCTGCCGCCTCAGTTCGTCGTTCCGATCCCCGTGAACCAGATGGAGAAGACGACTCTGGGTAAATTGTCTCGTGCGCGTTTGATCAGTCTTTTCAAGCAAGGTCAGCTCGCGAAGCACATAACTCGCTCGGAGGAGCTTCTGAGCGAGGCACGCGGCGCTACGTTCGTCGCCCCGTCCTCTGAGACGGAGAAGGCGCTTGCCCAAATCTATGCTGGCATCTTCAACCTCGCGGAAAGCGAGATGTCGGCGAGCGACAACTTCTTCGAACTCGGAGGCACTTCCATTGATGTCATCAGGTCAGTATATCCGTCCCGCCCTAAAATGACTTGGACTAATACATATCGCCTCCAGGCTCAAGCGCGAGGGAGAAGCACATTTCGGGCTTCCTGAAATCCCCACCATTCAAATTCTCAAGCACCCCGTTATCTCGAGCCTGGCCAACTACGTCGACTCCCTGGTCTCCAAGGACAGCCAGACCGAAGAGTACGACCCCATCGTTCCCCTCCAGCTGACCGGAAACAAAACTCCGATCTTCTTCGTCCACCCCGGTGTCGGAGAGGTTCTCATTTTCGTCAATCTCGCGAAATACTTCCAGAACGAGCGTCCCTTCTACGCTCTCCGTGCTCGCGGCTTCGAGCCCGGCCACCCCTTCTTCACCTCCATGGACGAGATGGTGTCGTGCTATGCGGCAGCAGTGAAGAGGACGCAGGCGAAGGGACCATACGCCATCGCGGGCTACAGTTACGGTGGGGTCGTCGCGTTTGAGGTTGCCAAGCGGCTCGAGGCCATGGGCGACGAAGTGAAATTCGTCGGTCTGATCAACATTCCTCCTCATATCGCCGACCGCATGCACGAGATCGACTGGACTGGCGGCATGCTCAACTTGTCGTACTTCCTCGGTCTCGTGTCGAAGCACGATGCCAATGATCTCGCGCCCGCTTTGAGATCTATGACGAGGAAGGAGCAGCTGGAGGTTGTGTGGAAGCTGTCTCCGCCTGAGCGTCTCGTCGAGCTGCAGCTGACGGCTGAGAAGCTCGACCACTGGGTGGACATCGCCGGGTCCCTGATCGAGTGCGGGAAGGACTACAACCCATCAGGCTCAGTTTGTAAGTCATTTTTTTTCTAATTTTATTATCGCTTGCTCATATTCTGAGTCTCTTCAGCGGCCGTGGACGTTTTCTACGCCATTCCTCTCCGGGGGAGCAAATCAGACTGGCTGAACAACCAGCTCAAGCCATGGTCTGGCTTCAGCCGTGGCGAGCCATCATATACTGATGTGCCTGGACAACACTACACACTGATGGACTTTGACCATGTTCCGCAGTTCCAGAAGATCTTCCGGGGTCGTCTCGAGGCTCGTGGCCTGTAAAAACTTAGTGTTTATATCTGTCTTCCGTCACTATCTATTCCATCATACTCGGGCTGCATGTGCTTAATTACTAATTGTGTCAACGTGCATACAAGTACTTAGATTATTTGTTTTTTTATGATAAAAACGTTGAAGTTTATGATTTGCTTGGTTCAAATTAGAGGTTGACCAAGCTGAAGCGCCTTTGTTTCTGAAACACAATTCTGTCAATCCGGGTTCATATTTCGTATGTAGGATCCTACTGACTAGGAAAGGGGGACATCTGTCTCCCTGAATTTCAGACTCATAGATTTGTAGTTTAAGCCTAAGTAGCATCACGTGCTCTAAGACGTTGTTTGTTTTAGAAGGTGTTGCCAAACAAATCTGATCCACCACCAACCACCATCCGCACCTCGAGTAACATTATAATCCAT